GATACTTGTGTCTATGAGTGGATGGTAATGGGCTGTGATGATATATATCAATGTAAGTGTATTTTGGCTGAAATACACTGTAACGAAACTGTCAAAACTTATTAGATATTTAATGAAGTGATTGAAACAATTTGAGTAGCTATTATTTTTGTTACATGATTTCCATTAAAGTTATAATACATAATTAAAACAAGTTTTTCTTACTTTTGATCCCACAAAATTAATAAAAAATTACGTAATATTTAAAAAGGGTATACCGCAAAGTGTTTAAAAATTCGCAAATTGTTAATTAGGTATAGATTCAATGTATAATAGGTACATTTATAAGTATGAACAAGTAATGTAAAAATGACTTGAAAAATTTTCTGTAACCCATAAGATTTACGAGTATAGTTACAGCTACATATATATAAGCACTATTTTTGTTACAAATATTGAATTAACCCCTATCTATAGTCTACGAATAAGATCGCATCGAAATTATTATGAGTATCTCAAGACATTACAATAATATTTTTAAAAGATATTTTTACAACGCGCACTTAATAAGTTCGACTTTATAAAAAAAATGTTGCGGATTTTTCCTGACATTTAATTCTATACCTAACCTAGACATAAAAATCATATAACCCACAATCTGTACGATCACTTATATATCACAATTAACCTAGAGATATTAAATCTTAAGTGTTAAGGTCGTTCAACCATAAAAGAATTATTCCGTCAGTGGACATAAAGTTGAGATTAGTTGGTCAATGTTCGAGTCCCATTTACTTTTGTTTATAGGCCTACTAACTTGGTGACATTAAGCAGGTAGCGGTACCTCTTTATATGAATGTCGTAAGCAACCACCCATAAGACATTTAATATTTATGTTCTGTTTGTTTGTCTGTCAACAGCGATAAAGTATAATAATTTTAATGGGAAAATACATAATTTTGGAAATACATAGTATTATTATTTAATAGAGGCCTAGTACTTAATTTTGTCTGTCTATCAAGAAATCTGATGTAAAGAATTTGATCTTCTCCGTCAATAGATGTGTCCAAAAATAAACCATAAATAGTCATAAATAATAATTTATTGCTATTGGAACAATAACAGTCAGTTCTAATAGAACTTATTGAAAATATAGACAAATGGATTATTGACCCGGCTACTAAGGAAGTGTAATATCTAGCAATATCTATACATTGTAGTTACAATATCTATACATATATTGATCCAATAACAGATTAGATCCAATATTAGATATCGGTTATCCAACATATAATATCGAAAAGAAAAATCCGTTGGTAATGTAATAGATATTCGACGGAGGGAAAGGGATTGTTAGTAATGGAGACTGAGAATTCTATTGCTAGCGATATACCCAACCAGGTCGACCTCCTCGCGGTTCCCCCTGGAAACTATCATAGTTAATTCCTGATGAATTCATCATGATGGGCTAACTGGCCTGTTTTCATTCTCATCTATCACCCTTCACTGGTGCTCCGCCAGCATATCCCGTTAGCGCAGGCGGGGTTACCATACCATTTTCACCCATAAAAAAAAAATTTATATTCGACTGGTATAAGCGATATCGGAATGGATGGTCATCAATGTCCAGAAGAACTCGATATATAAATATCGGATATTTCTCATCTCTCGACCACAGACAGACTGCTGATGTCTGAAAATACTACTACTATTAAAAAAAACGAAATTTTTTAATATTTAATTTAGATACTTCAACAAGATATTAATGCCCACTGCGTTAGCTAGAGGGCAATAAATAATAGGAGGGCAGGCATTTATACAGATATTCAAGGGTCGAGCAAGATCGAGGCGGACTGCAATATAAATGGTGAAGTTGGATAATGTCAATAAATCAATGTCAATATAATAGTAAGTAAGAATTTATATCAAGAAATAAAATTTATTTAACAGTGACAAAATTAGTATAGAATCAATATAGGGCTAAATCCACACCCCGTCAATTGCAACTAGAATAATAAAAACCGGCTTACAATTTGTAAATCTATGACGAATTCAACTACGAGTATATATATTTATTATTTTTATTAAATATCTATTGGATTTTTTTTAATTATTAGTTATGGAAGTATTTGAAATTTAAAATCGATTTTTTATATATTTCATAATCAGTTCGAGTCATATCTATTTATTTTGTATTAAATAAAGTGATCAATATAGGCTAAGGACCAGGAATCTAAATCTGATCTGAAAAATGATAATTTAAAAGTGCCTGTAGAACAAATCGATTTCTCTTAATATGATTTAAATTGGACGTCAATAGCTACGTCATGTCGAAGAAACAATAATCAATGGGAAACAAAAGTCCTTGGGTGGTAGTGTTGGATATCCCACTAAATGAAGCAACGACCACAGATCAGAGTATTTCTAGCGACGACCTCAGACATTTTGTAGATTCAAAGGCTAAGGGTCTTAGACAAATTGCAAACTAATCTGTCGGCCAAAATTAATAAGACGCCGAAGGTTGATGTCTCATACTATCCCGTGCATGTATCAACGATAATCTCGTGATAGATTCGTTTGGCATTTGTCTACGAAGCAAGATACAACCATTTATGGGGAAGGTGTTAATGTTCGGCAATGGGGAATAAATGGCTGAAATGTGAACGATGTGATTACATTATCCTAGCGATTCGCCCCGACTTTGCGCGCGTAGATTGATAGGAAGATAAACTAGTATTTTATATTAGCTTTAATAGGCATTTATTTTATTGTAATTTACAGTAATTTACGTTTCTAAATTTTTTGAAAATAATATATAGCTTATGATTTTTAGAATTTTTAAAATCGCTTTTCTTTCCACAACACACAAAAACCATATTTTTCTTTTTTTTAATATAAGAAAACATTTTGAAAATAATAGAATAAAATACTAACAAAAGGTTTATATGTTACAGATTGAAATTACCTATTAATTAATGTTGACAATCGAGAGCTAATTTGAAGACAAGGACTCTTGATAGACTATTCAATTTCCGTAAAAGGCGGGTCAAGATAGAAATGGCTTTTAGCGCCCGCTTCCCTATTTTATGTGCGTCGATTACAAAGTTCCTACAGTCCCATAATCACTTCAATAGATCTCCGGTTCTGACTGCTAACAATTATCTAATGACAAAGAGTTGTAATAAATAAACGGGTTAGAATAGATTACGTTCGAAGTAATTATTTCAATTATGCTGAAGCATTATTTCTCCAAATCTATCTTTAATATAAAAATTTCAATTTGATATGACTGCAAAATATTTAGTGTAATAATTTTTATTAACTAATTTTTTAAAAGATTCAAATTATAATATTATAAATTACCATTACTCGTGACTTCGTCCTCGTAACCCAAATATCTTCACTGACCGAAATAAAGAGTAGCATATGTCTTTTTCATTTCATATAGTATATATATATATATATATATATGTACTCGTATATGTATATATACTCTCTTTCACTCACTCTCACTTTCACTTTAATATTAGCGAGGATTTAAATTATCATGGTCTATACAACAGTAAGTTTGGGAAACTAACAAAAGAAAATATTAGATTAAGAGATAGGATTAGAGAAACAGTGTCTCAGAATCGACCCCGCGGTTGTAATAACGTGACAAATCACGCGTGAGTCTACGGACAGGACGAATGGAGTGTCAAAGATAAATACCTAATTCAGCATTTCAACATTCTAAACCAGAGGGAGACTTTGTACAAAAGTCGTTTGTTTGGGCACTTTTGTCCCACTCGTGTTTCGACCGTGAAGCAGTTGTGTTTGCATGGCTGTGTTTCGGTTTGAAGGGTGGGATATGGCAGTGAATTTACAGGGTACATAGAAATAACACCTGAGTCCTCAGGAATGACAACTCATGGGGGGTATCATGGGCGAAACAGTATACTCTGTTCTGTTCATGGTACTGCTCATGCCTTTAGGCAACTGTTATCATTTTCCATCAGGTGGGCCGTAAGCTTGTTTGCCATTTTAAGTTGCATAAAAAAATTCGATTTCTATTAGAAGGATAAAGAGGTAATAGTTCTGAGACGAATATTATTTATTTCAGACTTACACTCTATTCAGGGGTTGATACAATGTACTATTATGAGGGTATTTCTATAGAACAACTTATTAGGGATCAAGTCACGTACTACTTACAAGGATTTCGAGTTTTATTAGGTAGGTAGCAAGGCGAAACGTCAATCACCAGCAGAATAATGTATTTTTTATACTACCGGGAATAGCGAAAAAATTGACAGCCTTCCTGAAATTGTAACATCATCGAATGTTGAGCACATGGTTCTCCTGATAATGAAGAGAAAGGTCATAGAAATATCTCTCCTCTAGGCGTTTTGGTATTGATTTTAACTTAGAGTTTTCTCTTACACCATGCTATAATCTCTTGGAAGGGGGAAAAGGGAATGTTAGTGTAATGTATAAGCATATATTATGTGGATATTACGAGAATAAGATATGTGCGTATGCCACAGTGTGATCAGTGTCATCCATTCCTTGAATAAATCCTAAAGGTATAGATGTCATTCATTGCTATTCTTCTATGGAATTCTCCAGTAGGCGTATCAGACAAGATAGTTCAGTTAGTACTCATAATGGTATCTAATAGTCCCATTGCTAGCAAAGGTCGACCTCCACACTGTTCCCCTTGGAAGTCATCGTAGTTAATTCTTCTTGAATTCTTCACGATGAGCTAACTGACTTGCTTTCGTTCTCACCTATGATTTATTACTGGTGCCCCACCAGCGTATACCGATGGCGCAAGTGGCATTATCTGGTCACTATTTCATTTTGAACCATTTAAAAGAAATCTTTTGGAAAAACCTCGGCTGGGAGTTCATTTTAATAATAAAGCCTATAATAATAATAATTTTAATCTGAGCGTCCACGAGGGGAAGCACCTGTGAAACCGCGATGTAGGCGAATATTTATTTTTACAATGTGAAATTTGGTGTGAAGAATAAAAATACCTGGTAAGTAGCAGGGTGGCCAATAGGTAGAATACCGATGGGTGCACACCGCATTCGCATTCGGTCTGCGGCGTGGCTGTTTGAGGTTCCATCGCTGCGCCGAGCTTGTGGTATGCGATGTAGGCGCGCGCCGGGCTGCCGTGGGGAGCAATTTTCGTGGCCTTAATCCGCTCCTGGTCACACTGAAATTGCTCATCTGGTCGCCCAGGTGGTTGTTATCATCTGAAATAATTTGCAACCTTTCAGATCATTTCAATCTTCACATTTGACTTGCAATAAGATACACTATAGATAGATCCTGATGCCGAAAGCTGATTACAAACTAACAGTAAAAATTTGTGTTTATAACAGTAGATACGAGTATGTTTATTGCGGGGACGGAATTAAAGGAATGTTGCGTTGGTTTGGCCATTTAGAGAGGATGGATGAAATAAGAATTACGGAAGAGATTTATCAAGCAAGAATATAGATGTCGACGCCCTAGACCAGCAAGCATTTCACAAAGTGGGCGATAACGCACCCTTGTAGCCGCTGCAGGCTTAAAGGCCTATTTTTTTTCTGGGTCTCACACACCCAGACACAGACCCAGAAAAATATAGGGGCGTTGTGTAGAGGTTTGGGGGGCTTAATTTAATTTGAAATAATAATGGTTTTTAAGTAGGTGAAAAAATGGGGGGCGCTAAAAAATAATTCATTCTCAAAGTGGGTAGTAGACAAAATAAGTTTGGGAACCCCTGCCCTAGGCGGACACAAGACGACCAAATAGGCAACGTGCTGAAGAAGGGCCAAATGAAAAGTACCCGTAACCGATGAGCCTGTATGAAAAGATTAATGAATGTGTAGGAAGCGAATGAGGGTTGTTTGAATCGTTCCATTGTTTCTGCCTACTCTAATGGGAGACAGGCGTGACAGATATGTATGTACGTATATGTTAATTAATGTTTGTTTTCATTGTTAACTTGAAAAACCGACCTCTTTTCGAAGAGGTATGACCTGCCTAAAAATTAGAAACTTTTACATTTATAATATAACTATCGTAGTCTCACAGCGTTGCCTAAGTAATCTTATATAGAATAAAAAGTATCCTATCTATGAACATAGGATATGGTCTAAATGTATGACCATAGCTTAAGGATAATATCTGCGGTCCTTGTATACTAATCATTAAAATTTAGGGGATTGTTAATAATGGATACTAAGAATCCCATTGCTAGCAATATATCCAACCAGGTCGATCTACACATGACCCTCCCCCCCCAGAAACTATCATAGTTAATTCCTGATGAATTCATCGTATTATGGATTAACTGGCCTGTTTTTATTCTCATCTATCACCCTTCATAATATATACCGTTAACAAAGGCTGGCTTGCCATTAGATTTTCACCATAAAAAAATACATTCACTTGTTTACACGTCAATGAGTAACAACCATTCAAACATGTGACAGGCCTCTATCTTCTAAATTAAATGAAGTGATTACGTAAATACTTATAGATGGAAATGAGGAATCATATATATCATTATGTAATACCATATTCCAAAGATGGAAAAAGTAATAAAAATTTAAAAAGGTTTATATATGCGTAGGCACAGAGTGTTCAGCTCGTAACATGGAGATAGATGGCGAAAAATATTATTATTGTCAGGTTGTTGCCAAGACTACGCTTGCGGACTGTCGTTTGAATCGAGATTTTTCTTTTTGAATACATTGTTGACGCTCCATCAGTGCTTATATATTCTAGTGTCTATATACCAATTCTAGAACAAAAATTACTGGATATATTATATACTATAAAAAGTTTTCTGTTAATTTAATATGTAGGTATTATTGTTTAATATTATTTTTTCGTTTTATTTATAAATATGTAGATATATGACTTTTCGAAATTGAGAATTTCGAAAAAAAAATACTTTCTTCGGAGACATACAATTATATTGGTGGATAACTTGTCTAACTTCTTAACCTCTGGAGTTATAAAATGTCGAATTCAACGAAACTTGATAAATTATCTAAAAAAAGTACTGAAATGACGAAAAATACGGATCACTAAAAATAAAAAAGATGAATTGTCAAGAACATTTTCTTTTTTCTAAGAGTTGTGTTCATAAACTGTGTCAGAGTACAGAAAAAAAAATAATAAGAGGAAATTTTTTGATGTTTTTTACATAACCCATTAGGGATTTTTTTTTAATGGATGATAATGGAATGGTAACCCCACCCGCACTATCGGTATACACCGGCGGGGCACCAGTGAAGGATGATAGGTGAGGATGAAGCAGATCAGTTAGCCCATCGTGACGAATTCAACACGAATTGTTCACGATGGTTTCTAGGGGGAACTACGTGGAGGTCGACCTAATAAGGCATATTGTTAACAATGGGGCTGTCAAACTCCATTGCTAACAATCCCTTTCCCCCATACCCACTAGGGGTTAGGTTAGGTTAGGAGGTTAAAAGGACATTAATGGTTTCAATTTCACCTGTATAATCTTACTGATATTAAAAATGTGGGAGTTTGTGAAGATGTTTATACGTTAAGATGTTTGTAACTCAATTACGCTTAAATAGCTGAAAGCATTAGAACGAAACTTAGTATATAGGAAGGCCTAACCTATATAGATATAGAATACTTTACGAGTATACACTGATTAAGGGCAAAGATGCGGGAAACAGCTAATAATATGATCATAAATAATTAAACCATAAAATCTTTTGCTTAATAATGTATTAAGCTAAAGATGTGGTCTATTTTTTTTTTAGAAATGTCATTCAAATCTGTTTAACCGCTTTTAATATGATAATATTAATGAATTTGATCGTACACTAACCATTGGAAATACCAGTTATACCTAATAAATAATAGCTCTATGACTTAATTACATTTACCTGTTGATACCGTAGGTATCTATGTTTAAATATTAAAGCTACGTATTTTTAGATAAAGAGAGAACATTATTTATTAACCGACTTCAAAAATTTCAATTTAGTTGTATTTTTTTTATGTTTGTTACCTTGTAATTCCGTTAGGAAAATATTTTTTTATCTAAAAGAATTCACTTACAGATTAGTCCCATATACATTTTATTAAAATCGGTTAAGTAGTTTAGTTTAAAAATTAAAATAACTGGTTTTGCCACAATTGAAGTTGTTTTTCTTGTAACACAATTTAATTATTTTAAGTAAAAAGAAGGCATACAAAACATAATATTAATATCAAATATATATTGTGTTATATTTATTTAAAATTTAAAGTAAAATCTTTTTTAATAAAATCGCGTAATAAAATTTTGGATAAAACCAAGCATATGATTTTGCTTGCCTTCTTGTGAATTGTTACAAATTATCAATAAAAATTAAAACATACATTACACTTCACTAGAATGCGCACTGCATTGCACCAGAAGTGAAATTTATCGTCACATTTTTATGTACGGTATATTTTAATAAATAGTTATTTTTTATATCGCGTGACAGTTCAAGCAAAGGGTGCTTGTGTTACGCGGTCGAGGGCCAAGTTACAGCACGTAAGCGCCCTGACGGAGCGTTGCAGACCGACTAACTAGGGAAAGTAGGAAAACGATATGAAATATAGGGCTGCAGTGACACTATTATCGATATAATTTGACATAACGATTTTTGCATGACAAAAAGGTTTCGTTACGTTTAAAATTAGCTTTTGTTTTCACCCGTAACTTCTTGTGGATTTTGGAAGTAGGAAAATCAATAAAATAAACAATTTCTAGCTATCACAATAAAATATACACAAGATTTTAAGTAATATAACTGTGAAAACAACATTCAATTTGGTGTAGTAATTTTGCGTAATACCTGAACAAACAGACCAAAAATTAAAAAAAAATGTTTCGCTCCATATAATTTTTTTTATAAATGAGATATTTATAAAAAAATATATTACAATTAGCTTATGTACAGATATCGTCTTATCACAATTTTGTTTAAAATAACAGCTTTGTATGAGATTTCGGAATAATTTCAATATTAGTGATGGATTTTACGGCAGGTCACTACTATCCTTTAGAGATACGAAACTTCTAATTTCTTTCTGAATCTGATCAGAATAGATATTTCTTTTCTATCTGCTCGTAGCATACATATCTAATAAAATTTATAATAAGTATCGATAAATTAAAAATAAATTCCATAAATGCTCATGACTATAATCCCTAACGAGGTATTTCTTGACTATTACTCTTGTTATGAACGTAACGCTCGAAATTCCCACATTTCATAAGGCAGATTAAAACCATAGCAACAAGCTTATTACTTTTATTTGGATTTATATCGATATTCTATTTGGTATCTTTTAGCTGCATCACTACACTAGGTGATAGGGTGGGTGGTACTGAATGGGGTGTGGGGAAAAGTCGATAGCTACCTCGTGTCATTACACGATGCACATTGCACCATAATTAATTAAAATACTTATGGTTTTTGTGTTTTTAACCATCTTCAAAAATATGAAAGTTCTTAGTTCTATTGTAGATATTTTTTCGTGTGTAGATAGGTAATTTAAGGAATATGTTCGTTCATTCTGAAGGGATTTTAACGATTTTATTTTTATATAAATGACCTACTCTGTGTTGGTCCCTCACGAATTTTGTCAATATTTTTTATTTTCGTGGAATAAAATTGTAATGTGTAATAATTGTAATTGTAATAATAATTATAGTATATATTTTGCCAAAATACAGTAAACAGAATTAAAAAATATATAAAAAAGAGTATCTGCAGTAAGTCTATAAATTAATATTATTTATATTTAGTTCTCCATTAAAGAATACCTACGAGTATAATTACAAATTCACCCATTATTTTTTATACCACTGAGGTGCCAAACAAGCATACGGCCCACCTGATGGTAAGCAGTTACCGTAGCCTATGAACGCCTGCAATTCCAGGGGCATTACGCGCGCGCTGTTGACTCTGAAGAAACCTCTTTACCCTTTTTTGAAGAACCCCATGGAAAACTTTGACAGGGACCTCATTCTATAACCTGAGCGTTGGTTAGTAAACTAATATTAAGTAAGTAGTAAGTAAGTATACTGTACTACCTAATATACTACCTAATATGCTACTTAATATACTATCTAATATACCACCTAATACTGTAATAAAACCGTAAAGGCCGAAAAGGTTCAATATACAGTCATTGAGTTTTTTTTTGGCAATTTGTTAGGGAGGTCACGTCCACTTCTCTTTAGTATTCAACTTGGAACGTCGCCAACAACAGCAACACGAAATACGCTGTGACCCCCATGGTATCCATCAAGCGACACCGAACTAAAGGTGATGTTCAGGGTTCCATATCGAAATGGCCTACATTATATTGTAAGAGAAATAATTGATAAATTAGATTAGATACATTTTTTAATCATTGTTATAACTTAAAATAAGAAATTTCGAAATTAATATATCAATAATAATAACTATTAGATGTCTGTTTCATATAAGATATACACCTTTTTTTACAGGGAGGAGGCATTTATAGTAATGCGGAATATCAGTACTATTGCTAGCAATATACCCTGTCAAATCAATCTCCGTTCAATGGTCCTTCGTGGAAACCATTGTGCTGAATTCCAGGTTTATTCATCACGACAGATTGACTTACCTTTTTATTCTCACTTATTATCCCTTACTGGTGCCCTGCCAGCGTATACCCTTAGCGCAGGCGGGGTTACCATTCCATTTACATTCATTAAAAAAAAAAATACGTAAGATCATTATATTTCACATGTATATATTATGGTACGAGAATTCAAACTTGTGCCTAACTGGTTTTATTATTATTTATGCATATGTTAAATGCTTACCACCATCAGTAGTTAGTTGCATTATTGTATTCCGGTTCGAAAGATAAAATAAGTAATGTAATTTCTGATATAAGATGATGAATGAAAATGGCAATACTTTTTACGGTTGTCAGGTGAGTTTCTAACACTGTTAGATTATTTGGTTGGACAATTATTTACTTCACATAATACCTAGAATAAGAAATAAATAAATGACCCTCATGCTTATTTACCAGTAGTATATTAATTGTATTTTTTTTTTTGCTAATAAACAAACCAATTAATAATAGCCCTTAGAGAAAAGACTTGGCTGTGATATCAAATGAAAATCGTAATTTTAGATGTAAGTTTAGAAAAATGACGCCCCAGAATCGATCTTAAGGGCAAGGGAGGAAGGGTTTACAACCCAGGTTAGACCCCATTACTAACAAGTAATGGGGTCTAACCTCCATTGCTATAACCCCCACACGGTTCCTTCTGAAGTGAAATTAGTTTATTTGCATTAAACAGTTTAAAATTATTACAAACCTGGAAACCATAGTGATTTATTCTTGTTGAATTCAGCACATAAAGAATTCCTTACGATGGATTAACTGATGACTCTATCATCTTTAAATGGTGCCCGCTAGCATACATGAAAGGCGCAGGCGGGGTTACTATTCCATTTTACCTATTAAGATACCCCAATATATAATTACGCTGCATACTTTATACTTACTTATTACAATTGTATTTCTGTTGTATCATCAATCACAGATATTCCTTCATATGGTGACAGGAGGATTATTAATTAATATGATATTAAGAGCTAACTAGAAAAACTCAGCTCGATACATCAATTTAAATAATTTAATAAAGGCAGGTACATAATATAGGACTTAAACATGATACATAGAATGGCATGCGACCTCCTTACTCTGTTCTTTACACTGTTTCGGTCCTTTCCTTTTATCGTGATACTTCAAGTTGGAATCGGGATCAACTAATAAAACCGCTGTGAAGCACATTACAGGAGACCTCTATTCCTTGTTATGGTAGACGTGAGTTGGAAGTACCCACAAAGATTTATGTTACGACTAAGTTCAGGGAGAAGTTTGTATGATAATCTGAGTTCCTGAAACTATGCAGTTAAGTTTGCAATATAAACTTATCGGCATAAAGTGAATATATTGTAATGCTAATCTTTAAACAACTCGCACTAAGCAATTTGACTTTTATTGTTTTGTTTTACTAAGTACTTAGGTACTAAAAAAAAGTTGATTAAATAATTTGTTGTTTCTGTTATTAATTATGATCAAGGGTGCATGCAATCAAATCTAGCCAACATTTTTAGTTTTGTTTTCGGTATAAATCGGTCCATTTGTTTTCAAATTATGCCCCTTAGCGGAAACAGTATATTTATATCCTTCGAAGGGATTGTTCTAATAGCGGGACTGAATTTTTACTAAAAACCATGAGTTGGAAAACGAAAAAAATATTGACCCACATTAATTCAACGGCTGCGTTCGACGTGTATAGGGGTGGCTTGATGTATGGGGGTGAGCAAGCGTGACTCGGGGGATAGGAATTATTAGTAATAGGGTCTAACGGCTCCATCACTAGAAACATCAAATCGACGTCCATGTGGTTTCCCCTAGAAACTATCGTGGTCAATTCTTGTTAAATTCGTCACGATGGTTTATCTAATTTGCATTCTTCTTCGCTTAACCTCCACTGGTGGGCTGCCAGTGTATACCAATAGCACTTACGGGGTTACCCTTCCATCTTAATTTTTCTTTGGTAGTTGTGGGTTGCGTAAATGACAGAGCAACTCGTCCTCTCTATTGGCTATGGACGAGGGGTTAACTATGGGAGAAAGAATTATGAATGAATGTAGGAAAAAGAATAAAGCAAGTTCAACTCCTGTTCAACTTCGGTGAACCATTCAACTGTGCTTTCAATATCGATTCCTCAGAATAGTTGATATCCCCAAGAAATAAAATAAACATTAATTTATCTCAAGACTCGAAACCCAAAAAGTTCACTGAAATCAGAAATTGCACTTATTGAAAATCACCCATAGATTTTTATATATAAACAAACCAGTACTAAATAATGAAAACTCGAAGAAACCACTGAGTATACCAATAAGATTGGCCAACGTGGTATTAGAAGTTACATTTTTCCTAGATTAGATAAAAATTATAAAAACTCAAAAATTAATCTCAATCAAAGCGATATGTATGGCGTTTAAATTTTAGCTTTGCTTGATAAATAAAACTGCAGTTAATATTAAAACATATATTAATTCCTTAGCTAAGCAAGATAAATAAACGCCCTCTTCACAATCATACAAAACTTATTACTTATTAAGAAGTTTTTCGGGACGGCAACAATGTTCAAAGGGAAAAAAAATGATTCAACTTACATATCTAATATGGTTACAATTCTTTCGTTACTATGTCACTACTATAGTAACATCTTTCACTTAACGTTAGGTAGAATAAAATAAATGATATAAAAAAATTAAAAAAGCTAAAATAGTTATCTTGTTAAAAGTACAGTAATATAGACACTTTGTGAACTTTTAACCAAACAAATAACTGCAGTGCAAGGATTATAATGTATAGCTACTAATATTAATACTTTAGAAATACTAAACAGCGATATTTAAATATAACTCGGAAGGTCGCGAGTTAAAATCTGTCTCTCTTTAGCAATAGAGTAAATGCTAAATGGTTAACAAGTAAATAAATAACTATCAGACATCTTACGTAATAAGAGTACAATAAGTAAATCCTCTGTAATGAACTTCATATACGAGGTTTGTCCGGAAAGTACGTATAAAAGTTTTTTAAAAATTTTATTTTACAATTATTCAGGTAAATCAATTTTATCCCCTTCAAAGTACTCCCCCTGTGACATAATGCACTTGTGCCAACGCCGTTTCCACTGTGAGAAGGCTCCTTGAAAGTCCTCTGGTTGTAGGTTTCTCAGCTGCCCCGTCGTAGCTTTTTTTATCTCATTTATGTCCCCCAAATGCCGCCCCCGAAGTACCAATTTGGTTTTTGGGAACAAGAAGAAGTCACACGGGGCCAAATCCGGCGAATAGGGGGGTGTTCGGTCACCGTAATGGAATTTTTACTCAAAAACTCACGGACAACAAGAGAGGTGTGGGCAGGGGCATTGTCGTGGTGAAGAATCCAACGCCCCTCTCGCGCCAATTCTGGACGAACTCGTGCCACACGAGCTTTGAGGCATCTGAGCACATCGACGTAGAATTTTCCATCAACTGTCTGGCCTGGAGGGACGAATTCTTGATGGACAATCCCCCGAACATCGAAAAAAACAATCAACATTGTCTTGACATTTGAGCGGGATTTTCTTGATTTTTTTGTTCGTGGTTCCCCGGATGTCTTATCGAATTAGATTGGCAAAAATTTCACGGCCATTCTTGCCGAGTTTCGAGAGAAACTTGATTACGACGCGCTGCTCTTCAACGGAAGCGGGCTCCATGCCGACGGGGTTTCGTTAAGAGGTAACTTCACAGATGGCGTGACAAGCCAGTTCGCACCGCACGGTGGTCAGACCAGAACTGAAGCATTGTTAGGGACATAAGGAAGGGGTCCTGCGCTTACCTGGCCTCCCCACTCCTCTTTCTCGCATTCCAGAACACTTTTATACGAACTTTCCGGACAGACCTCGTACCATATATATATATATATATATATATATATATATATATATATATATATATATATTATAATAATACAATTAAAGTTTTCCAAAAAGCTTCAATAACACCGGATGACTTTGGAGTTAAAATTATAGAAATATTTTATTTCGTTATATATGTTTCCAATGTTTATAATTTGTTCTTTTAATTTTTCTGTATCTTTGTTGTCCAAATGGAGAACGTTATGATATATATAAACTCCAATTATGGCTGCATTCGTTTTCGTTACATCATCTATCAAACCTTCTATAAACGACGGAATGAAGGCATTTTTGGGAATACACCATAGTATTTGTTCTCTTAAGTAATCTATCAAATTTATACTGTACATATTTCTAACCGATTGAAAATACTGAACAACTAAGTCTTCAATATCTTTAGCAATAACTTTACCAAACGAAAATGCAGTATACTTAACAGACTCGATATTTTTGAATGTTTGGCCCTGGAAATGTACAGGTTCTTGATTGAGATATTTTTGCAATGTTTCTCCATATAAAATGGTGAAACGTAATTGACAGATAATATTAAAACTCTTCTCTATAGGTATGGACTCTTTAAAGTATTCTTCAATCAAATTTAATACAGATAAACAACACTTTGGATTTAAAAACAATTTTGTGTATTTTAAACTTTTTATAAAAGAGTTTACAATAGATATTGCTTTTGTTCCTTTATTTGGAATTTTTAAAGTTTCTAAAGTCTTTTCCAAGAATGGAACACCGATATCTTTAAAACTATTTCTTTGCTGCTCCTCTGTTTCATTTAACAAAAGAAATCTAGCGATAATTTGTCCGAAAATCGATGCGTACGATATATATTCGTCATTATCGATTTCCAATTCATCAACTGTATAGTAATTTTCCAAGAAATATCTTAGAATTTTCTGAATGTAGTCTACATTTACTTGATCAATGTTATCATATATACAGTTCAATAATACAACTGCAGTATCATAAGTAGGACCATTTTCTGCACTGAATTTTGTTTCTAGAACTTCGTATATAATTAAACAATAATCTAGTTTATAACTCTTTGGTATCGCGTTTAGTTTAGCCAAATTACGGTATAAGCCCTGCTTTTTGTTTTTCAAATTACATTTCATTATTACATACTTGAAAGTTTCCAAGTCTTGCTTGTGGAAATGTTTGCCCTGTTGTCTTAAGACGCGGACCGCGACAAAAAGGCTTTTTGTAGGTTGATTTTTACTTGCTGCTAACATAGTTTGAGCAAAAAGTCCTGGCCATCCTGGCGTGCGTAATGCAAGCACTAATCTCGCCAGTCGTGGCTCTGATATAAGTTTGTCTATGTTTTTACGTAACGATTTTTCGCTGCACGTATGAATCCAATTCACCATCGTAACCATATTATGTTCCTGAAATAAAATATTTATAAGTATACGTATTATGTATGAAATTAAGGTAAGAGGACTTGTTATATGAAAACCTACTAATATTCAAGAACAGTGAATATGTAGTATCGCAATATTATCTATTATAACTGACTTAGTTTTTACAATAAATAATATATCATAGGTGTATATAAATGTAGGTATTAAGAACTAACATCGAAATGATGCATTGCGTCAATAGCGACATATATGGATTCCAGGTGAAGCGCTATTTTATTGTTTATAAACATAATAACGTACCTTAGCTTTCCAGTTCTCCATGGAAATTTGTGGTCTTATCAAATGAGATAAGCGACTTAATGCATCTGACAGTTCCTTCTGTCTTTTTGTAGTAACATCAATTGTGATTGGCCATATTGGTTTAGTACCTGCATTGCCAAGTAACGCAGCGATACGTGCTAACTTTACATGTGGTTTAATTGTAAATACATGCATAAGAGATATCTGATAATTGTCAATAATATGATTTTCATTATAAAAATATATAGTTAATTTTCTTAGGAATCGTTCAGGACATAACGGTGTTTTAACTGTAAGTAACTTTTCAAAATGATCTCCAAATAGTATTTGCATATCATGTCGTAATGCATTAAGATAAGACTCATCAGATTGATTCACTTCAAAATTTTCTTTAAAGAGTTTCTTTCGCGCTACTCTGGCTTCATATAAGCGCTTCAACAGGGGACGTGTACCAATTGGATCGCGTCTATAGGTAGAAGCTACAGACGATACTATCTCCGAAAACTCTTCTATGGGAAATCGAAAGGCGGCAAAAAAATCAAGAGTCTGATTAAGGCATTCTATTGCCTTATCAGGTTCGTTTTTAACGATATTCAACATTAATTTAGGGAAATATTTGAGTAGAAGTTCTTTCTCTGTCTTTTTTAACGGATACTCATTAAGAGTGGAAAATTCTTTAAGAAAAGCCGAAAATATTGGAAGTGGACAACTGCCGGTCTGTAGAATGTGATGAAGTACAACAGCATGTAAACCTTCGCGACATATAATTGCTGCAGGACTACCGTCGAGCCCTAGATCATGTCCAAACTTTAACAATAAATCCCAGTTATCATCTACCAAACGCCATATACAAGCACGCTTTGCTAGACTGCGTACGATTGTGGCACGTAGTGAAACTGGCTCATTACTGTGTTTCGTAACCAATAAATTAAGTAGCTTTTCTAAATGTTCTTTTCGTCCACCAGTCTTGCTAACCAGTACTAATAACATGTGTTGGCGATTTTCAAGTACACTTTCCTTTGGAATACATTTAGTCAACTCTGTAAAGGTTTCATCAAAATAACTGAACCTATACAAATCGAATAGTTTATCAAGTAATGTAGGTAACTTGTGCAATAGGGACTGCATATAACAATCGCTTCTTTTCATGCAACGCATCTCACACATCATCACGTCCATATATTGATCATAATCTCTATCAGAAACTTCAGAATTTAAATCTTCTATAGGATCTATGAATTCTGGCATAGAAGGTATATAATAAGGAGGCTCTGTAATTTTCTCCCCAAAAGACTTTTCATGGAATATTTTCTTACAGAAAGCAGATTTCTCAGTAGGTTCCATACACTTTAATAAAGGTTCAGCAAACTTGTATGAGAACCAGGAATAACCCAAATATTCGGCTCGTGCACATTTTATAACGAGTTCTTTTATTTCGTTGTTATTTAAAAATTTTGTTAACGCTGTTGTATTCAATAGATACGCAGTGTATAATTCAGGTTTAGAGTCAAATCTATTTCTGTGTTTTTCCATAATATATTTTGTAGTAACTTTATTCAATCTTTTAAATTCACGATCATAAATATTCTCGATTATATAAAAATATGTGTCTGCATCTGTTTTTAAAAGAAATTGCAGACAATTAATATATTTATTGGTATTTATTGATTCCCGTATGCATTTTATATTTTTCATCTCTTCAACTACTCTTTTTAAATGAATTATTGCAGCTTTAGGACAATGTTCACAAAGTAATTTTAAAAAGTGTGGTGTTATTTTTCGTGTGGGGATTGTTTCTAATTCTTGTAGAAAAAAATCCGGTGAACATTTTGGAAGGAACTTCATAGCAAATTTCTCATCTTTTTTTTTATAGAACTCATAAAATTCCTTGCATTTATTTGTGTCTTTTATATTTAATAATATCCAGTGTTTCATTTTATTAATAGATGTTGTTAACATTTCAGGAAAGACTTCATTTTCTAAGTATAAAGGAGTTATTATATTTGAATATCTGGGATCATTAATGAGCCAATAGGATTTCAGAGCTCTACTAACATAAAACAAGTCGTTGTCTTTTAATATCTCAAGTATGTAATCTACATTTTGGTACTTCGAAGCGAGATCAATTTTAAACAGTTTATCAACAGGTGATTCTTCTTTAAGGATTTTAATAATTTCAAAGGGAACATTATTCACAAAAGCCTCGTTTACTAAACAATTAAGATGTTTATGCCTTTTTCCAAGATTATCGCCCTTTAATTTTATTGGTATAATCGCCATCTAAAAGGAAGAAAAAGATATAATTATTATTAGTAAATATTTGACAGTATAGAGATAAAAAAAAGATAACGACTTTTATATATAATTTTTAAAGTAGTGCAAGTAAAAAAATACATCTAATAGCGTGTATGTTAAAGACGGTTCTATTAAAAAAATTACTTGAATAAAAATTATTTATTATTATTATTAAAAATGAGCAAACTTAAGTTAAAAACTTAAGCCTAGTATAGTACTATTTTACCTGTGCATAAATTTACTTTTAGAAATACTTATTATTTTTTACAATACGGTTATGTATCAATTTTCTTTAAGAAATTGATTTGATTACTATATACAAAACAATTTCATTCACATCAAATCTTCAAAAATTGGTCATAGACTTTCATATCTAGTAGGTACTACTTCAAGTTAAATGGCATAGGTTTATGTAAATTCTTTAGATCAACTGTTATCAACTGTCTTGGATCAACTGTTATTAATGGAGATGAATTTTATTGTTAAAAGTTTCGTAAGTATACATATTTTAATGTAATAACTATTAATTTAACTTTTGGGACCCTTAATCGTGAGCGGCTGTGGCGCGAGCACGAGTCTGACTGCGCGCCTCGGTCCACTAAGCGAGAGCAGTAGGTGTTCGTGACACCGTCACACTAAAGAAAGATCCCCATCTTTCTTTAGCGTGACTTTTGGAAATCTTTGGGAATGAATGGTTGGGCTCTGTCTTCCTCTTCGTAAGAGTCCCGAATGATCCCGAAAGTAGGCGAGCTTTCTTGACCTAAATACATGTAAGTTAAACTGGTAGTAATAACTACCAGTATAATGTAATAACATTAAAATAATGGATTTCAACATGATTTTCTTTTGTACAAATGCCAATTTTAGGTTGGATACACTTCGGCCTATGATTCGTCAGTCGATTACCCTTAAAGCTCTATGAAGGTCACAGAGTCGAAGTGAATAATCTTACTACAGCAAACTTTGTATATGGTAGTTATTTATAACATATATGTATTCAACTCCCCAGTTAACATTTATAGTAATGGACGTCAGTAAGGAGCGTCGACATGAAATCCCCAAAGTAATTAACTAATTTGTGTCGTTTAAACTTTAACTGTTTTACCATAAATAATTTAAACTTGCAATATACAGGTTAAGTCGTCTTACTACAAAATCGTGTCTAATATACAGATATTATGTAACATTAAACCATATTAGTCTAAAGCACAGATAATATAATACTTGGTCAAAACAAGATAAAGTCTATGTTATTAAAAATAAAACGTATTTAAAGCTTTTTGTTAAACACTGTTTAATTATATTGTCGATGATCGACAGGTTTTAGGAGATATTTTGCCTCACTTTGCGTGTTCTACTGCTTGTACAACGGATTGTGCTCAGAGGAATTGTTCAATATGATGCCCACGGCTTCTTTCTACCATCGTACGGTTCGCCATCGACAGAGAGTTCACCCTCATACTCTAGAGCCTGGATGGTCGCGTACAACCGCGTCGCGGTTTCAGAGATGTTTTCTTTTACGAACACTCAGGTTATGGAATGAGCTCCCAGGCGAGGTTTTTCCAAGAGCATGGGGTTCTTCAAAATAAGGCCCCCCCTTAGGGTAAAGATTTTTTATGCGACTTAGAATGGCAAACAAGCTGACGATCCACCTAATGGAAAGTGGAAACCAACGCCTATAGACATTAGCAGTACCATGGACATAATACAGTATACGGTTCCACCCATGAGATCCTCCATGCGTTGCCATTTCTGAAAACTCAGGTGTTATTCCTCTGTACCCTGTTAATTCATTGTCATATCCCACCCTTCAAACCAAAACACAGCCATGTAAACCCAATTGTTTCACGGTAGAAACATGAATAATACAGAGGTCCACCTCTGTATCATTCTTTGTAGTCGTTTGCTTGGACATGAGACCAAGTAAACGACTTTTGTACAAAGTCTCCATCAGTTTTCTTCAGGGTCGGCAACGCGCGCATAATACGCCTGGTATTGGAGGGGTTCATAGGTTACGATGACCGCTTACCATCAGGTGGGCTATATGCTTGTTTGCCACCTCAATGGTATAAAAAAACTGTTTAGACAAACAGTATTTATTTTAGTAATAATGTAAGTTGCAATTTACGATGCGGTTATTTACACAAATACATGAGTGATGCTAATTGAATGCAATAACTAATTATTAGTTTATTAATTTTGGTTTAGGAGCAATTAATCACCATACACCTAAGCGAAAATAGGTCGCATTGGCACAATAAATCATAATTAGAGAAATCGCCCGAATACAAGTAATCACAAGTGGAGAGAAATGTCATATATGGTCAGGCCTTTTTTTAATGGATGAAGATGAAATGGTGCTTATCTTAACGGTTTAAAATGGCGGGAAATCAGATGGGGATGAAGGATGAGAATGAAGGCACGTCTGTGAGCCCATCGTTCCACAATGGGGGACCATGTAGAGGTCGACCTGACGGGTTATATTTATTTAATAAATAAATATATTGCTAGCTATAGGGGGAGAGGGATTGTTAGTAATGGGGACATAAATGACCATTTCTAGTAATATACCGTGTCAGGTCCTCCACGCGGTTTCCCCTGGAAACCATCGTGATTAATTCTTGTTGGATTACCGTCACAATGGGCTAACTAACTCAGGTTCATTCTGACCTATCATATCCCACTGGTGCTTGCCCCGCCAGTGTATACCGACAGCACAGGCGGAGTTACCATTCCATTATCATCCATAAAAAAAATATATTGGTGCTCCGCCCGTGTACGCCGATAGCGCAGGCAGGATTACAATTTCATTTTCACTCATAGAATGAAAATCCGGTTTTCTTTTTCATATAGGTATATGGTTTTGAAAACTATATTTAATGCTGTTTCATATACTTATATGAAACAACGTTAAATTAATAAATTATTCCATTACGCCATCTATAGTCACGTAATCCCTATTTGATAATAGATGGCGTAAAAAAAATAATATTTTATAAATTTATTTTTATTTTAATTACAGGAATTTGTGATAGAATTTTATTACAGGTAGGTAGTAAGAGACAAAACCAATTTTCTACTTATAGTTATTAATTGATTAGGCATCATATATAATAATAATATAGCCTAAATATATTTTTTTAACATATTATGAATAGGTAGGTAGATAGATACTTACTTTTACGGTCGTAGTATATAAAAGTTATCACAATTTAAAATTTATTAGTTATTTTATTAACATCTGCCATGATCTGAGAAAGAGCACTTATAATTGCAATTAAAATTTATACAAACAAATAAAGATAATAAATGGGCATTCAGAAAATGACATCATTTTCAACTACGGCGTAGTAGGAGGACGGTCAGTGTCAGTCTTGAGTCAGTAAAGATCAGATTGACGGCTCTAAAGGACTGACTGGTTTGAATTTGTATGAATCAGAAGCAACATTTATAATTTAATTGGATTGAATTCAAACAACAGAACAATTGAGACAACTTGGGAGATAAAATGCAATCACATGTAGTAATGATTCGAATCAGAAATTACTAAAATAAGATTTGTATGATCAAATGAGCATTGTGTGATCTGAAGAAAGATGGGACGAAAAATGATAAAAAATAATAATTTTAATTAGAGGAAATAAACAGAAATCTTTGAAAATCAACCTTAATTACGTTAGACTGACAGCTAACTGATAGAATGTTGCCAACTATCAAGGCCTATTTTCTCGATAAGATTAAGTTGAACGTTTTTATCAAAGAATTTAATTTTGATTTATATAAAATACAAAGTGGAAGTCCTTAATTTTAAACCATATAGATATACGTATCTTTAATAAATTAATGTTGAAATTTAGAATTTTATTTTCTTTGATTAAATAAATTTTAAATATTGTCGATGGCGACACTAACTTTATTTTTCTATTTTGCATTTCATTCATAACTGGAAATCTTATAATACCGCCGCTGCTACCAATTTTTTAATTAATTACCATTATTCATATAACCCATTTTTGTTTTTCTGTGATTTTTATAAACGAGTAAAACTTTCACTGTGTACCAACTAGTTTCATAATAAAAAAACATATCACTGTGAGTATTAATTTGTTAGTTTAAATAATCGGTAATTGTGATGCTTAACATTTCTTCACAGAGTGTCGTTTAAATTCAGTAGGTGGTACATTAATTTTATGTACCTATTGAATTTCTAAATTGTAAAAACATTTCTAAAGGTTTTCTGATAATTTTGCAATATTGTTTTATATTATTCGAAAGGACCGCTGACACGTGGCCAGCGAGTGCATTATTTATGTATCAGTAGTTGACCGTTATTTGCGTGAATTTTTTTGATATTACAATTATATTTATGTTTAATTATTTTCATATCACAGAATATTAATAGTAATAATCAGAATATCATCTATATCGAATTTGAAGGTTTTTATTATGCTTTCGGTTTGTCTCTTTTTTGGTATATAAATTGAATGTCTATTAGGTACTGGTTATGTATTTTTGAGTTTATGTTAGCAAATACTAAGAAAAAGGATGTTGTAATTTTGAGGTTTTTGTATATCCACTGATCAGATTATTACTTTTGGTGTCTGGTTATTTTTTTAGGCATCATAATTCCTGAACAGAAAGCTGCATGTTATCAGGAGATATTTTTCTACCTGGTTTGAATAAACATGATAGATATAAGTACCATATAGCATAGCATGTTAACAAATTTCTAGTTTAAAGCACCAGATTGTCTTTCATGGTGTAACTGAATGGGAATTAATGATTTATATAGCTGAGAGATGCAAGTTTGACTATCCCTAAGTATTATGAGTGCATCTACTCCATTGACCTACTAGTTGCTAGATTAGTATTTCAGTAATATTCTTAAATTTTTAACCTGTCATTTAAGATTATGTGATTTGTATAAAAAAAATATATAAGTATTTTTATATTTTAATCATGTTTTGCAATAAATTGGATAATAAAGTACCTATATATTCTTTATTGTTTTTTTCAAAATGATTATGGTAGCAGTAAAACAACAAGAATAAAAGTGATAAAAAATAAAATATAATGATGAATTTTGAAAGTTGTTTGGTTTTATGTACAGAATAACTTTACCTAAATGATCACATTAATTCATGTCTCTTATAAACCATTAATCATGCAATCAGAAAGTTAATATATAACTTTATATCAGCTCATAATAGCATTTTTCACAGATGGCAGATGTACCGGAAGTAACAACTTCATCTCCATCAGAGTTGCTAGCAGCAGGACGGCGGCATCTTGCTGTAAGAGACTTCAGTTCTGCAGCTGGTGTCCTAGCTAAGGCTTGTGAGGCCCTCGCTAAGGAGCATGGTGATATGGCCGATCAGTGTGCTGAGGCTTATTTATGGTAAAATTATATTTATATAGGATCATTATCAAAGATGAAATGCTATTATTTCACAGTTTATTTCAAAAATTATGTATAAACTTCCATTTTAGAATTATAAGTGTGTTTTTCTTTTATAGGTATGGTAAAGCACTTCTTGGCTTGTCCAGAGAAGAGAGTGGTGTCCTTGGAGATGGTATGCCAGGAACTGGAAATCCTGAGGATGATGAAGAGAATGAGGGTAAGTATAAACATGTAAATTTTTTTTTATATAAAAATAAACCAAATTTTTAACTGTTGCTTTATCATTTTTTAAGTTTAGCTTTCTCTGTGTTATTTCTTTTTAAATTAAGAATTTATCTTAAAAAGATAAACATAATATTCCAATATCTAAGTTTATTTAATATTGGATGTTTTTTTATGAATTACTAAGTAAAAATTTATTTCCAAAAAAGACAAAGAAGTAGTTCAATAGTTCAAAATAGATTTGATAACATCTGAAATCTAGTTATTTGTGGAATTTCTAAATTAGGGCGAAATTTTGCAACATGATTTAATAATTTTTTTTTTTATTAATTTGTTGTTATATTTTAAAGATGGTGCTGACGATGGTGAAGAGAACCAGAATGGAGAAGCAGAACAAAATGTTGAGAACAACAAGGAAGTTGAGGTGGAGAAGATTGAAGCCGAATCTACCACAAAAGAAGAAGAGCCTGGTAGCAGCACAGTTGCTGCAGGGGACAGTGATGAACCAGTGAGTAAAATAATATTAGGTTATATATTATTTATATTTAACATCTGTTAGGATTAAAAAATGAATTTTCAGTCATCATTCCAAAGAAACAAACAAATTGTATGAGAAAAAAACAAGTTTAAAATTAACCTTTTAAAAGCAGTTAAGTATTGATTGTAACACTTTTTTGTGGAAAACTACAATGTTTTTCTAATAATATCAATATCTATTATTAGAAAAACATTGTAGTTGTAAATATATTAAGATTAGGCATTGATAATATTGGTACCGCTCCAATATATGTTGGGTTCTTTAGGACATTAAGGGATGAATAAAAGTCATTACCCATTCCGATATCACCAACCCATACTGGTCGGATATTTCTATTAATTTCGATCGTGTTCTTTATTTCGACAAAAAAAATTATATAACAAACATTTATCATGTTCATAAAAGACATGCTGTATCCCACAGTTTTGCTTGTGTGAAAAATACATAAAATATTTTTACAAACTTTCACAATTATAAAAGTACTTATTTATTTATTTATTCATTACTACAAATCAAATCATAAATGTTTGTCTGACTGTTAGCACGTCCCATTTCCTATATAGTTCTGTAGTGAAATAGTGAGATGGGAAATTAAAATTATAATAGTACATAGTATGATTTGCGAAATATGTTTGATATTATATACGAATTTATAGAGTATAGAGGAATAACATCCGAGTCCTCAGGAAAGGCAATACATGCGAGATATCATGGGTGAAACAATATACTCTGTTATGTCCACGGTACTGCTTATGTCTATAGGCGACGATTACTTTCTATCAGGTGGGCCGTCAGCTTGTTTGCCATTCTAAGTTGCATAAAAAACATGTTATTTTACTTGTCTATTTTGTCAGCAATTTTAAGTGTGGGTTTGTACACAAAGGTTTGTCAGGATGGACGATATCTGTCTTCCACGCAAAAACTACTGAACGGATTTGAATGAAATTTATTACACAAGTAGGTAATATCCTAACTTGCAGCAGATAGGATAATTTATGTACTAATTTATGAGGGTGAAGCTGCGGAGTATGGCTAGTATAGTATAGTTCTTACCTATTTTAGGGTACAAGCAATAATGGTGAGGCAAATGAGGAATCTGAAGTGAACCTTGACAATGAAGATGATGTTGATAATTTGCAATTGGCCTGGGAGATGCTTGGTAAGTAAGAGTTTTTTTTTTCAATGGATGATAATGGGATGGTAATCCCGCTTACGCTAACGGTATACGCTGGCGGAGCACCAGTGAAGGATGATAAGTGAGAAAGAAAAGGTAGGTCAGTTAGCCCATCATGATGAATACACCTGATATTCATTATGATGGTTTCCAGAAGCAACCATGTGGAGGTCAACCCAATAGGGTATATTGCTAGCAATGGGACTGGTAGTCCACATTACTAACAATCCCTTCCCCCCTAAGTAATAGTATTATTTTGAACTGGTTTAACGATAATGATTTTTTCTCAGAAGTATTCATGATCTCACCAAAAGAAATGATATATATCGCTTTGAATAAAAATATTTTATTAACATAATAAAATTTTAATTAGACAATGTTTGTAGGTACATGTGAGATATTTAAGAAAAATTTATATGAGCGGTCTTGATAAGAATAATAGAAACAAAACAATCATTTTTAGAATTTTATCTATATGTCTGCATGTTTGTTTTGGTATTAAGTAAAAACTATTGCACCAAATTGCAAAACGGTTTGCACTGTTGTTTTTCTGAAGGTCTAACTTAAAAACTGGTATATGTTTTATCTTAATACGCTATCTAATCTGTTTTATTGGTTTTCCTATTTCTGAAATCCATACGTACAGAGTAGCAGACATATATTTCTTTTCAATAAATATTACTTTTTAAGTAGTAAAGTTATTATTATTGTATAAAAAAAAAAAAACCTCCATGTGTAGTGTGATTACTGTCACAACCAAAACACAAAATAAGTTATTTGCGACATGTATTGTGATAGAAACATTATAAAAGTAAAATGTATATTGTATAAATGTGTCACATTATTGTAATATATGTACGATATTATAAAGAGGAAAGATTTGTATTTTTGTGTGTATGTATGTTTGTAATGAATAAACTCAAAAACTACTTTGCCGATTTCAAAAATTCTTTCACTATTAGAAAGCTACATTCACTGTGAGTTAACATAGGCTATATTTATTGCTAGAAAAGATTAGGAATCCTTACTAAAACTTTAGTAACGTTACTCAAGGTGCTATAAAATATCTTTCGTCGCGTGCACTGTGGAAACTATTGATGATAGAACAAAAGTATGTTCTAAAATATTGAAGAAAATATCAATAACTACAAAAAACTTTGCAATATTATATGTCCAACTATTATCGTTATGTGACAATAACCACTTTTTAAAATGTTGTAAAAATATCCACCCGTGCGAAGCCGGGATGGGCCGCTAGTAAATAATAAAACTTTGTTTATGCCAAGCTGTATTTTAAATATGGTGTTTGATTATTGTGAAACTATTGTATCGCATGATGTTGGCAGACCTGGCGCGCAACATTCTGTCTCGGCGTGCGGAAGAAGCCGCTGACGGCGTGGCGGCTCGCGCTTTGCTCGCGGACGTGCACCTGGCACTGGGCGAGGTGGCGCTCGAGAGCGAGACATACGACAAGGCCGTTATCGACATGCGTGCGTACCACTTTTTTTTTTTTAATATTACGGCTTTGGATATTTCTTTTCAGCCAAACTTTAGAGAAATTTAAATTTATTGTTGTAATAATTAATTTGATTCGATTGTCATCATTCCTGTTTTATAAGACGACTTTCTAACTCTCCTGTTTTTGCCCCTATTAAGTCTACTTATCGAGATAAAATTATTTTACCACTTAGATTGAAAAGACTGATACATTTATTAAATTCGATTGAACGGTTTCGGAGATAATGTGTGAGAGAACGTGATGAACAGGGATCGTGACATGGGATTTTTTTTTTATTGAGATTTTCATGGTAGGGCAGGTGTATGGCAAGGCTACACGGTGACAATTTGAGTTGATCTCACAAACTTTCGTTGTCTAGAAATAGTTTTTATTATTTATTGTGTGGCAGTTATTTTTTAAAGTTTTTTGTTTGGTTGAGATAATATTTACTAATTTATATATATTTTTTTATTTTACCACAGAAAGTTGTTTGGAATTGCAAAAGGAACTTTACCATAGCGATGATAGGAGAATTGCTGAAACTCATTACCAAATTGGTGAGTAGTCTATATTTTTTTTATTGTTGTGTTCCCGAGGGTTTAACTTAAAATTTGGTGTCTGTTTCATCTTGATATGAAAGTAGACTCCTTAAGTCTTTTAGATATTATGAAATCATAATATGTGAAGAAGGACATAAGGAGACTACTTGTCACCCTGAATACACTAATTAAAATGCAGCCGCTACATATTAACTTAACTTTAATATTAACATAATAATACCTACTATAGTAGTACCTATTATAGTAGTATCTATATATAGCATCGTTCATTATATCAACCGGTAACTGTTTACTGCTTACCATTAGCCTCCCGTATGGGGGGTTTTGCCAGTAGTTGCTATGCTTGGCAGGTGGGTTAGCAATCACAATTAGCGTTTGGTGATGTTTTAAGAGGGACACTTGTTTTTTTTTGATGGGTGAAAATGGAATGGTAACCCCGCCTGCGCTAACGGGATACGCTGGTGGAGCACCAGTGAAGGGTGATAGATGAGAATGAAAACACGTCAGTTAGGCCATCATTATGAATTCATCAGGAATTAGCCATGATAGTTTCCAGGGGGAACCGCGAGGAGGTCGACCTGGTTGGGTATATTGCTAGCAATGTAATTCTCAGTCTCCATCACTAACAATCCCTTTCCTCCCAGAGGGACACTATTGCCCATCCCTTGGCCATTAAATTTTCTCAGTCGCTTCTTATGACACTCACAAGAAAGGAAAAGATGACTCATTCTATGCCAGGACTAGACAGTCAAAGTAATATTAGTCAACTTTAAATATATATTTTATTTACAGGACTTGCAAACTCCTTGGCATCTAATTTTGAGGACGCAATAACACACTTCAAAAACGCGGCGAACATTCTAGAAACTCGCATCAAGACGCTAGAGAACCCTTCAGCAGCGAAAGATGATGCCACCGTAAAGAAATTCTCATCGGCCGATCCGTTCTACACTGTTGAGGGCGAGATTAAAGAGCTTAAGGAGCTGCTCCCTGAAATCCAGGAGAAAATTCAGGACATGATGGATTATAAAGCTGAGGTAAGACCGTGTGATTGTATAGAGGAGACTAGAGAAATGTTGCGCGGTATGATGCTTAAGGAGAAGAATCTCCGCCACGTGGACTGTAAAGCTTAATGCTCATTGAATGTATGTTTTACTTAAATAACCCACCTCTTGGTAAGCATTTGAATAAATTGTAATATTCAAATACGAAAATGGACTGAATAGTTATTATATGAACTAGTATTTGTCATTTTAAAACTATATAAAAAATCATGATTGACAATTTTTTAAAAGCGTATCTGATAAATAAATAAAGCTACTCTTACTTTTAGCTACTAGTGAAGTTAGATTGCTTCAATACATCTACAATTTGGTGTACACATAAAAAAATCTTTTTACATGACAATGCAAAATGATTGTTATTAACTTAGCATTAGGTGTATATTAAGTCACCAACTCATATTTTCTTTAAATCACAAGAGAGACTGAACGAGATTGCCAGACTTAGATAATAAATTGATTAAATATGAAACATTCCATAAATGATAAGTTCCTATATGCAAATGTGCCAAATTCAGTATTTTGTAATTGTGATATTTTATTGGTATTTTTAACTAATTGTGTTTTTGTGATTTTTGTCTTAAGTAAGGAATTCCAGTAATCAATATAAGTGCCTTAGTAATCTCAAGTGACATTTTAATACTCGTAATATGTGTAAGTTAAATTTGAGACTGTTATTGTGTAACTGTTAATATTAAGTTTTGTACCACACGGCCATTTTTGTATTGTGATTGAATTTGAAATAAAAATAATTGAAATTCGAACATTGTTTTTTTTTATTTCGGCCCCATCCCAATGCATTAATGGCCAAGTGGTCGTTTTATTATTCAGTGTACTGAACAATAAAATAACTGTATTATTATGTATATATTTTTTTTTTATAAAATTTGTTATTTGCCAAATAATATTAAATAAATTGGCCATTATGTAATGTACATATATACATATTACTATATATATATTAGAGTGTACCAGAAAAGTTTTAATCATTGAAAATTATCACCCAAAATTAACACGCATTTCATATAAAAGATAATTTTGTAAATTAGATACATTCAGAAGCAATAAAAATAGTATTAAATACAATCTAATTACCAATAATAGTTTGAAATAATGCTAGTGTGCAATATGCTTATAAAACTGTAAGTAAACCCGAAACACAGCCATAGCGCTTCACGGTAGAAACACGAATGGAACAGAGGTACCCAAGCAAACGACTTTTGTACAGTCTCTTTCTGGTCACTACTAGATAACTGATAGACATATTTAAATATTTTTATATATACTACTTTATATATATGTATACATATTATACATAGAAAACTAATAAAAAATAATTCGAATTAAATAAATTAAAATTTATTTAAAATCTATAAATATTTATATTCTATATATATTATAAATCTAAAATTATAATCTAAATTCAAATTAATACAAACATACATATGAATACAAATGTATTGTGCGTGAATCGAATTATCGACCATCGGTAGGTGAAAAAAAAATTTAATATTAAGCAATGAATTATTATAATTAATTATTATTAATCAGGTAAACCACCAAAGTCGTTAAACTGAAATGTATTCAAGATTTATTAACATCATAAATAATAATGAATAAAAAATATATTAAAATACCTCTACCTGCAACTAAAAAATAGTCTACCTGCAATATAGTTCACATTGCTAGTCTATGTGTTTGACTGGTATAAAAAGAAACTGCTATCAGCCAGTGACCTACTGGCATTTTAGTTACTTGATAACCAATAAATACTGTTCAATACAATACCATATCAACCATTAACTGTCCACCGCTGAACGTAGGCCTCTCTCATAAGGGGGGTTTTGCCAATACTGCCATGTTTTTTGACGCATCGGCAATCGCAGTTAACCTTTTGGTGATATTTTGAGAGGGATGCTGCCTATCCCTCGACCATTAAGATTAAGATTATAGAAAGACTTAATTGGCATGACATCGATATGGAAGTAAATATTTTGGACTAAAAAAATATCAAAATCGGTTCCCACACACATATAATAATAAAATAAAAAAAAAATACAGTTTTTGAAATTTATCTTTAGCCATTTTTTCGTCTTATTAAATAATAACTTAAATAAGTAACAGTAGTTACGCCTTAACCAGACACAATTTTTCTTCCATCCTAAGGTTGCCAGGAAGAGATTTAGTGATAAGGCCGCCCATTGTTGCTTCTATAAAGAGGCAACAATAGGCGGTTTTATCACTTATCAAAGCAAGATAATTTGCTTTTATGTAATTAATTCTTCATTTTGTTTGTTTACATCTTTGTAATCTGTATCATTCTTTGAAGGGAACACTCAAGAGTTTTTATTCATTTATTTATTCATACAGTTCAATCAAGGACCTTTTTTTAACTCGTATAAAAATATATATCCTTTCTTTCAGACAATAAAACGTGTACGCGAGACCCTTTGTTCTGCAAACGGAGAGGGCTCATCGCACATTAACGGCGCCAGTTCCAGCACATCATCACAAAAACCCGCAGCAGACATCTCGCATCTTATCAAGAGGAAACGGAAGTCCAGCGAGGGCGACGCCGAGTCGTCCGCAGCAAAAAGGGTTAACACGTGAATTTAGAGTGTAACTATCTGTACAACCAAGAACCTTAATGCCTGGTATTAGAGGTTGTAATGTACAGATACTATTTGGAAAAGATGAAAGTGCTCGTGAGGCAAAGGAATTGTGCATTTCAAATTAGTATATGCAGGTTGGAATCTAAATATTTATTAATACATGGGCGAAATGCGACAAAACATTTCAAAAATTTTAACATTAACACGACGCGTTCGTCTTTCAAGTTATTATGGAGACTAACTCTTTTATCATTATTAATAAAAACCTTTTTACAAATCTATTATAGTTTTGTCACTTTTATTCAAATTGAGAATTTAGCATAAAAGAAAGAGACAAAATAGTTTAATAGCTAAAATAGGTTTACGAGAGGTTTGCGATTTTTATGGATAAGGGGCTTTTTTTGTCAATTTACGAATTATATTCCTTTGTAATAAGAAAATACAGTTTCATGCCCTTTAATGACGCGAATGATTTCGATTTCACCCTGACTTAATTTTAATTGTATATTAATCGATTTGTTTTAATAAAATTTTAATAATCAGTATATTGAATCCAATTCTCTGGGGTCGTAACTATTCTCGCAACAAAGTACACGAGTACTTGTTTCGCATCGATTCCTTTGTGGTCACTAGCACTAATCAAGTAACAGACTGAGTTATTTAGTACGAACTAGATTTAGATTATTTTAACGATTATTTTATGAATCCTTTTAAATTATTACATTAGAAATACTGTTCAGGGAGGTTCAAAAACCTATTTTACACGAATCATAACGTATTATAATTTTTTTTATAACTCTCCGATAAAACTTAGTCGCCTAATATTATAATATCCTCAATACTGAAGTATGCACAAATATGTATTATATGTTAATTTTCAAAAATAAATAAACAATTTTTAATATTAATGAATTATTTTTTAAAATAATTTAAAAAACGTTAATCCTAGAACATTATGCATATAAATCTATCACTAAATATATAGCTACTATTTCATATTTGGCTTGTAATGTAATTTAATGTAAATTAGACTATTTTCCGCGCTCAGCCTTTCTTCATATTTGATTTTTAAATTTCTCAAGTAATATTTCTGTGATAGTTTATTACGAATCTCATTGAAGGATTAACATTTTTGTTCACTATTAGAGTACTTTTTAAATTTAGAAATATTGAAATTATTTAATTACAGATAATAATTAATTAATGTAGCAACATTTTACCATAAACGCATTTGAGCTCAGCAAGTTATATAAAATGAGTCTTATTTTTAGCAGTATAATCTGGCATATTTTCATGCAGTCCTCCCCTGCAAATCGTTGTTGTTGATTCCGGTGGATTCGTCACGATGGCCCAACTGACCTGATTATATCCTCACCCAGTATCCTTTACTGGTACATCGCCACCTTATCTAATAACGCATGCGGGGTTTCTATTTTATTTTTATCTCTTAAAAAAGTCTTATTTGTGTGTAAAACAAGTTTTGTCACTTCCCTGGTTGTTTGTATTATTTTTACAGCAATCTAAGTAAAATTGTATAACATAATAAAACTTAGAAGTATATTTAATCACATGGTAGTTGTAATGTTTTATGAAAGGATTTCTTTCAACGAAAAAATAAAATTGTGAGGGTCATTTAAAGTCAACCCGGCTCGATGGAATAGTGGCGATGGCAATTCGTGACTATTTGAAAGTTGGCTTTAGTTTGAGCATACTGTTGGTATAACAGAAATAAACGGCGTTGCTCAGTGCCTTGCGTTTGATACTGCTGTTCGCTGCCGCGTAGTCAGTCTCGACCGACCCTAATTACGTGCACAACTTTATTTTTTAGTTGATAGGATTTTTTGTAGCGATTTAGGTACATTATTAAATTTGTTATGGAATTTAGGTGTAAAAGATTAGCGGAGGGAAGAGGGAGTATAGTAAATTTATATTTATTATACTCTTGAGTTATTGTCGAATCATAAATGTGTTCCTAATTATAAGTAATATTATCAACAACAAATTCACGATGAGATTCGATGGTAAATAAAAGAAAGGTGTACCGAATTTTTCCTGAAACAATTATCGTGAGAATAAATATATTATTGTTTTTAATATCCTTTTTAATTTACATGATTCTATTTGGAAAGTATCAATAAGAAATTGTCATCCCTTAAAATAGAACTGTAATTCGAACGACTTTACGATAAATTTTATATATTTATTCAAAGTGAAGCGTAAAAATGAATTAAAATATAAGGCGTCACTGTTAAGCATACTTCTTTAAGTTAGAAATGTCTGTTTGAATAACTGGATTTTATACAAATACAAGTTAATTGCAATTGTTTATTAATATAATGTTATTATTGTTAAAGATTCTGTGCATTAATTTACGTGTAATCTTTAGTGACCAATATAAGAATAACTTTTGATAAAATATCATTTTATTGATCTTGATGAACTGTCCTGTGTTAAATAAGAACGAAAATATGAAAATTAACAATGGATTTACACAGACAAGGGACAACTTGTCCGAGGAGGAAAAAACCTCCTTGATAAGTGGGATGTTAGACTATTAAATATATATGTATAGGTCCATAGCGACACGGAAGCTATTATAGTTTTACTTTATCTTGTATAGTCAACTTATTGTACATAATTATGATGTGTAGTCCGGAATTTTAAGAAAAATAAGGCTTCACCTACCTTGCAGGTTGTTCACTTCACTGACGTCGACTTACTTTATGTAAGTAAATGCTTTCTTTTTTCTTTATATTTTTATTTATAAGCGCTGTATCTTTATATATATAAGGGTCTATAATCTACAAATATTTTATTATCATAATTTATAGGTATTTTCAACTCAACACTTCTTATCGCAATTCTGTAAATAAACTATGTACTTGTTATTATGCAATTTAGAATGGAAATGTTGACAAACTATTTGATGGAAAGTGGTAACCGTCGCCTATAGACATGAGTACTGACCATGGACATAATAGAGTATACTGTTTCGCCCATGATACTCCCCCTGCGTTGCCACTCCTGAGGACTCAGGTGTTATTCCTCTGTGTTAAATCACTGCTATATTCCACCCTTCAAACCGAAACACATCCATGCAACAACTGCTTTACGGTAGAAACACGAATGGGACAGTGGTGCTCCAAGCATATGATTTTTGTACAAAGTCTCCCTCTAGTTTTGTCTATAGACACAAACTGCAACATTGAGACATTGAGTAATTCGACGCACATGTTATTTTTCAGAATGGAAATTATTGTTTCATTTAATTCATTATCATATAGTGAAGTTCTTATTTTTATTCACTATTATAAAACGTGAAAGTGATTTTAAAAGCAATCAATTAATATTGTATTCGGCATTATTTGTTATTGAAAATGAAATATAAATTATGATTTCGAGGATAAGAGCGAACGAATAGAGACTTGAACGCAGCGTGATAAAGTTTCTATACGCTTGCATTGTAGTTTTCGTAAAGTGACCCCCTACTAGATGGAGTGATGACATTAAATGCATTGATGGATGTCAGTGGATAAAGGTGGCTCAGGAGCGTTCCTTATGGCAGTCTATGGGGGAGGCCTATATTCAGCAGTGAATAGTGGCTAATATGATAATATGAAATATTCCAAACTTACTACTTTTCATATATTCCCATTCAGAGCTAGCAGACTATCGGTTAGGTATTATGTCTCTATATTTTGTTAGTGGTGGGCACCTTGCTATGCGTAAACAAGCAGAACCCGGGTAGGGCTCCATTCCCTGTCGGGCTATGTTACGAAATGAGTTTTTCTGATTCTGAATCGGCACTTGTCTGGGTGTTCTAGGTTGTGTTCAGATGTCCGGTGCTTGGTTTCTCATAATACCGAATAAAGCTTGAGTATTAAACGATTGGTGTGATTGCGGCACATAGACTTAGTAAAACATACCTACTATGGAGACAGGGGGCGGGGTTATTATTGCAGACTACCAGTCTCATTGCTAGCGATAGGTCGACCTCCTCGTGGTCCCCCCCTGGAAACCATCGTGTTGAATTCCAGGTGTATTCATCACGATAGGCTAACTGACCTACGTTTTAATTCTCACCTATCTTCCCTCTTTGGTGCCCTGCTAGTGTATACCGTTAGCGCAGGCAGAGTTACGATTTCATTATCATCCATTAAAAAAAACTACGGTAGCAAATGTACTCAAAACTTGTACAAAGCCTCCACTCTGCTAACCTAAGTACTTTATATTAAAAATAAATATAAAAGGCTAGATAAATAAAACAAAAGAATAAAAATAAACTACTGGCAAAACCCCCGTTATGCGGGAGGTCTATGTTCAGCAGGGGACAGTTAAAAGACAAAACAGTTAAAGACGGCTGATAAGAGGAAATAAAACAGGTCATCACCTGAGATGACCCGTATTCACGACCCGAGCATAATGATATTATTGTAATAAATAAATCATTATCGAATACTGAATTCTTATAATACCTTGATAAAATTATATTCTGATTGGTTGTTATTTGACCTTTTTTTCTTTGCCTGTGTATTGAAGTAATTATGGTCTCGTAAACCATAGATGTAGTATAACGTAAGTCTAATACAAACGCAATACTTACCTATTTATTCGAATACCTTGTCAAATTATTGTTGTTAACAAGTCACATAATTTGCACTCGGATGATAATATATTTGATTTAAAATTATCGTATCTTAACCTTCAATATAAAAAAAAAAAACAGTAGTCACATATTTCACTTTTAAATATGGCCAGTGGTGATACTTCGTTGCTTTCAAAACACATGACTTTTTCAAAATCAAAATTACCACTCATCGGGGCCTTAATTGATTATATGGACACCAGCCTTGATTATGTACGGCGGAAGACCTTCGCTCAAGCTGAGAAACTCCACGCCAAAGCCTCCAGAGCCACGCTCTCGGCGACTTTCATGGCGGCTGTGTGTTTTGTTTTGGGAACAATTTGCAATGTTAAACTCGAAGTGGTGAAGTTTGATGAAGATCCACTTCCTAATGATCTCCACGTCATGTTGATGAGTAAAAATGACAAATTATATATTGATGATATTGACGTATCAAGTGAGTTTTTCCTATTGATGTATTTAAGATTATTTTCCAGAGTGGGTCTGGCCTCTTATAATAAAAATAACTATTATTCGTTTGGAATGTGGTCTGTACAAGAAAGACGAAAGCTACCAGATACAAGGGAAATACTAGCATTTTTTTTAATGGATGATAATGAAATAGTAACCCCACCCGCGGTATCGGTATACGCCGGCGGGGCACCAGTGAAGGATGATAGATGAGGATGAAGTAGGTCAGTTAGCCCATCGTGACGAATTCAAGAAGAATTTTTCACGATGGTTTCCAGGGGGAACCACGTGGAGGTCGACCTTATAAGGCATATTGCTAGCAATGGGGCTATCAAACTCCATTGCTAACAATCTCTTTCCCCCCAATACTAGCATTAGATAAAGCAAAACTTTTAAAACGTTTAACTATTATACGGATTCTAAATAGAAAAAACTTAGTTTATGCCAATTTTCTTGGGGCAGATTTAATTTCTAAAAGTAAAACATTCCAGTGTTTGATAAACAATTTTAGGGTGGGCACGGCTCATTAGTAGATACTTATTTACTATAATGACAATTCATAAAATTGCAGAAATTATGTGGTGCATTGAAGCGTCTGATACACTCGTCATGTTGATCAGCTGTCTTCTTATATGGAATTCGTCTAATGTGGTTCGTAAAATTATGTATGGTTTTAAAAACAAAATAATAAAGTGTCGAAACGTTGTTTTACATACGCACATAGATAATCATTATTAATATTATGTGAAAGTGTGTTTGTTACCTCATTAGCATCTAAATGGCTTAGTTAATCACTATGAAATTTGGTATACACGTACCTACTATATGAGATCGAGGCTATAGGCTACTTTTTACCCCAATCAACGAATATATCCCGGTCATGCGAAGTCGCGAGTAAAAGCTTGTAATATAGTTTAAACTAAGTATTTTGAAATTTATTAAATCTAACCAAAATTGTTAAAAATAAATTTGTTTGCAAGCTAGGAATCCCCGATTTACGCAAAATATAATAAAATACTAAATCTACTAATCCTTAACGTAAATATTTTTTTTAGTAATTATAAATAAGATTAATGTCCTTCATTATCAGTACCAGTTACTTATGAACACTGTCGTATTTAGTGCCTAATGAATTAGTCACGATGAGCCAACTGATTTAATTACTGATCCATTTTCACCTCTCATACCTCAGTAGTACATCGCCAGTGTGAATTAATAGCAGCAGAGGTCATAATTCCATTTTATCTTTTAAAAAAGCTAGGTATCTTCAAGTTGTAGGAAATAATTATTGAGACAAATTAACCATGTTAATGCAACACATAAGAGTTAATTAACATTTATTAATAAACATGTACAGTTGTGTAACTTACATATGGAATAACAGAGTTCTGTAATATATTAGTTCGAACACATGATGAATCACTTCAGATATACAAATAGACTTTAAACTTTAACTACAGCCTTGCCGAAATTTTCACCTGCTAGCATACCAGTAAATGCCTTGTAGAGATTATCAAAGCCTTCTGTGATGTGTTCTCGAGCTTTCAATTTCCCACTTAGAATCCACTGAATAATATCAGCGAACGCTTCAGGCCACCGTTCCCTCCACCGGCTTACGATAAATCCTTCGACTTTTAACTGTCTGAAAACTACGGCAGGTTGTAAAATAGTCGCTTTGGGTAAATTATCTAGATTATCATTGTATGAGCTGATACTTCCACAGACAGATACTCGTCCAAACACGTTCATCTGATTTATAATAACGCTGCTCAACTCTCCGCCGACGTTGTCGAAATAACAATCTACACCTTTCGGAGCGGCATTTTTTAGAGCTTTGGCGACATCTGCAGTTTTATAATTGATGGCCTTGTCGAATTTTAGTTCTTTTTCTAACCATTGCACCTTATCGTCAGAGCCAACGAATCCAATCACTTTGCAACCTTTAATCTTAGCTATCTGGCCTACTATAGATCCCACAGCGCCCGCAGCACCTGACACAACTACCGTTTCACCAGGTTTAGGCTTGCAAATTTCTAGAAAACCAAAATACGCGGTTGCCCCCGGCATTCCCACAGCTCCCACGCCTAGAGAGTTTGGTAATCCGTGTAAGTCAGGCAATTTGTAGGTAGTCTCAAGGAGTTCTGTGTTTAATTTTGGATTAATGATTGTGTAGTTTCGCCATCCTTTATGTGAGACTACTCGACTACCAACTGGGTAATCGGGATTCTTGCTTTCTTGCACCAATCCGACTTGATAACTAAACTGATCGTAAGGTACATTTACTTGAGAATTGTATGCTCTCAAATACGGGTCCACGCTGATCCATTCCGCTTTTACTAGAATTTCATTGTCCTTCAGTGGAGGTAATTCCTCTTCGACTACTTCAAAATCGGACAATTTCGGTACGCCTTGAAAATAATCCTTTACTACGTATTTTCTAGCTTTCACCATTGTGAATATGATGTTAATTTATTGCTGCAAACAAAAAATAAATTTAGATTATGCACTTTAAAAAAAAAAAAAAAACTATTGTCTATACAGTGTATTGGAACTGCGCCTTTTAAATAAAAACCAGGTAAGGTCCATATCATGACTGACATGACATATGTAATCAGACCATATTTTACAACTGTTACTTTAAAATAATAATAATTACATAGGTACATATTTTAAACAATGTAAATGATAAATTTTTAGGTCTCTATTTGATGCAATATTTTCATTACATACCTACTTAGATACTACTTTAACTAGAAGTTTACAGATCCAAGTTCAAAGTGGAATATTTAATGCCGACTTGTTTTTGACCGATTGTATTTAATGTGGAGAATAAATTATTATGTACCGACATACCTATTTATGAATCGTTCCACTTGTTTCTAGTAACTAGGTATCTAAGCATTTTTTCGACATCGACTTCTTGTAGCTAGTCGGATTGGATTCCGAATCCGATTTTAATGATTATATTATCTATTATTTAATCAAAATATTTCACAATACCTACATGTATGACTGTGATAGTCTAAAATTTTATTTCCATACCTAGAGACGAGACGTTTGTTTGTAAAAAAATATTATAAGTAGGTATCTAGTTAATTGATTTTTACTGTTTTTAAAGACATTTTAGCTCAAAAGTTTTAAAACGTTTACTTTTGTGGATATCAATAAAGTTAAGTGATACCCGTCTTGTACCTATTATTATTCAATTTCTCTAGTATGAATGTCTGCTTGCTTCCAATTGAGGACCGTTATTACCAATTTGTTATTCATAGTAACTGAACTGACCTTAAAATCTCAAATTTAAAATTACGATTTTTTAATCTTAAGTATGTAACTGTGTACTACTTAAATACAATAATGACACACATCTTTTTGCCATGGAACACAATCTTGAATTATTTTTAACAAATATAATAAATGTAACAAAAATATAATAAAATCCACCTGTGTACATTTTCGTTATAATCTAAATATGTATATTAAAATAAATGTACAAAAGTATATAAATAAAACTAATGTTTACAACTTTGTTTTCGTAATGGCCGTGAATTACCATAACAGTTTTTATTAATGCAGTTATTTATAAACCAAATCGTTACTAGTTTCCTTGGTTCTAAATAAAATCTTTAATTCTTACAAAAATTTTTAATTCCGGGAATATCTTAAGTCACCAAGGGAACAATGCATAATACGCCCGTATAAAAAAGATCTCGAAACAAAACTCAATAGGCAGGTATATATAGCTGGGCCGGCTAGCGCAGGAATCATGGAGTAATTATTAATTTCCTCTTATACAGAAATGTCCTGTCCACGAGTGGGACATTAGTGGGTTATTATACATTTGAATGAACAGTTAAATAAGTATGTTAGCACTTACTGTTTAAAATAATTTTAAAATCACTTTTGCTCTTTCGTTTAATGAACCGGTCCAACTGAGCTATATTTCACACAACACACGCGACAATAACCGGCTAGCAACTGGCAAGGCGAACGCGAAGTGGTCTTGGGTTGAATCTTGACGAATGAGTTATTGAATTACGTCAAAGTTAGAAAATAGTGTTGCTACCTGTTTGTATCCGTAATTCCACATTGCGTTAAAATTATAGAATTAAGAGATGTACATACATTCAAGCGTGACAAATATAAAAACAAGATTTAGCTTCATTGATGTCAGTGTCATTAATATCTTTAACTTTTAATTATCTATTACTGAGCATAAGGCTCACTTATAGATTACCAAAAGGTGCCAATTTGTCACTGCATTTAGAAGGATGGTTCTACACTGCATTTCATTGTACGAAATTGGCCCTCGAGTACTAACCCTGTTTTTGATGTGGAAAAATGAGTTTTTTTTTTATCGATTTTTCGAGCTATTTGCCGATTTATTGCTGTTTTAACTTGTTTTTGACTTGGGACATATAGATCACTTGGTAATTTTTTTGTAAATATCCTTTTTGAGTTATAAGACGCTTAATTTGTTTTTAAAAAAAAAATAGATTGCCTCTGATATTTACAAATTTGTCTAATTAGTCGTTACAATAATAAAATTGTAGGTTAAAAGTCTATAATATGTAATAACTAGTTTAACTTACGTGTAATTTGGCTGAGAAAGATTGTAAATTTTTTTTTAGTTAATTTTTTACATATAATGTTTAATTACGAACTATTTAACAATAAGTTAGTCATTTATATATGGGTCTTGCCAACATTACTAAGTAATAATAGTACTTATATTCTGGTATCCATATTCCGGCGCACACTGATGTAACACGAGTGCAATGAAAGACTACTATTGTTACACAAACACATGCAAGAAAAAATGTTCGCGAAACATGAAATGAAACTACAAATAATCGTAAATTGCTGACATAATAAAATCCATTTCTAGAATGTTACTATATTTTATAGGCAGTAAAAGGAAGGAGTCCATTGTACCATGATATTATTTTGTCGTCAAACTTATATAAATGTGCCAAATTTTAGCATAATAGGACACCAGTAAGCGATTTAAAATTGATTGTAAATTTTGAACAGAAAACACGTTACCTATGGAAATAAAAACTTGTAATATGAAGGTTGTGTTCCAAAAAAAGGCTTCAATTTTGACAGAATCAGGTATTTTGATCTTAAAATTAAACTATTGAACCGATTTTGATAAAATTCCTATAAGGCTAATCTGTAAGTATATCATTTCAGATAAAAAAGATTTTTCCAAATTTGTTTACAACTGACGGAGTTATAAAAAAACTGACGTAGATAAATATAAAAAAATTCAACCGAATTGAAAATCTCCTTTTTGAAGTCGATTGAAAACAAATCGTATATGTAATTGCAGTCGTGAATAAATTTATATATTTATTGAAATTTGCTATCGAAGTATGCAAATTTTTTGCTGGTCATCACATAAAATCGTATAGTCATCATAGATAATATTCATTACAGTCATTATGGCACTAAATGACGTCATGGACGCAATAAGTGTGAACATATACGTCTAATAACCAGGTGCGATTTGTATGATACGAATCATTAGTCATTGTTGTAATGTACAGTTAGTGTTCATTTTGCTAATTAACTTAGTACCGAGGTACCCATTGAAATGAAAATTACTCCGAAAGGTTTTGGGCTTGATGTCAAATGATTTTTTTTAAAAGGATAATGGAACGTATGACATATTTATCTATATTCTGTTACTAACTGTATATTATATTAGTCCCATAGAAATTTTATCAAAATTCGTTCAATATTTTAGTTTTTAAATAAAATTACTGGTTTTTCACAATTAAGTCAGTTTATTTTTATCGAACGAACTTATAAGTGAAGTTAGATTGTTATTAAATGTGTGTCGTCTGAACAAATTACAATCTAAATTAATATTATAAAGAGGAAATATTACATTTTTTGTTTGTAGAATCGATGACCGACGGGAAGAAAGGTTCTTGAGTGGTGACCCGTACGGGCAAACGCAGTGTGACGATCTCTTACTAGATGGCGTGATGACCTCAAATGCATTGCAGGAAATTAGTAGATGTAGGTAGCTCAGGACCGTTCCTTATGGCAATCTATGAGGGCGGCCTATGTTAAGCAATGGACAGATAATGGCTGAGATGATGGTGATGAATGGATAAATCTATAAACTTATTCAAAAAATATTTAACCGATTTTAAAAGTTCTTTTGCTTATAGAAAGCATCAACGAGTAACATGGGCTGAATTAAAATTCTAAAAATTATGCGCTGCCGACGCTGGCTGCTTGTAAAGTAATTTATTTATATTTGTATTTAAACAACACTACTGGGGAAAAATATTTATATTATGGTAGGATCTTTTAGAATTTAAAGATTATGATTGCTTACAGTTTTATGTTTCATCAAAATTTCATCATTGACGAGAAAATAGTTTTTAGGATAAATATTTATCACAAGCAATATTTTTTTATATTCTGTATTGAAATAATAGAAATAAATGAAACGAAACAAATATTACAATAAATTTATAATATAAATAAAAATAAGTCATTACATGATATTATTTCTTACATTCCTAAGTCATTCATTTCTCCGTCGTGTTGTGTTTTATTGTTTTATTTATATTTATACTTTGACTACAGCTTTTCCAATATTTTCACCCTGCAACATTCCGACAAATGCATTGAATATATTATCAAAACCCTCTGTGACATGCTCCCGAGCTACTAATTTCCCGCTTTCAATCCATTGAACAATATCAGCAAATGCTCTTGGCCATTGATTGCGCCAACGGTGTACTATAAAACCTTCAATTCTTAATTGTTTCGCTACTATTGCTGGTTGCAGTAAATTCGCCTTGGGTGTATTATTAACATCTTCATTATATGCACTAATACTTCCGCACACGGCGACGCGTCCGAACAAATTCATTTGATATATTATTGCACTGCTTAAATCGCCACCTACGTTGTCGAAATAGCAATCTACTCCGTTCGGGGCAGCTTCCTTCAGAGCTTGAGCAACATTCGCAGTTTTATAATTAATAGCTTTATCGAATCCGAGTTCTTTCTCCAGCCATTGTACTTTATCATCTGAGCCAGTGAAACCTATCACTTTGCAGCCTTTGATTTTCGCAATTTGACCCACAATGGAACCAACAGCTCCCGCAGCGCCAGTCACGACAACTGTTTCTCCAGGTTTAGGCTTGCAAAGTTCTAAAAATCCAAAGTATGCTGTTGCTCCTGGCATACCAACAGCACCAACACCCAATGAATTAGATAAACCTCGTAAATCAGGCAACTTGTATATAGTCTCCTCTGCAGTAATTTCTTTTGGATATATAACTGTATAATTAGACCATCCTTTATGAGTAACCACTCTAGTTCCAATTGGATAATCAGGGTTTTTACTTTCTTCGACCACGCCGACTTGGTAACTGTACTGATCATAAGGAACTGCTGTCCTTCTGTTGTATGCACGAAGGTAAGGATCTACACTGATCCATTCAGCTCTTACAACAATCCCTCCAGCTTTTATTGGTTGCAAAATTTCTTCAACTATATCATAGTCCTCAGGTTTTGGCAAACCTTCGAAATATTTCTTCACTACGTATTTTTTTGCTATGACCATTGTAGAATTTGTTGACTTTATAATAATATATCAAAAAAGTATTTATCTGCGAACAAAAAAGTAAATTATAAGTATTAAATTTATTATAAAATTATATTATGGTCGAATCTTATATTCAGAAGTTGACTGTTAGTGGTTTATATGATCTATATACTAGGGTTGGGTTTTGTTGTAGTCTCCATAATATCACATATGTTGTTGGATATCATACAATTTATACTATCGTTAAAGGCACCATTCACTAATTCTTACACGTCGCCTCTTTTATAGGTGAAGTTAAAAATTTCGTATTATTTTGGTCGTGTTTTATATTAGAAATGTGCATTAGATAAGATAGAAACACAAGAACGCACTTTTATTACTGTGTCTCGGGTAGATCTAAAACATACAGTATTTAAATAAATATAATCACTAAAATCTAGTAAATCTTTCGTAAAAAAGATACAACATTAGAAATAAACTGTTAAAAGCAATTTAATATTAAACTCACTTTAGGAAGAGATATTACAACACTGATAAACGTGCTAACTGTACTAGTGTCGATGAATATACTATTGGGTAAAGTAAAAAAATATGTACACAAGTGTTATATATAGATAACATATCGCATCATATTAGGTATTACAATATAACATCACTATCGACCGTTGTTCAAAGTTTAAAGATAGAAACTAATCTTTGAGAGAAACTAGAATTTGTCAGGTGTCGAATTTGTAATAGATATATCGTATACAAACCCTTAGTACTTCTGTCTAGCACTAGAACTAAATTTAATTTTTACTCTTTTATTAAAATCCGTGAATGCGTTATGGCTAACGCTGTTAAAACAGATAAATCTACTTATTGAAACCTGTTTCCAAAGACTCGCTCTTTACCATATTACGTCATTGATTGAAAAGTGTTATCAATATATTTTTATATTTCTAGAATTTTTACAATATCTTTAAAAGATAGACAATCTTAATGGGTAATAATTTATCACTTTTATAGTATCTTTTATATAATAGTAATAAATGATTTTGTGCATGAGTTAGTAATTTGGTTATCATTATGTTGTCGAAAATTATTACTTTTTAACCGATTGAATAAAATAAGCATGTTCTATATTCGACTGTATATAGTTTTTGATTTTTTTTATAACTGTAGGTATCTAAATGAAAGCCTATTTTCGTGAGTATAGTATTTCTAATTGTTGGTTAAATACCGAATAAAGTTGATAAAATGGGTAATTAAAAGTTTTAGGCACGAGTATTAAAATGTTTTAGGAGTGAAATAGCCCAAATAGTCAAGTAAATTATTTACCATCACTTAGCCACCTTATATCATCGCACCGTTCGCCATCGACAGGGAATTCACCCTCACAAACTAGAAACTAAATGGTCGCGTACGGTGCGGTTTTAGAGTTTTCTTCCCCGAATGCTCGGGCTGTGAAATGAGCTACTTGTTAAGGTGTTTTCTAGAGGTTACAGTATTAGGTTCTTCCAAAGGGGTATATTAACGTCTCTTCAGGGCGGACGTAACATGCCTAGTGTTACAGGCCTCCATAGGCTACAATGACCGTTTACCATCAGATGGACTGTCTGTTAGTTTGCTACCTTCGCGGTATAAAAAAATAGCTCAAGGCCAAGGTACCTTATAGTTTGAGCTTAGGCTAATAGTTATAATAAAGTTCGGATTCATCTTTCAATTGATGATTTATTATTTGATTCGATTAATTTGATTGATGCATTATAACGATTTTCAAAAATCATCCTAATTTTTGACAAAGGAGCAAACATCAAATGAGGGATATTTAGATACCAAAATTTGTAATTTATGCTAAACCAAAACAACGATAAAATATAGCTAATACCAAAAAAAAAAAAAAAACATTTATTAATCAGTAGGAAATATACACAGACAAAAACATCGTGTTTTATGAATTTATTGAAATTAAGTATAATATTTTTACAATATTAATTAATATCTCAATAAATATAGTTAATAAGAATACAATAATATGACATTAATCTGTAAGGTCAATTTAGGAATAAAATTATCGATTTAAAAAAAAAGATTATCTATGTTGCGGTATGCAGGGATAGTATACATATATTAAAATGTATATATTTTAATTTAAATACGAACAACAGCTTTTCCGAAATTATCACCGTTTAACATACCAATGAATACATCAAATAAATTATCAAATCCTTCACTAATATGTTCCTTTGCTTTCAACTGACCACTCTCGATCCATTTCACTATTTCAACGAATGCTTCATTCCATTGTTCAAGGCTCCAATTCCATATCAAAAATCCCTCGACTTTTAGCGATTTGAATAATATAGCAGGTTGCACTAACGTTACTTGCGGTAACTGGTTCGCACTTGAGTTGTACGAGCTGATACTACCAACGACGATGACCCTTCCTTTATAATTCATCTGGTACATAATTGTACTGCTTATTTCTCCACCGACGTTGTCAAAATAGATGTCCACCCCATTTGGAGCAGCTTCTTGTAGTGCTTTTTCAATATTCACAGACTTGTAATTAAATGCTTTATCGAATCCAAGTTCTTCCTTTAACAATTGAGCCTTTTTATCCGATCCTGTAAAACCTATTACATTGCAACCCTTAATCTTTGCTATTTGGCCCACCAAAGAACCGACTGCTCCACCGGCACCAGTAATAACAACCGTCTCACCAGGCTTAGGTTGTCCGGTTTCTAGAAATGCCAAGTAAGCAGTTGCCCCGGGCATTCCTAGCGCACCAACTGCCAGCGAAGGTGACAGATTGCCTATGTTAGGCAATTTGTAGTGTCTGTTTTCAGGACTGGGGAATGGCGCGCTCATGTTCACTACACTATAATTGCACCAACCTTTGTGGCTGACTATTCTTGAGCCGACCGGATGGTTGGGATCTTTAGATTCCTGAACTACGCCAACTTGAAAAGCGAATTGATCGTACGGCACTGGGTAAGCACTATTGTATGCACGAAGGTAAGGATCCACGCTGATCCATTCGGTTTTGACGAGGATCTCTCCATCCTTTAGAGGAGGTAGGTCTTGTTCTATGATGCTGTAGTCGCTGCGTTTAGGTGAACCTTGAAAACGGTTTTTCACCACGTATTTCCGTGCCCTCACCATATTCGTTGTTCCAGCGTTAATTGTAGAATGACAATGATAAAATTAAAAAGAAACATGCCAGATAAATATAATTATTATATCTTACTGTGTTATCGATGTTTGTGTGTTGAATATTATTAAAGTGAAGAGTAAAAGTATTTTTTGTAAATTAATTTTGTAGTAATATATTAAATGCAAATGTTCGCAATGATGGATGGCTGGAAGGACAGACGGATGGAGTTTTTGTGTGAAAGCAAAAAGTCCTGAACGGATTTGAATAAACTTTGATACACGGCTAGATTATTTATAACTTAGCACATATAATACTTTATATAATGTTGGGAATTAAGCGTAAACAAAAAGTAGACGGCATTAGTGTTTTTGTTTTATGATATGAAAAAAAAATGCAATTTAGACAACGCGTGTCGAATTAGTCAGTATAATAAAGTACAAATTAATGTAATAAAAATAATAAACAAGAAAATGATATCATCATATCAGTTTTTAAATGTACATTCCTGAACACATGCCTTCTTCATATAAGAGGGATTTGGAAATAGTTAAAACGCAAGGCGGGTTGGCACCCGCAGTTTGGCTTTGGTGATGTTTTAAGAGGTACGCTGCTGCTCGTTCTCCGACTAATCCTAATACTAAGTTCTCGTAGTTGTCTCTTGCGACACTCACAGAAAAAAAGAGATGGCTCATTCTATGTCGGGATTTTTTTATATGGGTGATAATGGAATGGTAACCCCACCCGCGCTATCGGTATATACCGGTGGGGCACCAGTGAGGTAAGGATGAAGCAGGCCAGTTAGCCCATCGTGACGAATTCAACAAGAATTGTTCACAATGGTTTACAGGGGGAACCAGGTGGAGGTCGACCTATTAGAGCATATTGCTAACAAGCCTTTTCCCCCTTTATGTCGGGATTAAGGGTGTTTTTAAATGAGTAGGTATTTATAATACTACTTAGATACTATCAACAGTAACTAAGTACTTATTAAAACAAAACGATGAAAATATGTATATGATTGAAATATTTACTGAAGTAAAAGCCAGGTGCGTTTGTTGGACTACGGAATCCTAAAGACGAATTATATTATCACATACCTAGTTGTGAGTATAATTTTGGTAGTATTTATACCTATCTAATATAAGTGATAAAAATGTAGTGAGATAAACCCGCGCAACGTAGGTATGTGGACTTAGTACCTATATTACTAATACTAGCTGACTGGGGGAGAAGGATTGTTAGTAATGCGGACTACCAGTCCCATTGCTAGCAATATACCCTATCAGGTCAACCTACACGTGATTCCTCTAGAAGCCATCGTGCTGAATTCCAGATGTATTCATCACGATGGACTGACTGACCTGCTTTTTCATTCTCACCAATCATCCCTCACTAGTGGAGCACTAAAAAGTGGTTTTTTAAATATTTTTTTTAATACATCACATAATACATAAGTAAAGAAACTCATAAAACGGATACGTTTGTTTGCGCTAACCTTGAAACCTAGTTTTTCGGTCTCTATTTCAATTTTGAAGATAGTAGAATGTTGTTTGAAGCGAAACTGAATCAGGCCATATAATACCAGACTTAGAAAATTCTATATGATTTTTATACATAGAGCCCCTGCCGTAAGCCAGTATTGACGGGGGAGGACTGGGTTTTTTTTTTCAATGGATGATAATAGAATGGTAACTCCGCTTGCGCTATAGGTATACGCGGGGCACCAGTGAAAAATGATAGGTGACAATGGAAGCAGGTCAGTTAGCCCATCATAATGAATAACACAATAATTAACCACAATGGTTTTTAGGGGGATCCCCTTGGAGGTCGACCTGATAGGGTATATTGTTAGCAATGTGGCTAGCCCAATTATAAACAATCCTTTCGCCTCCCTGCTTTATTATATTAGCATAGATTATGTTAAATATATTTTTTTTTTAATTCCAGAGGTCACCTCTCAGCGAGTACTTGTACTTACCATGGTTGGGGGCTACTTTACGTGGCTTGTTCCTTCGTCAAGCGCCGACTGCGGGTGCCTTGCTCTATACCATGGCAGTCATCAATGGGAACGTAAACCTATTGTTTTTGACTGCATTTTCCTTTTTGTTCTGTAAGTATATATTTAATAACTTGTTCGTTCCGTATGTGATGCCCTTTGGTATTAAGAGCTTAATAAATTGTCATGAAGTTGGCATAGTGTCTACAAACATTTAAAAGGTTGACAACGTACAAGAAACATTTTTCGTATTTCTATATTCATTTGCCACCGTAATGGTATGAAAAAAACAATCGGATGACTCTTGGTCATGACCAGTTAGTTGTAAATGTTTGTGTTTGTATATGTTTTTTGTTTAGTTTTTATTTTTTTTTTTATTTTTGAAACTGGAATGGTAAATTTATTTACATTATCGATATACGCTAGCGGATCACGATTGAGAGATGATAGATGAAAATGAATGCAGGTCTGTCGGCCCATCGTGAAGAATTTGACAATAATTAACTACGATGGTTTCCAGGGGAAACTGCATGGAGATCGATCTGATAGGGTATATAACAATGAGACTGTTAGACCCCATTACTAACAATTCCTTTCCTATACATCCTATACGTTTGTTGAGGTACGTCTGTCTCATTCGTGTTAGCAACTGTATAATGTTACATGGCTGTGTTTTAGGATAACGCAGAGAATTACAGGATATGTACATAAGCATAACATTAAAGTCCTCAGGAATGGTAACTCATGAGGGGTGTCAAGGACGTCTCAGTTAGTATATTTTGCGGTGTTCATTCATAGCCGTGTAGTCCGGCATAAAGTTGGCCATCCATCTCTTTTCCGTGAGTGTTGGCGACTAAGAGAGCTTATGGTGGAGAGTTGGGCAGCTGCGTCCCTCTTAAAATATCTTTAAAGCTTAACTGCGGTTGTCAATTCATCTGCCAAGTGTGGCAACTACTGGCAAACACCCCCAAGGGGAGGCTTATATTCAGCAGTGAGCAGTTAAAGGCTAATATGATGATAATGATTCCCGTCTGTACGTGTGATTATCAGCTTCTATTAAGTTTGTTTATATGCTACTCTAAGTATCATAAAAAATATTTAATTTTAATCTTATCATATCAATATGGTAAAATCGAAAAAGCATCGACTGTACGTAGGATATATTTATGAAAATTGATATTGTAGTAATGTGGCGGCAGGTTAAAAACCTTTTTTGTAACATTAAATGCAATATCTATTTGTTTAAATATTTTATTCTTTTTACTTTTTATTACAACTATGTTTCCGAGTCGCAGCGCAGCAGAGAGAGAGACCAGAGTAGATTACAAAGCATAGCCTAATATCCACAGATTATTACATCTGTTTCACAGATAATATATTAGGTACTTAACAAAAATTGATATAATGTATCTTAATAAATGCGATAGAAGCTACAATAAAAATTATTAGAAATTTAGTCTGTCTGCATGTTTGTTCCGGTGTCATTTAAAAATATTGCACTAAATTGTATACGGTTTTCACACTTACACACTTGCCTAACTTAACACGTAGAGTACTTTACGTGTACTGATACATGTGGGCCATGCAGCGGGAGATAACTAGTATAAAATAATGTAATTGTTCCAAGTGCTAGAAGCCCGTCTCTGGCTGGAGATCGCGAGGCTGGTGCGCTTGCGCTGGGAACGACGCGACTCCGTCACAGCGCGAAATTCACAATACGAGATTGAAACCCTTTGGAGTAATGATGACATTCAGAGCATAGAAGTGCGTAATTATATTTATTAGAATTGTAAATGAATTAGAAAATAATTTGTGACTGAATCTATTTATTTTATATGATGTTATGTTTTGCGTTGTTAAATTAATAGTATTCCTATGAAGTTATTTATACCTATTTGTGAAAAAAAAATAATAAAAAAAGGAGGTTTTTTAACAACTCAAAGGTTGTATTTTTTGTTTGTTACCTCATAACTCCGTCAGTTATAAACCGATTTATATCTTGTTTGTCTGCAAGAATATACTTACAATTTGGTGCCATAGAAATTTAGTTTGGAAAGTAAAGAACTAGTTTGCCACAATTAAAGTTTTTAATGTGGATTACAATTTTAATTATTTTGTAGTAGTAGGTGTAATATACATACATACATACATATCTGTCACGCCTGTCTCCCATTAGGGTAGGCAGAAACAATGGAACGCCAAATGCTTCGATTCAAACAAACCTCTTTCGCTTCTTCCACATTCATCAGGGTAGGTGTAATATCTATTATACATATGTAATTAGTTTATTTTTTACCAGCATTAACTTAAATATATTTTAGGGATTACTAAAGCCTTTATAATTCAAATTTTATCGGTTGTTGTTAAGGTACTTAGTCGTATAATTTATATGTTTCTTTTAACTCGAATTTATTTTACAAAATTGCTTTGTTAATATTTGGCTGCTTTCCAAATCTTTTTTGCCAAGACATTTTCTCTCGAGCTAAGTTCTCGGAATTTTTACATACTGTTGTAACTAACTTTGTAAAATTGTCCGATATTCGTATGTTACCTTCATTTTATACAATTTTATCATACCTAGTAAAATAAAAAGAACTATTTTAATATAATTTTATTTAATGAAAAGCCTAAGTATAATAAATTGAGGTAAAATGTATATAATAACATAAATCACATTGAGACGACTAATATTAAAGCTATAGTTTACATTTTTCAATATCACACTTATTAACTTTGGTACGATTTACAAAATTAATAGAAAAACTTAAAATTAAATATTTTATTTCTGTAAATTTTGAGCGTTTTAATAATTTCTTACTCCCCTATCCCTTTATATTTTGTAATTTTTTATTGTTCAGATCATATAATATATTATAATATAGTTTCGAGTATGTTATAATCAATATATTGGAATAAAACGATATTACTGCCATTAAATTATGATCAAAGCTAACAAATAAAGTGACATCGAGGATCTTCAGACTTTTTCCTTAACCAGTTGGTATTTGGTATCTATGAGTATTTTTTTTTTTTGTATATTAAAACGATTTTTCTATCTGATTGAAAATTAGATAATAGAGTATAATTTTTGTCTTCGAAAAGTACCCTCAAACTTTTATAATTCTATTCGTGACGTTGAAGAATGTTTTATATATATATATATATATTTTTTTTTTTTTTTCAATTGTACTTATTATTTTGTAGTTAGCTATATCTTAAACTGGATTTTTATTATGAAGTTATTTTTATACACAAAACTAGTTCCATAATGTACTTAGTTTTATTATACTTTTTTTGATCAAAGATGTCTAAAAAGTATAATTTGCTTATGGATGGTAACATTGAGCACATATGTCGCGTCATTTGAGTGGTAGCAATTCTCAATCACCATACAGTACATTTATCTGTGGGGTTCATAGGTGAACCGGGTGGACATCGGAACTCTCTAGCAAAATCGTGCGAATTCGAGAGGGTGCCTATGACGCGAAACCTTCCTGGCGAATGCACTGCTGTCTTCAGTTTGTTCCGCATCGCTTCTGGTCGCATTGCACCGCACCATACCTGATGATCACAGTTTGAAGTCATTAGACTAATAGTCTAGATTTTCATAAATATTAGGTAGTTCTATAATTTTTGTTATTAACCGTTAGTTATGTTTTTTTTTTAATGGGTGATAATGGTATGGTAACCCCGCCTGTGCTATCGGTATACACTGGCGGGGCACCAGTGATAGATGATAAAAAAATCTTAATAAACAAATAACATAAGCTGAGATATCTTCTAAGTACATATACTTTGCTAACCTGTGCAAAATTAAGAAAGAACAGCTGAGTGTGTGTATGGTTGAGCCCTGGCAAGGTTTCATCATCTGCACCATTTTTCTGCAGCCAATGTAAATAAGCTCGAAATGCTTGTTTCACTCCTCCGTTATCTGCTATGTTTTCACCCTTAAAATAATAAGAATAATAGTGTAGTAAATGTTGGTTAATAGAGACATTTTATTGGTTAATAAAGGTAAAAAAATTTCATGTTATTCAATCACAATTGAATAACATGTAGTATTTATCACAACATGAACTTGTGGCATAGTTTAGAACGCCTAGATCCGATTCAATTTGGAATTGTTTTATTTTTTACATTTATTCAACTGTGCAAAAATCTAAGTTTTTTTTTATACAACTTAGAATGGCAAACAAGCTGACGGCCCACCTAATGGAAAGGGGTAACCGTCGCCTATAGACATGAGCAGTACCATGGACATAACAGAGTATACTGTTTCGCCTATGATACCCCCCATGCGTTGTCATTCCTGAGGACTCTGGTGTTATTCCTGTGTACTCAGTAAATTCACGCCATATCCCACCCTTCAAACCGAAACACAGCCATGCAAACACAACTGCTTCACGGTTGAAACACGAATGGGAGAGAGGTACCCAAGCAATCGATTTTTGTACAAAGTCTCCCTCTCCAACTGTGCAAAAATCTAAGTGCACAGATAAAACAATCATTAGAACGTTTTCTAAAACTGTAATATAATACTGCTTATGGTTGGCTTCAGTCTTTCCAAACTATTGCTCCCAAAATTGTAAATTTACTACTATAAGAGCTTACTTTCTAGGTCATTATATAAATAAGAAATGTGATGGAACTATCTTTCAATCAGTTTAGGTATTTGATTATCCAGGGTAGAATTAAATAAATATTCACATGTGTGCTCAGTGATTATTATCAGGCAGCGTATGAAATAATATTGACGTAATCAATGGGGGAAGAGAGATTGTTTATAACGGGGTCTAACACTCCGTTTGCTAGTAATATACCCTATTAGGTCGACCTCTACACGATTTTCTCTGGAAACCATCGTAGTTAATTCCTAATGGACTTATCACGATGGGTCAACTAGCCTGCTTTCATCCTCACCTATCTTCTTTTACTGGTGTCTCGCCAGCGTTAACCGATAGTATATTCGGAGTTATTATTCCATTATCATCCATTAAGACATAATCAATGAAAAAAAGCAGTTTACCTGTGTATTCACTCCATCAAGCCTCATATTAACTTCAGGGACTACATACTGTCCATACTGGTCTATAAGGCATTGAGCTCGACGGTGGAATGATTCAATAGCTGAATCTGACCACCATCGGTGGAGATTGCCGTCACAGTCAAATAAACGACCTTTGTCGTCGAAACCATGGGTTATTTCATGTCCTGAAATTACTAAACGCTTATAAATAGGTAATGCGTCAATAACAAACAAATGGATAATTGTGCTTCTAAATATGTACTTTCTTTTGTTCAAAAACATCTTTAGTATTTTATGATTTTTTATTTAATACCTTACAAACATATCATGAAACTAATATGATGAAATTGCTAAATAAATTTGAATGAAATTTAGGATACTTATTCATTATTATTTATTTAACTAATTGATACTTTTGGCGTAAAATCATTTAGACCAAATTGAGTTACGAGTATTATAGACGATTTAATTTTTTTTATGTAACTTAGAATGGCAAACAAGCTGACGGCCCATCTGATGGAAAGCGGTAACCGTCGCCTATAGACATGAGCAGTACCATGGATATAACAGAGTATACTGTTTCACTCATGATACCCCCCATGCGTTGCCATTCTTGAGAACTCTTGAATTAATTAATTCCATTATTGCCTTTACAAGGTATAATTTGATATAACTTATCTTAAGAAGCTTTTTTACATTATATTACCAATGACAACTCCAATTCCACCGTAGTTTAGAGATCGAGGAAAATGCCTGTGATAAAAAGGAGGCTGCAGAATGCCAGCCGGGAACATAATCTGATTTTTGTTACGGCTATAGTAAGCATTCACGACAGCTGGTGCTGTATTCCATAAGGTTTTGTTTACTGGTTGTCCGATGCTGAAACAAAGTGAGACTTTTTTTTTAATAGATGATAATGGAAGGTATTCCCAGCCGCCAGTGGCACCAGTGAAGGATGATAGGTGAGGATGAAGTATGTCAATTAGCCCATCGTGACGAATTCAACAAGAATTGTTCAGGATGGTTTTCAGGGGGAACCATGTGGAAGTCGACCTAATAAGGCGTATCGCTAGCAATGGGTCTGTCAAATTACATTGTTAACAATCCCTTTCCCCCCAGTGAGACATATTTTTGAGTTTTAAAGAATGTCGATTACTTTCTAGTGTGGTTTTATGTTTTACTATCCCTGTAGTCAAATTTAAACTGTTAAGATTAATGTTGTGATATGAATAGATAGGTATAGGAGTTCTTTTTTGGTAAATTTATCATGAAACTTTGAAAAATCTTCTTTATGAGGATATTTACATATTATGAGTAGAAACACGTCATCACATCATTTAATGAATATAATGTAAAACTATATCAACAACCTATAACCTATTGTTTCCTTATTCATTAGTAGTAAATTTACTATCATTAAAATTGTATATCACTTACCGTGACTGTTCCATTTTTGTTAAGTGTTGTAGAATATTTAAAATGTTTTCAAAATACTTATCTGGATGTATTTTCACTTCTTTATATCGATCATCCAGTTCTTTTTTATTTAAAATAAAATCAGGATAACCTATTCTAAGCATCATGGCATCTACTTTGTGAGCGGCTAATGTTTTTGTCTTATCGTCTATCCAATCAGTCAAATGAAGGAGCTCTCTAAACGATTGTTGTATTTCTCTGGTCATTGTTAATGTATCATTTTTGCTCATCTCGTCAAAGTACTTCCGTACAAACATAGATCCCAATGCCATACCCATATTGGAGTTCACTTGGGATATACAATTCTTCCATCTTGGCGGAGCTTGTTCTCGACCAAATAGTATGAAATAAAAGCTGGAAATTTTCTAGATTTATTACTTTACATTTGAATATTTGATTATTGATTGAACAAGGCACAAAGAATAATATATTTTGTATCACCAGACTATGAATAATCTCTTACTGTTGTTTAGCGGACTGAAAGCGGTCGTCCAGGTTATTGACTCTGTGTCTCACAAATCGCCACAGCAGGTAATTTGATAAAGTACTTGACTCGGTCTCCTTTATTAACTGAACTAAATGCTGTAATTGAATAATAAAAATTAATGCGAGGGAAATTATTTTACACAAATTCCTTATGACTATTCAAAATAAAACGATAATAATAATAATACACAGTAGTGAATTTTCTTAATTAATTGCACTATATCGTCACAGTCGTAGAATACTGACGGATCTGACGAATATTACATATATAGATCCGTCAGTATTCTACGACTATGACGATATAGTAGCTACTTAATTCAGTAACTAGTCCAATGCAATTAAAGTAAGCTCTGCAAAGTGATAGAAACTTTAAAAAAATAAAATACAATAAGGTTATTACCCTGACATAATTAAGTGCAAACAATACAACAGTTTCATCAAGTTGCACGGTTCGGTTCATTACAATACATAAGTATCTTCTCCATTTAATCTCTGGGACAAGTTCTTCCAATTTGTGAAGCGGCATTCGTTTATATAATTCGGAAACGTTACGCCTGTCTTCTGGTGCTGAGGTTATTTTAGCTAACCTGGCAAAATATGTTTTTTTTAGATTTATATTCTTTCAATACTGATAGCATTAAGGGAATGTGAATTAAAAACATTAATTTATTAACAAGAGTTTATAAAAATTTAAATATATGTTTACTATTTATTTTTATAGAAATAGATCTCACTTTATTTCAAATTGTATCAGTTGATCAACGTTTAATTTTACATGTACAGGATCTCCGCCAAGTAGAAGTGCAATCTTAGTGAGATAAGTTTGGTAGGCCTCTAAATATACTTTGTTCGCATCCTGAAGAAAATAATCTCTTGTTGGTAACCCTATAAAAATATACACACTATCAATTAAGAATAATATAGTGTACATATTATTTAATTGAATATGCTTACCTAAACTGGTTTGATCAAATTGAATTACAAATTCATCTGAATTTTTAATGTCCGGTCCAACCCATTCTGATATTAAAATATCATTATTATACAAACGCAATTTTGCCATTAGTTCCAGCCAGTCAAAATTCTCGGCATTCCATTGTCGATTTAATATAGGCCAACCACCCAAAAGCTCTAATAAATCTAAAAGCGGTTTATGGCCGCGTTTCTGTAAAATTTCATAATTCATACAAGATTTAAATAAGAATCTAGCTTTCAATGCAGCGTCTCCGTTAGCTGGATCAGTATGGGTATTGAAATTGTCATTAATAATGGCAGCTTCATGTTTTGTATGTCGTTTTACAAATTTATTATGCATTAATAATTTTCTTCCATATCGAGATTTTTTCTTAATAGTTACTTGCTGTTTTAAAAATTCTCGCCTTTTACGGAGTTTACTTTGAAAATATTTTTTTAATCTGTTGGTATGTTGATTTTTATTTTTTAAGAGATAGTGATGAAATTTATTTTTCATACTAGACATTGGTTTTATAATTTCTTTCGATTTTTTGTCCAAATATCTACGAATGCGATTCACTATTTCCGATTTATCTTTTACATCATAGTGATGATCTTCTATTATAGTTTTGTTTAATTTTTGTTCAGAGACGGATTCATCTAACTCTTCTAATAAATTGTCTAGTTCTGTAGGATTCGTTTTATCGGAGGGTAATATTTTAGTTATAAAATTATCTTCGAGATCTAAATTAGCTCCTGGATATTTACTACTAACATGTTCACTAGGTTTAAATTCTAACAATTCCTTTAGAACTGTATCTAAATTTTCTCTCAACATCTCAAATGTATCATAACTGAAAGATATTAAATATTTCTATATCATATAATGCTAGCGATCTGCTTCAGTTTTGCACGGGTGTAAATTGTATGTACAAATATTTCGTAAAAAATATGTAAAAAACTCGTAACAAAATTCATTGGTTTAGAAGAAGTAATCAAAGAAACAGATGGACGGGGCATACTTTGAGATATTTTGGGAGACATTCTTCGTCTCATACCATTAAGAGATTATAAAAATATTATAAAGCATAAAAATTAATAATCGTAGATTAGTCGTTAACAGTCCACTGCAGAACATAGGCCTCATCATAAGGAGGATGCCAATAGTTTCTACGCTTAGCAAGCAGGTTCCTAACCGCAGTTAGGGTTTGGTGATATTTTAAAAGGGGCGCTGCTGCCCATCCCTCGACTATTCAGTATTATGTAAATAAGAAAATATTAACATATATAATACAAAAAAAAAAAAGTTAATTAAGTTCCAGTTTGTAATATTTACCCAGCCTTGTCAGCAGGTATTGGATTCAGTGCTGCCCAGTTGCCACAAGCGTATTGATAGAAATCATGACAAGGATCTGCTTCTGCATCCATATATTGTCTCATGATATTTGCTTGGGTGTTTCTAATAGTATTTTTGTCTCCTTGACCTTTCCAAAATGCATGTATACCTGTGATTTAGCATAAGCCAAAAAATTATGTAAATTATATCCAACTGTCGATAATAATACATTGATGCGCCATTATAAAATTTTTCCTAACTAATATACTATTATTAGTTTTTACGAGTCAGGTATATGATTTTTATTACGTACTTTTTTCTTTTGGTGGTTTTTTTTTCCTTTTACGACATTTTGGCGATGAAAAATGTTGTTTGGTATTGTATTTTTAATAATTAAAAACCTGAATGAGTGAAAGTGATATGTCGATTTTGATTTTCGCTATTATTTAGATAGATGGAGATAATAAAGTTATAGTAATCGAGTGTAATTATAGTTAGTGTTATATTATCTGTGGTAAAGTTATGTTAGTTTGCACATATCATCCTAAGGCCTTCATCCATTCGTAGAATAGCGAAAATCCGAAAATAAGTTTTCAATTGCATTATTTTTTGTTTTAATAACGATGTCACACATTATATGGTACACAGATTGGTACCGTGAGAACTTTAAGAAATTAAGAATTTACTAGTAAACGTAACCTTGACTCATTTAGGATAGTGGTCAATTGGATAAGAGGACTACGACGCACGATCCATTATCCTATTCTACATAAATGACTATTTATGTATACAATCATACTTCGTATGGCAACGATGTGATTTAAAAAAGGGTCAACTACTAGTAACCTATAAAAACGCATGTACAGTTACTGCATTATTATTAGATTCTCTTAAAGTAACAATTCAAAAGTCTTATGAATTAACTTTTTAAAACACATAAAATATCTAGTCATTTATAGCTACTAGAATTGTTTAAGTGATCTTGAAAACAAATGGGTTTTTGAAGTTTATAAGGATTTTATACAAATTTAAAAGCAAGAGTCCCTTTCAAATAATCTTCTATTCGTAAAATATAAAAGCGCTACACAAAATAATAATTTTTATTTATTATAAGATTAAAATTCTTATCTGTGAAATGTGGGATAGAATTTTATCGCTTCAAGCTACCAGAAGTTAAGTTAATCTAATCATCATCATCATATCAGTCATTAACCGTCCACTGCTGAACATAAGCCTTCTCCATAATGAGAGTAGTTGCCACGCTTGACAGGCGGGTTGGCAACCGTTAGGTTTTTAGTGATGTTTTAAGAGTGACGCTGCTGCCCATCCTCATTGCTAGCAATATACCCTATTAGGTCTACCTCCACGCGGTTCCCCCTGGAACCGCGTGGTGGTATATATATATATATATATATATATATATATATATATATATATATATATATATATATATATATATATATATATATATATATATATATATATATATATATATATATATATAACATTTGATCGTTATTTGAAACCATACCTGTGTACGATCTTGAAGGTTTATAAATATGTGCTGAAGAAACCATCTCCTCCTCTTCTAATTCTGGTTGACCACGCACTTGTTCTACCACATCATCTAAAGGTCCACGGTCCACATGTGTTTCGGGTGGTACTATGCTGATAAATTTTATTAGAAACATACAAAAAAAAATTTAAATGATATACTTTATGAATATATTCGTGTTCATATAGCATTTGAATTTAACGAATTTAAATAACATTTAAATCCGTTTAGATGCTTCGGCATGTCTGAATAACGAATATTGAAAATCTTAACGTATTTACAAATTTATACACTTATAATATTTAGAATTACTTTTTACTAGTAATTACTTTAGTAAGTTTATGGTTGTGTAACTTTTTGTTAATCTATCTTCATTTTAGGTTTCTTATTTTCTTGACCCTTTTGCCCACTCCATCGCTTTTAAGCAGTTTTTTTATGCAACTTAAAATGGCAAACAAGCTGTCGGCCCATCTGATGGAAAGTGGTAACCGTCACCTATAGGGGGGAAAGGGATTGTTAGTAATGGAGACTGAGAATCCCATTGCTAGCAATATACCCAACCAGGTCGACCTCCTCGCGGTTCCCCCTGGAAACTATCATGATTAATTCCTGATGAATTCATCATGATGGGCTAACTGACCTGTTTTCATTCTCATCTATCACCCTTCACTGGTGCTCCGCCAGCGTATCTCGTTAGCGCAGGCGGGGTTACCATACCATTTTCACCCATAAAAAAAAAAAATCCGTCACCTATAGATATGAACAGTACCATGGGCATTACAAGTATACTGTTTTGCTCATAACACCCCCATGCATTGCCATTCCTGATGACTCAGGTGTTATTCCTCTGTACCCTATAAATTCACTGCCATATCTCACCCTTCAAACCGAAACACAGCCACGCAAACACAATTACTTCATGGTAGAAACACGAATGGGACAGAGGTGTCCAAGCAAACGACTTTAGTACAAAGTCTCCCTCTGGCATTATGGCAATCAAAAAAAAAAAACATTTTTTATTGATTTCTTTTATTTAATGTTGTTCCCTATCCGACCTCGACGTGATATGCACATCCTTTCTTTCCTTTATAACATACTCAATAACCCGAATTCTCCTTCGTATTTCCCGGTTTAAATTATTACCACCACCAATCCGTTCTAAACACTCCTGTCAAGTTCAGTCCAGGATTCTCGACCTACCTTTGTGTAGAACACATTTTATTGGCAACTCTTTCTCGTATCGAGCTGCCCAATTATGGAATAATCTCCCTTCCCACATACAAGAGAGCCCTTCAATTACCTCTTTCAAGAAAAGATTGAAGTTACATTTTCTTTCGTTTGAGTCATAATCTTAATTTTTCATTTTTATAATTGAACTGTCAAACCTTAAAATCATTTAACTAAATTTCTATTGTAGGTAGTATATTCATTTATTTTAACATTCATTGTATAAGTAGGTAGGTATTATATTTATTTATAGTATATGTATTTATGTAATATTTTATTATGTATCTTAATATTTTATTTAACTGTATATTTGTTTATGTACTCTAAATATTAATAGTTGTAGCACTTCAGATACCCGCTAACAACATGTTTTTTAACTGCATTGGGTTGACTGGAAGAGATCTCTGTCAGAGATAAGTTCACCCTTGCTCACAATATTTATAAATGCATTAACAATGTAATTTACAAGTACAATAAAGAATAAAATATAACTCTAGAATGTAAGTAGACATACCTTTCCATATTTTCATCATCGTCATACTGATCACTTGTATCAGAAGAATTGTATTCTTCTTCTGTTTCGCTCTGGTTGTTATTGCTATTGTCATAATTCTCACTACCTTCGTCTTTCCGTTTATGATGTGATGGGTTGTCTTGGCTAACAAATTACACAAATATTTTAAGCATTTCCATAAACATTGTGATAACTGCGTATAAATAATGAGTTATTTTCAAACCATGTTTCGTTATATTAAAATCATTATTGATCTTAATTTGCTTAACTTTACAAAAAAAGCTCGCCACTAATATAAAATCTATAAAAAAATAATTATATTTTATTAGTACTTACTTATAGTCTTCTGAGGTAAAAGTAAAGTGGCTCCTACGTTTGACTCTTGTGGGTGTAGCATGCTTTTTACTTGAACTACCCCAAATAAAAATATCACTAGTTACATTGCCCTCAAAGATCTCCCTTTTAGCCTTCGAGTGGGTTTTAGCGAGTATTATTTCTTCTGGGGGTAGGAACGATGTACGGAATCCTTGAAATACATCACGTTCTTCTGGATCGACGCCTTCCAACCTCGTGTAGATTTTTGGGATTTTTTTAACGACGAACTGATCCGACGGATCGCCTAATGAGTCGGGTTTTTTCAAAACAAAATATGAAGCCACGAGAAAAGCAGCTATAAAAATGACTGAGAGAAATCGCCAAAAGTGTCCGTCTTTTTTACTCGATTTAATAGACAGACTTTGTGGAGCACATCGCGTGTCCACACGCGGCATGGCAGGATCGGACTGACAACGTCAAATCGACGGATATTCATAGCTGGAACATATTACGTATGGCCATTGTATTGCCGATCCTGCATCGAGTTTGATAGGTAAATTGCATGATTATCTACGAAAATAATTCGACAACATTGTAACTACAAATAACATGAGTAAGAACATTATGATATCTAAGTTCTATCTTTACAGTTTTATCGCCTGGAATTTTCTAAATTACGATTAATATAATAAGTATTTTTATATTTAACTAAAACTTAAATAAAGATTAATTTGCAAGTAATATTTTTAAATATTTTAATAAGTCCTTATTCTTTGAATTACTGGTAATAATTAATGGATCTTAAAGTGACAATCTTATAACATACATCAAATCGTAGATTTACTAATTTTTTATCTTTGGTACATGGTTAATATTTTTATTTGACAAATATATTATATTTCTTACTTTTTTTTATAGATAATGATCACTTTCGAAGAGCTAACTAAGCAAGTACGTTTAATAAATGATTTGATATTATTGGATATGCTTTGCGGTATGTACTTTCTATTAAAAACCTATATTATAACCTAGAAAAATATGTAAATTCGTTGGACTAAGTATTCTTGGGTAATATCTACATAAAACTCTTTTTTTTATACAACTTGATTTTTTTTTAATGATGATAATGGAATAGTAATCCCTCGTGCGCTAACGTTATACGCTGGCGTAGTACCAGTGAGGGATGACAGGTGAGAATGGAAAGGCAGGTCAGTAAACCTATCGTGATAAATACACCTGGAATTCAGCAGAATGGTCTCCAGGGAGACCACGTGGAGGTCAACCTAACAGGGTATACTGCTAGCAGTGGGACTGATAGTCCGCATTGCTAACAATCCCTTTCTCCTACCCCTACAACTTGAATAATTGTCAAATAGGCTAATGAACCATTTAATAAAAAGTGGTATTTGGATCGTACATAGACATAAAATAAATGAATAAATCTTATGGAGGCTAACAGTATTATTACTATACCTACAGGTAATTTTTTTTTTATGCAATTTAGAATGGCAAACAAGTTGACGGCCCACCTGATGAAAGTGGTAACCGTCGTCTACAGACATGAACAGTACCGTGAACATAACAGAGTATACTGTTTCACCCATGATACCCCCCATACGTTGCCATTCCCGAGGCGTAATTTCTATGTACCCTGTAAATTCACTTCCATATCCCACCCTTTAAACTAAAACAGAGACATGCAAATAGATCTGTTTCATGATAGAAACACGAATGGGATAGAGGCGCTCAAGCAAACGACTTTTGTACAAAGTCTCTCTCCGTTAAGTTGATCTCCACGTCGTCCCCATGACAACAATGGTGGTGAATTTTCGGTGGTTGTTACAATATACCAACTGGTCTTCTTCGCTTTTTGTAATATCCGCGAGATGAAAATAAGTGGTGACAAGTTATAGTACATACGGAGTAGATTATATATGTTAAATTTTGTTGTTGCAGATGAGAAAGAAGCAGAAGAAATGCTAAGTTTTAGCAAACACCTATTATCCACAAAATATTGGTTTGCTAAGATATCATGTGCGAATAAAAAGCGATTCGTCCTGGGTTTATTAGAAGATGTTCGAAGCGCATGGACACTTTCCTTACTTCTAAAATCCATATGGAACTGTCGCCCGAAGGACTCCGTAATGTCTGTCAGCGAGTAAGCAAATTTATTAATGTATCTTAATTATTCTTTCAATACATTAAATTAAAATGGTAATCCCGCCATCGTTATTTGTATTCTCATTGTTATTATTCCTTACTGGTTCTTTACTTACTTCACCAATGATTCCTCATTGGTGAAGTAAGTAAAGAACCAGTGATATAAGATAGATGTGTATGAATGATTATTGATAATTGACCTATTGTGACGAATTGAAAAGAAACTGTTATAGTTTCTACAGAGGAGACGTGGAGGTCGATCCGACTATATTACTAAAAATGTAAAATCCTTCTCCTTAAAATGAAATTCAAAATGCATTTAATATTTTATCCTTAACCCGTTTATGATCAACTTACTTTTAGCCGTGACTTTGTACGCATGGATTTTGGAAGTCTTACCCAGTTAGGGTTTGAAATTTTAAAATTTCTTTCTTATTATTCACCTAAGCTATATAAAGATCCATCTGTAAAATTTCAAGATTCTAAATGCAGCGGTTTTGGCTGTGCCTTAATAAATGGGTCAGTCAATCAGCATCCTTTTTAAATCTGTATATAGTTAGACGAATATGTCCCGGTTAGATAAACAAAGTTGCGGGCATAGCCAGTAATGAAATGAACCTTTAATTGCAGACGTAATGTATGGAGCAGTTATGACCAAATGCCGTTAGATCACAACAGAACAGCTCAGCCGGTTTCCACTCTTGAGCAAGTCATGAAGTGTGATCGCGTTTGGTTTCTTACACTTGAGCCTGTATGTATAATATAAATAGATATAGAATATTTTTTTTATGAAATCTAGGATAGCAAACAAGTGGCGGCTCATTTAATGGAAAGTGGTAACTATCACCTATTATCAGAGTAGAAAAAAACATACTATATAATTAACTTTATTTCTGACATTAACAAAACATACACAACAAATATTTTATTTATAGATAGACAGATACTCTTTATTGTTTCCTCCAAAAGATTACAATAGTAAACTTATTATAAATATAAACAATTACAAGAAATAATCACAATGAGAAAACAATGGGCGACCTTATCGCGATCTCTTCCAGGCAACCTTTGGATGGATAGGAGTAATTATAAACAGTTTTATCGGAGGCACAATGAAATTCTATTATTTCTTAATATAGAGATATGATACATATAATACTGTATACATATAATATAGTACATATAATATATATCCTTTATCTTAATTCATTCATTTTTCTTTTTTTTTATACCACTGAGGTGGTAAACAAGCATACGGCCCACCTGATGGTAAGCGGCTTTGTTTTATTTGCAGTTTATTTGCAATCCTAAATGTTTAATAATTAAACTCGTTACCCTAAGCATATAGAAGCATAAAAGATGCTTTAAACTATTCTTTCATGTTTATAATATTAGTAAAGATTATATCATTAATCATCAATAGGAAGCACAAGCGATGGTTCTGTCAGAACTGCTTATGGTATCCGGAGGGCCTGTCATGTGGGAGGTTTTGAAACGAGCACAATTCCTCTACGAGCACTACCGTACAGAGCAACTGCAAAATTTGCGGGAGTCTATCATGCTTAATGACTCTCCATCCGAGAAAGGACAGACGTCACCACAAAAGGTCCCGTGATATTAAATCGTTCATTTTTTATCGAAGATCAAACCAATATAAGAAATTAACTTCTCTGAATTGTCTTGGCTCTGATTGATGACCCCCAGAGGTTCGTTAGTTGATTCTTCATATCACATAATATCTTAGTTTGAGGACCAGGGGATTAATGTAATTGTGTGGTACTTATTTATTATTATTATTTATTAAATGTTATTTTGCGTAAGTTAACTTCACTGGATACTGAATTACTATAATTATCTTGACTTCGTTTCCGAGATTTATCTTTGACCATGTAGTAGCCTCGCTACGCTGCAACCCTTCGCACAAGCATTCAGAGGGTAGGAATAAAAACATAATAATGACATTGCTGTCACTCTCCTATGCCGACACATTCCGACCCAGCCTCATTCTTGTCCGTGCGCTCGCGCCGACTGCACAAGCTTATAAATATATAAACTAAAAAAAAAAAAAAATAATTACTAAAAAAAAAAAAATGCCTAAACGCAAACGCGAAGAATCGAAAGAGGAACGTTGGTCAAGAAAAATGAAGAAATATGAAGCGAAACTTCTTAAAACACAGTGTCGTAATACTAAGCGTATTGTTTACTCCAGCGATGAAGATGATGTACATATCGAAGGTGATTATTATCACAAATTTATTTCTCGTTGAATTCTTCGAGATATAATTTTTTTAATCCCGTTGTATTCTTCGGGATCAATTATGATCGTTGGCATATTTTGCACGATCGAACTTACCCACATATTGTTTTATTTTATTTTTTCCTTGACTAAAAATTCGTTATTGAGTTTATTATAAATAAATTATTACAATGAATATTACTTAATATCATTGTTAGTGAAGGAGAAGTGTTTGTTATTTAAATTAAAAGAAATCCTAGTGAATTTGAGGATTAATACGTAACATTCGTTTCCAGAACATCCGGTACCTGGAGAAACTGAATTGTTTAATGTGGGTAATATTTCAAGCGAACAGCAAGAAATTTTCTCGGATCTTGACTCGTACCAAGACCTTCCTCCTAAGGAAGTACCCTTAACTGTAACTGAGAATAATGAGGAAGTCGCAGAATGCATTGACTCGGAATTATTACAAGCCTTAGGAGAAAATGAATCGGAAATTACTGAATATGGTGATGAAATATATAAAGATATAGCAACAAGGTTCCAAAAAAAATTTTAATAGAGGGCTTAAGAAAGGAAAATAGAGAAGAACTTATAAAGAAATATCTGTTTCCTAAAAATTTACCGTTCTTAAAGGCACCCACTCTAAACCCAGAGGTCCATGCTATGCTTCCTGAGCCTTGCCGTCTCCGCGATAAACGTTTGATTTGTAAACAAGATCAGCTCGGACGTGCACTATCAGCCTTAGGAAAGGCCATGACGGCTCTTTTAAAGAAAGACCCTGTTATATCCGAAGTTATTCGCATATTGAGCGATACGGGAAAACTTATCGCAGACTCCCACTACGCAGAAACAGACACCCGTCGGTCAGTCATCATTCCATTAGTAGACAAATCTTTGGCCGATACTTTTAAAAACCGGAAGAGAGATACTTTCTTATTCGGAGAGAGTTTATCTGAAGTAGTGAAGGAATCTCGAGGAATTAAGAAGACTAGTCAATTAATTCAAGCTACAGCCTCTTCTTCCAGCTCTGGTTTAAACTTCAGGGGCCCATCGGCTCGACCACGTCAGTGCGCCAGTCAAACCAACTCGCAACAACGAGCCGGTGGGCACAAAACTTCATATGCGAATCGGCGACGTGTAGTCGCCGCACCGGCGCCACACAGTCGCCGTCCGCAACCACCGCCGCCGCCGCCAGCGCGGCGCCAACCAGTCTACAAGCCGCGACCAGCAGCCGATCGGTCGCGGAATTAAATACAGAATCTCAGGTATATGCAGGTCGCTTGAAATATTTTTTACACGCTTGGCGTTCAATTACAAGCGATAACTTTATTTTAAATTCTATTCAAGGATATTCAATTCCATTTATTACTATACCAGAACAGAGTCCAAGTGAATATCCAAAACGTATTTTTTGTTCTAATGAACGAATTGCACTTAAAAAACAAATTCAACATTTGATAAAATTAGGGGCCATACAAAAATGCAATCCTGTTAAGGGACAATATTTATCTGACATATTTTTAGTGCCAAAGAGTGACGGTAGCATGAGGTTTATATTGAACCTTAAAAAATTAAATAAATATGTTCGTGTTGAACATTTTAAGATGGAAGATATTAGGACGGCGACAAAACTAATAACTGAAGGGTCTTTTATGGCCAATATTGATTTGCAGGATGCTTATTTTTTAGTCCCAATCCATGCTAGCCATAAAAAATATTTACGATTTTATTTTGAAGGTCTATACGAATTCACTGCACTCCCGTTTGGATTATGTTCTGCGCCTTACATATTTACAAAAATTTTACAGCCCGTTATGACTCACTTAAGAGCTCGTGGTTTTAAATCAGTACGCTATTTGGATGATATACTTTTACTAGGAGACTCGGAAGCGATTTGTTTGAATAATATAAGTAATACTAAAGAATGCCTTACAAGCTTAGGTTTTGTAATAAATTATAAAAAGAGTAGTTTGAAAACAAGTACTTCGTGTACTTTCCTAGGATTTGTTCTCGATTCCAAGTCGATGACTTTGCAATTACCCGATCGAAAAAGAAATAGTATACTCAAAAATTTAGAGATGTTACTCACTACTAAATCTATACGCATTCGAGAATTTGCGCGAGTTCTCGGTTCCCTTACTGCTGCATGCCCTGCCATTTCCTATGGATGGCTACATACGAAGTCACTAGAAAGAGCTAAATATATGGCACTTCAGCGTAATGCAGATAATTACAATGCTTTTATGGCTATTCCAAATAAATTGCACGATGATTTGATATGGTGGAAAAATCATATTCTAATAGCTAGTAATCGTATTAGACAACATAAATATGAAATGGAACTATTTACTGACGCTTCATTGACAGGATGGGGTGCCGCCTGTCACAATGAGAAGGCTGGTGGTTTGTGGTCTCGCATTGAGCGTACTAACCACATAAATTATTTAGAATTACTAGCCGTTTATCTCGGACTGAAATCATTCGCTAACACAAAAAAAGAATGTGATATTATTTTGCGTGTCGACAATACAACAGCGATCTCGTACATTAATAGGATGGGCGGAGTTCAATACCCGCATTTAAATCATATTGCAAATATAATATGGAAATGGTGCGAGGAAAGGAGAATATTAATTTTTGCTTCATATATTAAATCTACATTAAATACTGAAGCCGATAGAGAATCGAGGAACCTAAATATTGATACTGAATGGGAATTAGCGTCGTATGCATTTTCAGAAATAGTATATACATTTGGTAAACCAGATATAGACCTTTTTGCATCTCGTGTTAATACTAAATGCCCTAAGTACATATCGTGGAAAAGAGATCCCGATGCTTATAATATTGACGCTTTTACTTTGGACTGGTCTACTTATTTCTTCTATGCATTTCCTCCTTTCGCTATAATATTAAAGGTACTAAACAAAATTATACATGATAGAGCTACAGGCATAGTGGTTGTACCACAATGGCCATCACAGCCTTGGTACCCCCTTTTTAAATCATTATCTGTAACGAAACCTGTAACTTTTAGACCTAATAAATATCTCCTTATCTCTACTTTCAGTTCAGTTCACCCGCTACATGGTCAACTTTTCTTGGTAGCGAGCGTGTTATCCGGGAAGGATTTTCCAAGCAGGGAGTACCAAAAGCAGCTGTAGATGTTATGATCTCTTCCTTGTCTCGGAATACTATATCGCAGTATAATTCCAGTCTAAGAAAATGGTGGGAATATTGTAATCAGAATCATTGTGATTTTTATGAAGTTAATCTCAGTTCCCTGCTAATTTTTTTGACAGAATGTTTCCAATCAGGGTCATCCTACGGAACCTTAAATAATCATAGATCTGCTATTTCCTTAATTTCTAGTAATAATATTGGTCATAATGAAAAGATAAAACGTTTTTTCAAGGGTATTTTCAAATTGAAACCCGTTTTCCCCCGTTATATTGTTACGTGGGATACTAACATTGTACTTAATCATTTGGCCAATCTCTCAAACGATTCGATTAATTTAGAAATGTTAAGCAAAAAACTAGTGATGCTGTTAGCTTTGGCAACTGGGCAAAGAACGCAAACATTGTCATTGATAAAAATTTCAAACATTACTTATTACAATGACCGCATAGTTATAGCTATATCAGATTTAATTAAAACTTCAGGTATTGGTCGTCGCCAACCGTTATTGAATCTACCGTTTTTTAATTCTAGACCTAGTATTTGCCCAGCTGCCACACTTAAGTTTTATGTAGCATCAACTTCTTTTGTAAGACCTAATGATGTGGACCATTTAATTTTAACTAGTAGGAAACCATATAAAGCCGTCTCATCTCAGACGTTAGGGCGTTGGATAAAACTAACTCTTCAAGAGAGTGGCATTGATACTTCCATATTTGGTGCCCACAGTACAAGGCACGCTTCTACCTCTGCCGCTTCACGTGCAGGCCTAAGTGTCGATGTCATTCGTAAGGTTGCTGGTTGGTCTGACCAATCAGCAGTATTTGCCAATTTCTATAATAGGCCAATTATTGATACCACTTCTAACTTATTGATTAATTAGATAATAATAACCATGTTTTCAGTTTATTTAGGATATAATAAAGAAATGTACACACTGATTAAATTTTGTTTTTTACTTTTTATTTATTTTTAATTTATTTAATTCTTTTGCAACATTGATAAAAACCTCTGAACATCTACATGGTCAAAGATAAATCTCGGAAACGAAGTCAAGATAATTAAATGATCAAACGAACTTACCTAAAGTGAAGTTCGATCAAAATTATCTTGACTTCGTTGAAGAGATTTAAGGTCCCTCCCACCTCTGCTTATAAAACCCAAATTAATATCAATGTTGCTAGCAGTTACTACCTTATGCTCTAAATAGAATGAGGCTGGGTCGGAATGTGTCGGCATAGGAGAGTGACAGCAATGTCATTATTATGTTTTTATTCCTACCCTCTGAATGCTTGTGCGAAGGGTTGCAGCGTAGCGAGGCTACTACATGGTCAAAGATAAATCTCTTCAACGAAGTCAAGATAATTTTGATCGAACTTCACTTTAGGTAAGTTCGTTTGATCATTTAATTTTTCGTTTAATCATGTTAACATTAATATGCGCACGCGCAAGACTACTAAGATTTAACAATACAATACAATTTACAATAAAATGTACAAAAATAGGTCTATAAAGTAGTAGTTTCCTTTACATTAATAAGATGTAATTATTTTGTAACCAATTTATTAATTTTTTTTTAAATTTTGTCATTTTATGTTTAGAGTAAAAAAGATCAACAACCTGTACAGAAACTCAAGAGTTCTAATGATCTAGAAACAGGGTCGCTGCCTGAATGGATGAGACAAAGCCCCCCACCCGGTAGAGCTCAAAAAGAAGTTTGTATAAAAATCTTATGAAATTCATATATAGAAATGAAATCTTATGAAATTCATATAATAAATAAATTCATATAAATGAAATCTTATGAAATTCATATATGTATAGATAGAATCATATCCAGAGGAGATGGCTGTGTGGTCTGGTCTCGGCATAGAATGAGCCACCCTTTCTTATCCCGTGGGTGTCGTAAGAGCCGTCTAAGAGAGGATGAGGAATAAGCAGAAGCGTCCCTCTTAAAATATCTCTAAAGTCTGACTGCGGTTGCGACTCCGCCTGCCAAGCGTAGCAACTACTAGCAAAACCCCCCAAGGGGAGGTTTATATTCAGCAGTGGACAGTTAAAGGCTGACATGATGATGATGATGATGATATCTAGATGATGTCATATCGAAATTTAAATCAATCGAATAACAGAGTGGATAGCGGACAAGTAGTGCACAAGATCAGATCAGGACCGTTATAAGAGTAAGGGTGAATGTGGGCTGATTAGATATATATATCCAGAGGAAGAGTATTCGTCTGCTAGTGAGCCTACTTATTTTTGTGTGATCCCTCATTCTGCCACCAGACGTTTGTATCCTGGCTCGGAGGATTTGAAGACTGACATCTTCATCTACAAGAATGACGATGCATGAAATATGTCATGGGTACCATAATATGCCTATATATATATATATACTATATACCTATGCCACTGCGTTAGGTTGACTGGAAGAAATCTCTTTTAGAGATAAGTTCGCCTTTGCTAACATTGTTATTAACTTATTGTTGTTACTGTATGTTTTTGTGCAATAAAGAATATATATATAATATAATCTATATCGTTCCTTATAGACAACTGTTCATGAGTGATTAAATAATAAACATCTGAACTATCATTAATCGATTATTCAGAAGAAAGTAGGATAAAAATATAGGGAAACTTTTTTTATAGTTTTTACTTATTATCTTTGTAGTTAGAAGCAAACTTGATAGAGTGGAATGCAACAATTAAAGCAATGCTTGATAGTTTAAAATTAGAGGAAATAGAAATGACATTCAATGATGGAACGAAAAGAAAAATTTGGAAAGTGAACCGCCCTAAACCTGAGTCGATAGAAACTGTCGATTTTGTAAGTATATCATGTATCTTCTAGTGAAGTTACATACAACTTTCAGAAGGTACTTGTAATACTTTTTTAAAATATGTTTTGACAATTTCAAAATCATAAAGATTCTACGGGAATAACTTGAAGGTACACGTGACAGGATATATTGTTAGCAATGAGGCTGTAAATCCCCGCTACTAACAATCTTGTTCTCCTGTGTGTTCTGTTTAGGTTACTATCCTACTGCCAGATAGGTTTCTAGAGAGCTATTCCATCTTTGTATGAATCTACTAAGTTTATTTCAGATTCAACTGTTACCATCTTCAATAGGCAAAAGAATACTTTCCTATTTGCCTCGAGTCCAACTTGGTGAATATACTCGGGTCAATAAATACTGGGCGTACATGGTTGAAGACTTCCGCGCTGAACTTGCTGCCAGGCAGAAAATAAATGCAGATTTAGAAAAACTGCAGGTTATTTTTCAAAACTTTATGCTTCATTTTTATAGAACTTATTTTAAAATGTTTCATCTGTGTCACATGAGATGCCTTCGTGAAAAGGAAGGAAACCTCGAAACTCTTATTAGAGGCCTCCACACAGACTAACACTAGTAGTAGAATTTATTTTTATGGAGAAAGTCATACATTGTAGAATTCTAAGTAAATATACCGCAGAAAAACCCTAAGACCAAAATTATCAATATAGCTTGAAGAAATATAAATAGCTAGCATAAGAAACATATATAAGCTTAATAGATGAGTAACAATATCCGCGTAATGTATGCTGAATGTTACTATCATCACATACGTAACTTGACTTCAAGACTAAAGGTAAATTGATTCTCTGGGGTAGTTAGAACAGGGATTACAGTTATGAGTATAATTATTGTTATACATATTAAAAAGTATAGAAAATTCTAAACCAAAATTCATAAAGTCTTTTCTCAAATCTAAGGATCTGGTGCTACGCCATGATACAAGTATGAAAATCTTAGCTCAGGGTGGCTTCCAAACAACGACCCTGAAATCACAAGGTATCCTCAGCACTACTCAGTCGACGAAGATGAAACCAATCCAGCCCAGTATGAGAGTCAGTGAGAAATCTACCGCCGCTTTTTCCTTCAGACATTTCTTATGCAATAAGCTGAATAAACCTATTATGGTAAAATTTTGCTTGAACATAGAATTATTTATTTATTTATACTTTATTGTACACACTAGTAAAACATATAAATATAACACAGGTAAGTAAATATACAAAAGCAAGCTAAACTAAGAAAGGAAAAAAAAAAAAGAAAAAGAGTTCTTTTCCAGCAAACCCAAAGTGAAAAGGAGTATCAATGTAGAAAGGTGTACATACAATATTGTGATTATTTTCAAATAAAAAAAGTTAGGCAAACTTAAGTTTATACATAAGTAATTATATTGTATTACTTATTAAATTACATATTAGATATAGGTACCAAGTTTTAGATTTTTGTTTTTAAGGGCTAGATGAACTTTAGTTTCGTTACACAATCCATACTTTTCTGTCTGCAAGCATCTGGATGAAGTAATCACCAGCTATATATTTTATTTTGTAAAATATAGACCCTCAGATTATACTGGTACACAATTTTTTCGAAAAAAGAAGTAACAAGGTTTCTTCAGTGAATGCAAGTAATGCAGATCTAGTTAGCAGTCACCCATAAGATACGGAAACTGCTGGCCATTAAGTGGACCGTACGCTTGTTATGGCTAACAATTTTGGATGGCTTTTATATGGACCACAGACACAAAATTTAAAAGTCACATTTATATATAGAAATTATATCCTATATAATTTTATCTATTAGGATAACTTTATATAAATACAGCTGTAATAATTTGAATTTCAGACACAAAAACCAATAAAAAATATAGCTGAGCTAACGGAACGATTGGAAAGACGAGGCGCCGCAGATGAAAATATGTGGAAATGGTGTGAGAATCTTCTGCAACACATCAAGGGTCGAAAGGTACTGCTTTTGTAATGGATGATAATGCATAAAATCAAGAAGCATTAACTACAATGGTTTCCAGAGGGAACTATGCGGAGGTAAATTTTTTTTAATGGATGATAATGGAATGGTAACCCTAACCGCGCTATCGGTATACACCGGCGGGGCACCAGTGAAGGATGATAGATGAGGATGAAGTAGGTCAGTTAGCCCATCGTGACGAATTCAACAAGAATTGTTTACGATGGTTTCCAGGGGGAACCACGTGGAGGTCGACCTAATAAGGCATATTGCTAGCAATGGGGCTGTCAAACTCCATTGCTAACAATCCCTTTCCCCCCAACGGAGGTCAATTTGACATGGTATATTGTTGGTAATGGGGTCGTTGCTTCCCGTTATAATTACAATTAAATACGAACCCTATTAACAATAAAGAGATCAGTGTCAACTGGTATCAATGAGATGTTTTATACCTGCTAGTAAGAAAAAAGAGTGATTGTTTGTTTCAGGGTATAAAGTCAGTATACTCCAGTATTAGATTAATTTTTTTTTTCAATTTTTTTTTTATTTCGAACATCTAGGCATCATCATTACATTATCCTTTTCATGTATAATGTAGCATTTATTTTAGTCACATTAAATGTATCTACTATTTTATGGATATGTCTAGTCTTTTAATAGATAAAATACAGTCTTAAAGTTTAAGATTTTTTGATGTCGGCTAAAAATAAAACAATTACTCTATATTTTTCTGAAATTTTAGAAAAATCCAGGATTAGAAGAGGGCGTATTATCGCTGGGTAGCATGAATTTTCCATGTCCTTTAATGAAGGAGAAGCTAGAAGTGCCACTTGAACCACATCTTTCTAGAGATCCTGCTACTTCGTGAGTATAATAATTGAAAACTCGTGCTATTTTTTTTTTTATATAACTTAGAATGACAAACAAGCTGATGGCCCACCTGATGGAAAGTAGTAACCGTCGCCTATAGACATGAGCAGTACCATGGACATAACAGAGTATACTGTTTCGCCAATAATACCCCCCCCCCCCTATGCGTTGCCATTCCTGAGGACTCAGATGTTATTCCTCTGTACCCTGTAAATTCACGCCATATCCCACCCTTCAAACCGAAACACACACGAAACGAAACACAGCCATGCAAACACAACTGCTTCACGGTAGAAACACGAATGGGACAGAGGTACCCAAGCAATCGACTTTTGTACAAAGTCTCCCTCTGGTAATACATATGACAAGTATAATAGGAGGAATACTAATGAGGTATGATAGATGCAGACGATGGTACATCATTTAGTCCACATAACCAATTGATTGAGAATTTACTGCGACTGTGTTCAGAGGGAATTACATGGAGGTCGGTGTCAGAATATCAAGTTCTAGTCCCAGTTACTAACAATACCTGCCTTCAAAACGAATAAATAACTCTATTTGCGGTTTATGACAGCGTATCTATACCATACGCTGACATCCTATCAGCGTATGACCATCCCTCATTGATAGACACTCCTTACCAGCGATGGATGATAGATGAGGATAAAAGCAGGTCAAATGACCTTTCATGATCTAGGAATTAAACACTATGAATTCCAGGAGGAACCTCGCAGACGTCGATATGACAGGGTATAGAGCAATAGGACTTTTAGTTCTTTCCTAACAATCCTTTCTTTCTATTATAATTTATATAGATAGGTAGGTTACATTAACTTCTATAGAAAAATTCAAATGCGAGAATGAAAAAGCAAGTCAATTAACCCCCTTATAATGAATACACTAAGGGGGACCGCAGAGAGGTGAACCTGTTAGATTATATTGCCAGCAATATAAATTGTCCGCATTACTATAAATCTGATTCCTTCACTTTTTACAGAGGTTCAGTTAAGCCAAAAAGGAATATCTCCAATGCGACTGTAATAAACATTCCAAAAGGACGCGACGTCAAGCGTTACAGCCTTTGGACAAAGGATTTTTCTAGCCTTTATCCGGTTTTCAAGATACCTTCTTACCAATCACCAATATAAAGAAAAACTGTATAGAAAAACAATAAATTAGTTTTGTGGTTATATCATGTGTTTTGTTCTAAACTACGTACCTTTTTTTAATGAGTGATAATATAATGGTAACCCCGCATGCGCTATTGGTATACACTGGCATGCCACCAGAAATAGCGGACGAGGATGAAAGAAGATCAGTCAGCCCATCGTAACGAATTTTACAAGAATTGACCAAGATCCAGGGAAAAATATGGAGGTTAACCTGATAGGGTATATTGCTAGCAATGAAGTTGTTAGATCCCCATTACTAACAACCCATTTACCCTATACCTATTTAGATGCCTAAATAAAACCTACAAACATAATGAAATAATTTAATATACCTTCTGTATAAATAAACCAGAATAAATCTTAGTTGAGGTAATAATGTATTACAACCGCGAATCACCAAGGTTGTCACGTCGTTGTCTTAGAATTATTCTTTGTGGCACATAATGCATTTTGAATAAGAGTCATTTTAGAAATATCTGTAATTTTACTTTATGAATACGTTATACTGCGTCTATCGACTAATAAAAATATAATAATTTATAGTTATCTAATTTAAAACTTAATATCTGTATAGGAATTCTAACTGAGCCTGAGACTCGCTACGAAAAAAGTAATATTAAATGACATCGATGTCATGTTGACATATTTAGGTTTTCTCCAGGGTTTTCAACATACATATTTTCTCCTAATTTTAAGGGAGTATTATACATGAAAGCTATTAGTCCTATAAGGGAGTAATTTAAATATAAATAGCTAATAACGCGTGATGCCTGACGCATGTAATTAATTTTTAAATTTGAGTAAGGTTTCGATATTAAAATGTCTAAACTTAGGCTATTTAAATTTCATAATATTATTAAAAATATATAGAATTTGGAAATATAATAAAGAATTCTATTATTAAGTATATTGTTGACATTATAATTCCGCGGGTAATGGTCCTTAATGTATATTAATATTAAGTGGCGACATTCGGTTTCTATATAACTTTCAGAGTGTAATATTGTACCTTAGGTAATATTCTATGAATAATCTGAAATTTATCAGTGTACATAATTAAGTAGGTGTATATTAAATAGTAGGGAAACTTTTGTAGTGAATTTAAATGGTAACTTTAGTAATTTTCGAGGTTTATATTTAGACATTGTGTTAGATTAGGGGTATGTATATTTAGATTGTGGCAACCCTGGATTTATTTTATTTTTCTAGAAAGAAAAATATCTAAGCAGACAAGCAATCAGAATCAGATAGGAAATACAAAAATATAATTTTGTAGTGTCAACAGTTAAATAAGTCGTAATTTTAGGTGTCGCAAATTAAAATATAATGAGATCAGTACACAGTTTCAGATAAACAGTGTTGATAAATAAACGAAAATGAGTAAGCATATGTATTCTACTGCGAACTTGTCCGACAAAGAGTTAAAAGAACAAGGAAACAGGCTGTTCAGCCTCAGACGTTACGAAGATGCTATGAATTGCTATACAAAAGCTATAGTGAGTAGATATTGATAAAATTATTATAATTTTTTAATCCCTTTTGATTTTAAATATGGGTAAAAAAGTATGGAGTTAGATGTTTTTAAATCTTTGTTTTCACGGTTCATTGGCCTTCATACGTGCAGAGAAACACAAAAACTAGAATTTCATTATCTATTGTATGACACTATACTTTTGTACGTATTACAATAACAAGAATGAATAGGGTAGGTAGGTTATCTAAGGATCTGTATAATGTAGGTATAACATCTACTAGGTATAAAAATAGTTTATGCCATATTGTTTTCTAATATCTCTTATTTACATACCATCTTAGACTTTAATTTCAATACAATTTAATAAAATACTTTGTATATAAAAACATGTTTTTACCAGAACAAGACATTTAAATACTGACCTAAATTCATTTATTGACAAAAAAATTCATGTTTTCTATTGCTGGACTTGTTAATATAATTTTGTATACTTAATTTTTGATTTGGACAAATACTATTATCCTCATCATTTCAGCCTTTATTCATCCATTACTGGACATCCATCCATCCATGCCTCCCCCATAGACTGCTATAAGAAACAGTCCTAAGCCATCTGCGTCCACTGACTCCCTGCAATGTATTTGAGGTTGTTACTCCATCTAGTGGGGGAGTTAAATGCTATGATGTTACTTAATTTTTTTTCTTATATTTTAAATCTTTATCAAATTCTATTGAATGTTTAGATGCTAAATTTATCATATGTATCTATTCTATATAATTTATATACTAATATGCTCACAGTTGTAATCCGTAATCATTTAAAGGTATATATTGTCTTTAGTAAAGAATCATTGTAGAATATACCTATTTTTTTCTAAGCATATTGGAATCTAATGCAGTAAGTTGAACCTAATACAGTCTCTCAGATATTGGGTTCCTCTTTATATCAATGATGGAAAAAAGGTTATCACCTATTTCAATATCAACTGTACCAGTTCTTTTTTAATGAGTAATAATGAACACATTGCCAAGGCTGCTGAGATAACTCTCGATCCATTTTAATGCCTCTGACACCATACTTTTTACATTTGTCAATCAAGACTAACAAAATCAAATGCTTTGTTCATATCAAAAGATGCTCCCCAAACATGACGTTTCTCATTAATATATTTAGTGACATTTTGAACGAGTTTAAAAGCAGCAAGGGTAGTGGATTACAAAAACATGTTTATAGAATGGTAACTCTGCTGGTGCTATTGGTATACACTGGTGGGGCAACCGTGATAGATGACAGGTGAAGATGAAGGCAGGTGAGTTGGCTCATCGTGAAGAATTCAACAAGAATTAACCATCTATGTTTTTCAGGGGGAACCATGTGGAGATAGACTTGATATGGTATATTGTTAGCAATGGGGCTGTTAGAACCCTTTATTAACAATTCCTTTCCCCAAATCATACCAGTTGGACATATATATACAATTTAAGTTGATAAACCAATATTTAATATATCCCTTTTTGGGCCAATATATAAATGTTATCTATCCCCTCTCTCAGATTGGTTTGTTGACTGTGTGTTTTTTTATATAAATTTCAGATAAAAAATCCATCTGTGGCCACATACTTTACAAATCGAGCTCTCTGCCATTTGAAGATGAAGCACTGGGAGGCAACATGTCAGGATTGTAGACGTGCATTGGATATAGACAATAATCAAGTGAAAGGACACTTCTTTCTCGGACAGGCGTTAGTAGAACTTGAGTGTTACGATGAGGCAATCAAACACTTACACAGAGGTATTAAGTATATTAGTTTTGTTTTTTTTTATATTCTCCTTATTAATAATCTATGTTCCTAAAGGAACAATATTAGTATATTCTTTAAAAAAACTTTGTGAGTATTGTAAGCAAGCTGATATTGCTATTATATTGAACAAACGAGAAAAAATTGGTGAGAATTTTCTACAAATGTAGATATAATTAAAATTTCTGCTACTATAGATGTGCTTATGTAAGCATGTATATAACAGCCGTGTGGTTGTCTTTTGGTTTGAAGCATGGTATGGGTATGGCAGTGAAATTGATTGCAGGGTAATGGAGGCATTACACTTTAATGGCTACACCAAGAGCACCATGGATATCACTGTGTATAATGTATATTTATAATTATGTAAAAGCCATGGTTGTAATTTTCGGGCGGGCTGTCAGTTTGATTGGTATTAATTTAAATAAGTACTTACGTAATGTATTTTTATTAATATTGTAAAATATGAAAGTGAGTATGTGTATTATTCTATTGACACCTTAACCCTTCTTTGCATAATGTTGGAAATTTCCATCTGACATTGAATGCCTAAAAATTACAAGTTTAATTTAAGTTGATCATGTCTGAATACCTTTTTAATCTCCATTGCAGAAAAAAAGAATCATAGCTGTCAAATTTATTATTTTAACCACTTTTCTTTTCATTTTGAACATGAATTATATCAACTTGATTTATTTCACCAATAAAAAAAATCTTGCATAGAAGGGTTAATCACTAAACAAGTTTTGAGACTCTTTTAATAGTCTTAATCATTGTGTACGAATTTGACTAGAATTTGTTTAGTCACATTTCATTATTAGGTCTAAAATAAGTGTGTTTATACTTTTTTTGTAAAATGGCAGAATCAGTGGGCTTATTTATTATTCCCAGTTGCATGGAAAAAAGTATTCATATATTTAGGGTTCAAATTCTTCTGTAGTATTTTTGTTTTAATATTATCAGTGTTTAAAAGTAACTATGTATTTTCAATCTATATAGCAAGTGATCTGGCTCGCGAACAAAAACTGAATTTTGGTGATGACATAGCAGCACAACTACGTATTGCAAGGAAGAAGAGGTGGAATGTACAGGAGGAAAAGAGGATATCACAGGAAATTGAACTGCAAACTTATTTAAATAGGTATTCTATTAAATATATCTTATATTTGAATCTTTAAAAATTCGATTACAATAACAGTTTGATTTCATACTAACTGTAAGCTACAGCTTTTCCTGTGAAAGTTGGAAGTATCTAGGCTATGATGCATACATTGCTTTTTACATAATTACATTTAAATCTATTTATTTATTTTCAAGTTTGATTAAATAATGATTATCTAATAACCTGAGTCCTCAGGAATGGCAATGCATAGGGGATATCATGGGCGAAACAGTATACTCTGTTATTTCTATGGTACTGCTCAAGTTTATAGGCGACGGTTACCACTTCCCATCAGGTGGGCCGTCAGCTTGTTTGCTATTCTAAGTTGTATAAAAAAAAATTGTTTTGCAGGCTAATAAATGAAGACATGCAACGTAGAATAGAGGCAATAAGGTTAGAAAATAGTAATGAAGATGAAAGTAATACACAAATAAGCAAAGTTGAAGAAGAATGTGTGAGTGTATACATTTTTTATTATTATTTTCTAATAACACTCCCATGAGTTTTTGGAATAATGGAATAGTAAACCCCCCTTCCTCCACCCCTTTCTACGGCATTGGCATATGTTGACGTGGTACCGGTGATTAATGATAGATGAGGATGAACTCAAGGCCTCTAGACAAATGGCAAACGCATTCGTCGATGGAATCGACATCGCTAGCGAGTCCATGAGATATCAACGCCGGGTGACTCATTCCAACTTACGGACTCGCTAGCGATGTCGAATCCATTGACGAATTTGCTTGTCATTTGTCTAGAGGCCCTGGTCAGTTGGTCCATTGTGCTGAATACGTTAGAAATTAACCCTTAAATACCTGAAGTTTCAAATTTGATACCGGGGTTATAAATCGCATTGGGCGCCTACAATGGATTTTGTTTTAATATTTGGCTGTTTACATGTAACCTGGTAAATATAATCTCATCATATGTATATGCTTTAAACATTTCCGAACGCAACATGCTTCTACCCTCCTTACCTATCCATATTTCCTATCAAATCTGGGATCACATCGGGGGGTAGACGGATAAATTAAGTCTATAATCCAACTGCGTGTCGAGCTGATCGAGTTCCGCCAAGATCACAAAAAAAGGCTCCACCAGTTGCGAATTAGTCAATCAGCCGCGATCTCCGCGCAACTTACAGTGGTATTTCAGCGAAATCAACATAAGTGTTAGATATTTAGAAGAGAGAACGAGAACGCGTACAAAGACCTACACGCGGGGACTACGTGAACCAGGTTTGTCCTTTACCCTTCTTTTTATCCAACATCCTTTCCTTGGTCCTTCGACCCGATATCCTCATCCTTTATTAAATCTAAAAATCATCCATATTTCATCATCAAAATCAAAAAATCATCCTATAAATTTATTGCGTCATCTTTTTTTTTTTTTGTTCATATTAACCCCCATTCTATATTTAATTGTACGTGTCATTTCCATTCAAATTGCCTTGTGGTCAAATGACACTTCCTTTTGGTATTTAATTGTTGGCGACACTGAATATCATAGAAACGTCATCAGAGCTGTCAATATTCGATCAATTTCAACTTGTCATTTTATTTTGTTTACATTTATATTTCAATTTACCTTTGCATATAAAATTATTACTATTTCTGAAAATAAACACTAAAAACAATGGCTAATATAAAAGCGTATATCACCAATTGTGATCGTAATTATAAAAACATGAAAATTGTGTATGAACTGGCAGGTAAACTTAGTCAAAGCACCAATATCACTCCTCAAGAACGATCTAGTTTTCTAGTTCGATATAAGGACATTGAACGTTTTAGGCAACAATTTGAAGAAGCTTTTACCATTATTATGTCTAGTCCAGAGGCTATGAGTGACAAATCTCGCGAAGAATTAGAAGTTAGGTATTCAGCCTTCATGGACATGTACTATTCTATTCAAGTTTTACATAGTTCATTTGAAACAAAAAGTAGCAATAGTACTCAACAAGTATCAGTTAAATCAGAACCTGGCATACATCTTCCGAACATATCCCTAAGTAGGTATACAGGTGTGTACACTGAATGGCCAAATTTTATTTCTATATTCAATAGTTTAATACATAATAATGATAGCTTGAGCCCAATTCAAAAATTGCATTATTTGCTGAGTGTTTTAGATAAAGAACCACTTTCTTTAGTGAAACATTTAGTAATATCTAGAGATGGGCAATCCACCTGGGTGGGTTTAAAGTCTGGTGGGTAAAAACCGGGTGTTTTGGGTTTATTGGGTTTAAACCCCATAAACACCCAAATTTTTGGGTGTTTATGATTTTGTACTTCATCATCGTCATCTCAGCCGCAAGACGTCCACTATACTGGACATAGACAATATTATTATGCAGCCTACAGAATAAAAAACTTTTAATTTGATTTTGAGTTTATTAAGAAAGAGATGAAAGTAAAATGTAAAACTACAGTCAATCACTGTCAGATTCAGAGTTATTACAAGCGATGAATTGTATAGGTTCGATAGGCTCTATTTCGTCTAAACTGTTATGTTCATTTACTTGCTCAATGAAAGCTTCTAAGGTATTTTCTTCATTAAACTGAATGTCCTCGCATTCAGCTTTATGTTTAAGATTCCAGTTATAACAAATGAATGAAATTTTTTCAGTTCTTTCAGTTGTAAGTCGATTTCTTTTGTTATTATGTATGTAGCCTTGGATACTAAAGGAACGCTCAGTGGCTGCCGAAGTACAGGGAGCTGATAGAATACGAATCGCTACTTTGCTTAACTCAGTGGAACCACAAATACCTTTCCACCATATTAGGGGCTCAATGCTATCTAATGAGCTCCATACAAATCCTCTGGCCCAAAAGTTTTCTTTAGCTTTATAACACGCCAAATCTGCCATTACATTTGACAAACTTAAGTGTTGGCTTAAATTGTAGATAAACTCCATACCCTTAAGTTCTTCCTCTTGAGTAAGTTCGACTCCTAGAGTCCTGGGGTCTAGAATATATGCTGCAAAATGTATTGGCCTCATTACCATATTGCATCTTGAAGATACTGATGTTAGAATCTGCTGTTTGCTTTCTTCGCTCAATGTCGAAATCTCATTTAATGCAAAACGTATCTTAGCTTGTACATCTCTAAATGTAATGTATGTGCGATGCAAACGATTCTGGTCGCTCTCTAAGTAAAATATGCTTTCAGTGACTGGTTCCAAAATACTTATACATTCCCCTGTCTTCGTCCAGAAATCATCACTTAGAATTAAATCTTTAATATCTCTTGAAATTACCACATCTTCTCTAACTGTTAATATTTGCAAAGCTATCTTATTTGCTTTCAAACTTTTTAACGAAGTAACATGACTTCCCCATCTTGTAGCACAAGGCAATTTTAGTGTTTGTGTAGAATCTTCACCCTGCCTTGATTTTATCAACAAGGAACTTAATCGTTGACTCCTTTTAACAGTTTTTATTATATTTATGGCTTGCATAATAAACACAGTTACTTCTTGTATCTTTACAATATCTTGGCACAACAAGTTAAGGATATGTGCACAGCAACCGAGAGGAACAACATGTGGATATTTGAGTTTTGTTAATTCGAATGCCTTTTGTATATTTCTAGCGTTATCGCCAATAAGTACAAGAAACTTATTTGCTCCATACACTTTCATTACTTTTTCAACTTCTTGGCTAAGGTATTCACTAGTGTGAGGATTACTTTCTGTATTCAAACTTTTAACGTATGCAGGTTGAGGTTTTGATATAAGAAAGTTTATTATTCCTTCATTTCTTAAATTAGACCAGCCATCGCACTGAAGGTGTAAGTAACTACAAGCATTTAGTTCCTCATTTAACTCAAAACGCATTTCTCTATATATTTTATCTAAGTATTTTGTCGCTAAAGCTTTACGTGAAGGTATTTTAAATTTTGGTTGCAATTTTTCGAAAAATTGTATCCATAAAGGATGTTGCACCATCGATAATGGCGTCCCTGTTACAAATATAGCTCTCGCTAATTCTGTTTTTATATGATCATCGGTGTCTTGAAACTCAGCATTTATTGTAGTGTTAGCAGACGACGAGGGGCTTATAAAAGAATCATTTGTCTCTATCTCTGACAGTCCAGACATTTTGGTTTTGGACGAGCTATCTTTTATAAGTTTCATAGAGTCTTTTAATGTTTCTGGAGATTTTGGACAAGTGATAAGATGTTGAAGCATTTTGGCAGCATTACTGAATTTGTAGACCTTATTACAAAGCTTGCAAGAAACAGACTTGTTTGGTAAAGTACGGTAGTGCTCCCATATGCGTAAATCTTTAGGTCTCCCCATTGAACCTAAAAAAATGAACGATGATTAGTTGGTCTGACGAAAATTCAACAATAGAGTGCCTATTTTTTTACAATGATTATTTCTTGTTATTTACAATAAATTTATTAAAAAAATAATAAAATAAATACAAAAAGCCTTTGTAAAATTACATCTCCTCGGAGGATTAAACGCAGACGCTAGTTTATTATCGTATTGTTCTGTATTTTTCTCAGCAACTTCTTTAATTCGATTAGGTACTTACGCATATTATGTTAAAAATAAATATCTAGTACACATCTTAGGCTATCCACCATTATTATCCAATGACGACTCTCAGCTAACTATGCACTATCATCCAAAATAAACGTGTATGGAAAATTTTATCCCAGTCGGTTGAGGATTGAGGATAATTGCATCAACATACGAACATACCTACATACTTTTATTTACATAACGCAAGCTAAATAAAAGCTTGTAATAATACATCTAATTTTAAGTTAAAATTGTTAAGTGATCATGATATAATTGTATCATTCAAAAATCCACTTACCTTTAATTATTTCTTGTTAAGTATAAATATTATTTCAAATCTGCTCCCTTAATATGCACTTTTTTACTGCTTTTCCTACCTAACACGTTACCAGGAAGTCACGTTACCAGAGTCAGAGTAATAGTGAACACGTTTGACAGTGATTGTCGTCGCCTCATATTCAGCGTCGACGAATAGGGGAATCCCCAGTCATAATGTATTGCATGCGTGGCGGTCTTACTTCAAATCCATAAACAAAGAGATAATTACAGAACTCGATACTAGATGGCGCTGTTTTTGTTTGAAGAAAGTTTGCGGGCTAAAATACATAGAATTTCATCAATGACTTCCACAAAGAACAACATTTCTGTTTTTTCTAAGTCCGTATCTCTTCCGTATATTTCATAAGATATAAGCTTGGGCTACATTGTTATGCAACGTGATTTTGTCGCTGTCTTGCTAGCAGGGTTGACAGATATACGATTTAAATCGTACTCATACTATTATTTGTCTATTTTTTAATGTACGATCGTAAAGATTATGATCGTAATTCGCACAAAAACATACGACTTTTTGGTTACCTGGCAACATTTTTATTATGAAACGAACATGCTCACATCATCAGTCACATGCAACAATTTATTGGGGATTTCCCCTTCACATCTGGCAGTCCTGCTTGCTAGAATATAGGTAAGTCAGCCACAGTTACTGACGATCGATATTTAAAGGGTATTGTTTTTGTGCTAAATATTTCATAAAAACGTTATTTAATACTTTGTGGATTATTAATTTAGTTGATAATCACTGGAAGTAAAATGGATGCTAATTTGAGAGATCAAGATCTTCGTATAAAACAGTTAATAAAAGAAAATCTACGTAAGTACTCTTTTTATACCTAGGTAGGTAAGGTATAATAAACACAAAAGGTACTTAGATCGCGTGTGTTCGAAGCATTTATTCTAATAAATTTAATTTAAAATTGTAGAAAGAAAAAAAATGTCTGCCAAGCCGTAGCCGAAGCCGATCTCCAAATATATTTGGCGATAGTGAGACCCAGTGTCCAGATGATTTACCCAGCGTCGTCGCAACAAACAAAAAAAACGAGGATAAAGTAAAAGAAAATTTACTGAAAGAAGAAACAAACTGTTCTAAATGCTTAATTTATGGAGAAGAGGATAAAAGAAATGAGTATTTCGGACTGTTAGTGGCTCAAGAATTTAAATATATACGGCCATGTGTGCGAACGAGGTGTTATGAAGAAATTTTAAAGTATCTACGGGAAGCAAAAGGCCAACATGTTGATCAACTGCAACATGAAAACACTGAAAATTAATTACTTTCATTTTATTATATATAGATTTTTAAAATTTCCTGAAATATTATTAGTTAACGTTTTATTTAATATTGTAGAATTGATCAATACAATTTATAAAAATAATTTATTGGTATTACTTACATATTTTCAAAAAAATACGTAAAAACCTATTTTTTTGGGTGATTATGGGAGTTTATGGGTGTTTATTGGGTTTTTACCAAAGCACCGGGTTTAAACCCGGTGCTTTGCCCATCTGTAGTAATATCTAATGAGAACTACAATGTTGCTTATAATCTATTAATTGCACGCTATGAAAACAAGAGAGTGATCGCTGATAAACATGTAGAAGCAATTCTTAACTTACCAACTTTAGCACAGTTATCTTTAAAAAATTTAACCAAGTTTGTTTACACTATAAAGGAAAATACTCAAGCCCTTAATGCTCTAAACATAGATACAAAATCATGGGATTTTCTTTTACTTCACATTATTCTCAGAAAATTGTCCCTTGAATTAAGAAGTAAATTTGAATCTCAAGTAGATGCTAGGAGTATACCATCATTTAACAAATTAATTACATTCTTAGAAAATCAACTATATATTTTAGAAAATTTAAATACATGTACACATAAGGCTTCTACCAGCAGTTCATTGACAGTTGTTGAATCCAAACAGCTTAACAAAAATAAACCTTATATGGTTGTGTGTCCCTGCTGTCAGGAAAATCATAGTATATACCATTGTTCCAAATTTGATGCAATGACTCCAGAACAAAGAAAATCCTTTGTTTATCAGAATAAATTGTGTTTTAATTGTTTACGGACTCATCACATTGCTAAATGCATCTCACGTAGTGTATGTGGAGTATGTCATGGCCGTCATCATACAAAGCTACACATCATGTCTAATACAGTAAGGCCTAATCCAACGGAAGAAGTTGCTGTGTCCACATTAGGCTCCATCATGCAACTTCAATCAAGTAATGATGAGCGACAGTTTACTATGATATTGGGTACCGTTTCTGTTTGTGTACGGGATGTCAATGGGCAATATCATTCAGCCCGTGCATTGATAGACAATGGTTCCCAAGTTTCTATTATATCTGAAAGTCTTGCTCAGCAGTTAAGGCTACCACGTACACCGTCGAGATGTGTACTTGGATTAGGTGCTTCATCAGCCAAGCAAACTAGAGGTACAATACATTGCCATATAAAATCGGTACATGATTCCTCCAAATTCATTTCTACTGACTGTTTAATAATGAAACGTATAACAGGTAATCTTCCTTCTGTTGAAGTCAACTCTTGCATCATGGATAAATGTAGAAATTTAGTTTTAGCGGACAAAAACTTTTCAGTTCCAGGACAAATAGATCTTCTTTTGGGTATTGACACATATAATCAAATTCTGGATGGCAAGCGGTGTAGCCTGGGTGATGACATGCCCACTGCACATTCATCCTTATTCGGTTGGGTTATTATGGGCAGAGCACCAGCAGCATCACAGCACTCTTATAGTGTAATTTCGATGGCCTGCACAGGTGATCCTTTCTTCAATCTTTCTAGGTTCTGGGAGTCAGAGGAACCTCCCAGCCAGCCTATACGGGATCCTGAAGATATTCTTTGTGAAAAACATTTTACTGACACCCACACGAGAGATGACACAGGTCGTTTCATTGTACGGTTACCATTCAAAGTAGATCACAAGCCTTTGGGAGAAACACACACTACCGCTTTAAAGCGATTTCATAATTTAGAGCGCCGCATGTTAAAGGATGACAAATTGCATGAATTATATGTAGCCTTTATGAAAGATTACATTGAAGCTGGCCATATGCGTGAAGTATCAACTCCTGTTTCAAGGGAGCGATATTACATTCCGCATCATGGCATACTACGAGAACATAGTAGCACCACAAAACTTCGTGCTGTATACGATGCTTCGGCCTCTAGCTCCACTGGTGTTTCCCTCAATCAGATACTTATGTCTGGCCCCAAACTTCAAAAAAGTATTGAAGATATAATTTTGCGTTTTAGAATCCATAAAGTTGTCTTCACATGTGACATAAAACAAATGTACCGCCAGGTACGTATGCATAATGAAGATTGTAAATATCAAACTATCTTCTGGCGTGCATCACCTGATGAGCCGCTGAAGCAATATGAATTGATCACAGTAACATATGGCGTCACCAGCTCTGCTTTTCAAGCTATTCGTGTCATTCATGAGCTGGCTCACATAAATTCCAGCCAGCATCCTGAGGCTTGTAGAGTGTTGCTAGAGGACACATTCGTAGACGACGTTGTCAGTGGTTCTCATAGTTTTGACTCTGCTCAGCACCTGCAACAAGAACTTGTTAACATTCTATCTCAAGGCGGCTTTGCTTTACGTAAATGGTCTAGCAATTCAAAGGAGTTTTTGGAGTTGTTTGCTTCAGATCACTGCGAGCCACCTTACCGTTTCGAAGAGCATGGTGATAATGTTTACAAGATTTTGGGCATCGAGTGGAACGCAAAAACTGACAGTTTCATTTATCGTGTTTCAAATATTAGCGACGTCATGACAATGCGTGGTGTACTTTCTAATATTGCCAGACTTTACGATCCATGTGGATTCCTTGCGCCTGTCACTTTCTATGCAAAGCACATCATGCAACAATTGTGGGCAAGTCAGTGTGGATGGGATGATCCTCTTCCTCCTGCCATACAGGAAAGTTGGTCAGAGCTAATTTCAAATTTTCATCAACTCGATAAAGTATCGATACCACGTTGGGTAATCACTAATCAACCATTGGTTTGTCAGCTACACGGTTTTAGTGATGCGTCTGAACGCGGATACGCTGCGTGTGTCTATCTGCGCGTCCAGAATGCTCATGGTATTTCGACTCAACTATTACTCGCAAAATCGCGTGTAGCACCTCTTAAACAAAAACTTACCATTCCAAAATTGGAATTAAACGGTGCACTTTTACTTATACGTCTTACAAAACACGTATTTGACATCTTAAATGTCAAAGTCAAAATTAGTAGTGTTGTTGCTTGGTGCGATTCAAGTATAGTTCTTTCATGGCTTAAAACTTCTCCTCATAAACTTCAAACGTATGAGGGTAATCGTGTATCCCAGATTCAAAATCTGTTTCCCGATGTTACATGGAAGCATGTACCGTCCATGATGAATCCAGCTGATCCAGCCAGTCGAGGTCTCAGTCCTGCTGAATTAGTTGATCATCCTTTATGGTGGTGTCCAAAATGGCTTGAGCTGGACGACTCAACATGGCCAGATAACATTCCTGACCTAAGTGAAGCGGAATTACCTGGCATGAAGTCTTCACCGTTTGAAGTCTATGTGACTCAGACGGTTGATGAATTTCCTGCTCTTACAAAATTCAGCTCGTTTCCCAAGTTACAGTCTGTGGTAGCTTGGTGTAAGCGCTTTATTTACAACCTGCGTAACTATTCTCAACGAAGAACTGGACCTCTTAGCGTATGCGAGTTGAGTGCAAGCACGCACACTATTGTCCGGCTAGTTCAGTCTTCGGAGTTTTTGGAAACTTCTAGAAGGTTACGTGAGGACAAACCTCTCAAGGGTTGTCTTTTAAGGCTCAACCTATTTCTTGATCAGGACGGCCTTATTAGAGTTGGTGGAAGACTTATCAACTCAAATTTACCCTACAACGCAAAGCACCCGCTTCTACTTCCAAAAACTCACCATGTAACACGGTTAATAATCGATCATTATCATCGTATTTTTTTGCATTCAGGCTTAAATTCCCTCATGAATTTATTGCAACAAAATTATTGGATTTTATCAGCGCGTCGAATAATCCGCCAACAAATATTTCGTTGCCACAGATGTTATAGATCTCGACCTAAGTCCATTGAACCATTCATGGGAGATTTGCCATCTCATCGAGTGACGTCGTGTCGACCTTTTGAAAAAGTAGGAGTCGATTTCGCAGGTCCTTTTTCCTTAAAGACATCTCGAATTCGAAACGCCAAATCTGTTAAATCATATCTTTGTATTTTTGTATGCTTTACGACTAAGTGCGTCCATCTAGAAATTGTTTCAGAGTTGTCCACTGAAGCATTTTTAGCCTGCTTTGATCGATTTGTTTCTCGTAGAGGTCTTCCCAGCGACGTTTTTAGTGACTGCGGTACTAATTTTATCGGTACTCGAAATTATTTAAAGAACGTAACTCAGCACATTAAAAATTCACATGAAGAAATTCACAAACATTTAGCACGTCAACAAGTAGTTTGGCATTTGAATCCTCCCGCCAGTCCACATATGGGCGGTTTGTGGGAAAGCGCCGTGCGCTCTGCCAAGATTATTTTAACTCGAGTTATCGGCGATCGCTCACTGGTTTTCGAAGAATTAGCTACCATTTTTGCCAAGGTTGAAGCTGCATTAAATTCGCGTCCTTTAGTCCCTATAACTAATGATTCAAACGATTTGGATGTTCTAACACCGGGCCATTTCCTCATCGGTAAACCCCTTCAGGCATTGCCTGAGGAGGAAATGACAGAATCTAATCTTTTAAAACGATGGCAATTAGTTCGTCAAATAACTCAGCATTTTTGGAAACGTTGGCAAACCGAATACCTTCACACATTGCAACAACGACCCAAATGGCTTGCTAGGCTACCTAATGTCCAAGTAGGTGATTTGGTCTTGCTAAAGGAATCCGCTTTGCCACCGCTTCGATGGAAGACAGCCCGCGTAACAAGGGTTTATCCAGGTTCTGACGGCACTGTTAGGGTGGTTGAATTAAAAACTTCAGCTGGTAGTCTACTTCGTCCAGTAACTAAAATTTGCCCGTTATTATGCCAAGCCTAATTAAATCAATGTTCTTATACCATAGAATCATAGCTTCTAGTAGTAGTGTATTTTAGTAGTAATCAAACTTATTATTATTATTATTATTTTTTTACTTAAGCCAATGTTTTTAGAAATCCTTGACTCTCTTATTCTTATTTATTATCTAATTTGCTAAAGAGCCTGGTAGCTCTTTGGGGGGCGATATGGTAAATATAATCTCATCATATGTATATGCTTTAAACATTTCCGAACGCAACATGCTTCTACCCTCCTTACCTATCCATATTTCCTATCAAATCTGGGATCACATCGGGGGGTAGACGGATAAATTAAGTCTATAATCCAACTGCGTGTCGAGCTGATCGAGTTCCGCCAAGATCACAAAAAAGGCTCCACCAGTTGCGAATTAGTCAATCAGCCGCGATCTCCGCGCAACTTACAGTGGTATTTCAGCGAAATCAACATAAGTGTTAGATATTTAGAAGAGAGAACGAGAACGCGTACAAAGACCTACACGCGGGGACTACGTGAACCAGGTTTGTCCTTTACCCTTCTTTTTATCCAACATAACCAATATTTTTTAAAAATAAATATACAAAAATATCGTTTTGATTTTTTTTTATTTTTCTCCATTAGTAAACACAGTAAAGGGTACACTTACATATTTTTTAAATTGATTTAAAAATCAGGCTTTTAAGGGTTAACTACAATGGTTTCTAGAGGAGACCGCTTCAAGGTTGAATTGTGTCAGATTATATTGCTAGCAATGAGGACTAAGCTTATTACGAATATTCCCTTTGGCCTTTGACCATTGTCACTTATGTATTAAAATAAGTGTACTCTGCAAGTTTATGGCTTATACAAAATAAAGACATTTGTTTATTTAAAAATCAATTTAGATGCTTCTAGTTCTAATATTGTGTAATGAAACCTGAAATTTTGTCTTTTTTTTGCAGAATAATTACACTAGTGAGCTTAACAATTTATTTTCAAAGATGGATGAGAGAAGAAGGGTAAGTAATTGATGCACTGGAAATATACATACATAGATATGAAACTATATTTAATATTCGATACGAAAGTTAAGAGAGACCAAATTGAAACAGAAAAAATAAATATTTATCCTAGAACAAGATAAGAGTGGAACCATAGATAAGAAACTATCTATATACAAATGCCGCGAGATGTTTTACTATTTTACTTACTGCTTATTTACTATTTTACTTATACTTTATGCTCGCTACTTCGTATGGGTGGATTTCAGAAGTAAACTCAATTAAATGGACCACTTTTAGATATATATATTAAGGTCAAACATAACAGATTTTAAGTTAGACTTTCAGGAATACAATTGTGAAAACCGTATCCAATTTGGTAAAGTAATTTTTGCATGATCCTGGAGCAACCATGCAGACAAACAGATAGATAAAATTTTTAACAATTATTGTTTTGCTGTCAATTGGTCTTATTTTTATCCCTCCCTTTATATCCCCTCGAGTGTTTATGCATCATACGCTGTACCAAACATAAAAGTGGTATCGCGTGCTAATGCAACAGTGTCTGTTGTATAACTCGAATTTGCAGCATCGTTTTCATTAAATTTATTTAGGTCATTAATTTATGTAGGTGATAAACCCATTTATCTTCATGTCGACCTCTACGTGGTTCCCCCTGGAAACCATCGTGGTTAATTCTTGTGAAATTCGTTACGATGGGCTAACTGACCTGCTTTCATCCTCATCTGTCATTTATCACTGGTGTCCCGCCAGCGTATACCGATAGCGCAGACGGGGTAATCACTCCATTATCATCCATAAAAAAAAAAAACATTTATCCATAACCTCTAATCGATATTTGGTAATTTAAAAAATCAGCGACGCAGTGGGTGTAGCGAGCTAGCTCCACGAGATATAAAATTTCTAAATTAGACTCATGTAGGCGATAGCTATTGTCTACTTAAAATTTTATTATATTATTAAGATTACCTTATCGTGTATTTACGGATCCCAGGACGTTATATTATTTGTGTTTTAATTATTACTAATTTTACCAAAAATAAAAAGAAAGCAATTCGCCAAATCTATACATATTATTATAGCCGTTAACTGTCCACTGCTGGACATTAGCCTTCCCCATAATGGGAGTTTTGCCAGTATTGGCCACGCTTGTCAGGCGGGTTGGCAACCGCAGTTGAGCTTTAGATGTTTTAAGAGGGACGCTGCTGCCCATCCCACACCCATAGATAAATTAATAGTAAATAAATAAATACAGGGGACACATAATTTTTATCCTAATATATGCTTAATTATTTTTTTTTCAAATAATGGCAATTGACTGGAAACTCCTGTTTCAATTGATACTGGTGGAATATTTTTTTTAATTGATGATAATGAAATGACACCCCTGCCCCGTTAACGGTATATATTGGCGAAGCACTAGTGAGGGGCGATAGGTGAGGATGAAAAGGCAGGTCAGTTAGTCAGTGATGAATACATCTGAGAGGGGGGAAAGAGATTGTTAGTAATGGAGACTGAGAATCCCACTACTAGCAATATACCCAACCAGGTCGACCTCCTCGCGGTTCTCCCTGGAAACTATCATGGTTAATTCCTGATGAATTCGTCATGATGGGCTAACTGGCCTGTTTTCATTCTCATCTATCACCCTTCACTGGTGCTCCGCCAGCGTATCCCGTTAGCGCAGGCGGTGTTACCATACCATTTTCACCCATCAAAAAAAAAACATCTGAGATCAGTTAGTGATGAAAACACCTGGGATTCAGCACGATGGTTTCCAAGGAGGACCAGATGGAGGTCGACTTGATAGGGTATTCTAGCAACGGGATTGCTAACCCCGATGACTAAAAATCCCTTTTCCCTCTGTAGCTATATACTATGTACATGAGCTATTAAGTTGTATTATATTTATTCCTATAATTATTTCCAGAAACGTGACGTACCAGACTATTTATGTGGTAAGATCAGTTTCGAAATACTAAACGAGCCGGTCATCACGCCTAGCGGGATTACGTATGAGCGGAAAGATATCGAGGAACATTTAGAGGTATCCAATTCTTTTTGTTACATACTGGATTTAAGGAACAGGTTGGCAAATACTTAAACAGCGAATTCAAACCATTATTCTGAACTGAAAACCAGTGGAAATTCTTTCCCAAAAATTTCAATTTTTTTTTAAATTATGTAATCTGTAGTATTATGTCATATTATAAAGAAATAATAATATTTTGTAGTGAAATACTATGAAATACTAATAATAATTGAAAATGATATGGTAACCCCGCCTGCGCTAACGGGATACGCTGGCGGAGCACCAGTGAAGGGTGATAGATGAGAATGAAAACAGGCCAGTTAGCCTATCATGATGAATCATCAGGAATTAACCATGATAGTTTCCAGGGAACCGCTAGGAGGTCGACCTGGTTGGGCTATATTGCTAGCAATGGGATTCTCAGTCTCCATTACTAACAATCCCTTTCCCCCCTACGTGTAGTATTAGAATCCTACCGCGGTGCGCGGGATCAGCTGTGTGAGGTCAAAGGTCGCCACAAGCATACGAAACTACCTACGAAGAAGCTTCACTGACCGCGTTATACCTATGTATCATTCAGGTGGATCGTAAAATTTCAGATACATTGCGCAGCGTTGAAACTAAGAATCGTTGATTGTATGGCTGTGGTTAGAGATGGGCAATCCACCTGGGTGGGTTTAAAGTCTGGTGGGTAAAAACCGGGTGTTTTGGGTTTATTGGGTTTAAACCCCATAAACACCCAAATTTTTGGGTGTTTATGATTTTGTACTTCATCATCGTCATCTCAGCCGCAAGACGTCCACTATACTGGACATAGACAATATTATTATGCAGCCTACAGAATAAAAAACTTTTAATTTGATTTTGAGTTTATTAAGAAAGAGATGAAAGTAAAATGTAAAACTACAGTCAATCACTGTCAGATTCAGAGTTATTACAAGCGATGAATTGTATAGGTTCGATAGGCTCTATTTCGTCTAAACTGTTATGTTCATTTACTTGCTCAATGAAAGCTTCTAAGGTATTTTCTTCATTAAACTGAATGTCCTCGCATTCAGCTTTATGTTTAAGATTCCAGTTATAACAAATGAATGAAATTTTTTCAGTTCTTTCAGTTGTAAGTCGATTTCTTTTGTTATTATGTATGTAGCCTTGGATACTAAAGGAACGCTCAGTGGCTGCCGAAGTACAGGGAGCTGATAGAATACGAATCGCTACTTTGCTTAACTCAGTGGAACCACAAATACCTTTCCACCATATTAGGGGCTCAATGCTATCTAATGAGCTCCATACAAATCCTCTGGCCCAAAAGTTTTCTTTAGCTTTATAACACGCCAAATCTGCCATTACATTTGACAAACTTAAGTGTTGGCTTAAATTGTAGATAAACTCCATACCCTTAAGTTCTTCCTCTTGAGTAAGTTCGACTCCTAGAGTCCTGGGGTCTAGAATATATGCTGCAAAATGTATTGGCCTCATTGCCATATTGCATCTTGAAGATACTGATGTTAGAATCTGCTGTTTGCTTTCTTCGCTCAATGTCGAAATCTCATTTAATGCAAAACGTATCTTAGCTTGTACATCTCTAAATGTAATGTATGTGCGATGCAAACGATTCTGGTCGCTCTCTAAGTAAAATATGCTTTCAGTGACTGGTTCCAAAATACTTATACATTCCCCTGTCTTCGTCCAGAAATCATCACTTAGAATTAAATCTTTAATATCTCTTGAAATTACCACATCTTCTCTAACTGTTAATATTTGCAAAGCTATCTTATTTGCTTTCAAACTTTTTAACGAAGTAACATGACTTCCCCATCTTGTAGCACAAGGCAATTTTAGTGTTTGTGTAGAATCTTCACCCTGCCTTGATTTTATCAACAAGGAACTTAATCGTTGACTCCTTTTAACAGTTTTTATTATATTTATGGCTTGCATAATAAACACAGTTACTTCTTGTATCTTTACAATATCTTGGCACAACAAGTTAAGGATATGTGCACAGCAACCGAGAGGAACAACATGTGGATATTTGAGTTTTGTTAATTCGAATGCCTTTTGTATATTTCTAGCGTTATCGCCAATAAGTACAAGAAACTTATTTGCTCCATACACTTTCATTACTTTTTCAACTTCTTGGCTAAGGTATTCACTAGTGTGAGGATTACTTTCTGTATTCAAACTTTTAACGTATGCAGGTTGAGGTTTTGATATAAGAAAGTTTATTATTCCTTCATTTCTTAAATTAGACCAGCCATCGCACTGAAGGTGTAAGTAACTACAAGCATTTATTTCCTCATTTAACTCAAAACGCATTTCTCTATATATTTTATCTAAGTATTTTGTCGCTAAAGCTTTACGTGAAGGTATTTTAAATTTTGGTTGCAATTTTTCGAAAAATTGTATCCATAAAGGATGTTGCACCATCGATAATGGCGTCCCTGTTACAAATATAGCTCTCGCTAATTCTGTTTTTATATGATCATCGGTGTCTTGAAACTCAGCATTTATTGTAGTGTTAGCAGACGACGAGGGGCTTATAAAAGAATCATTTGTCTCTATCTCTGACAGTCCAGACATTTTGGTTTTGGACGAGCTATCTTTTATAAGTTTCATAGAGTCTTTTAATGTTTCTGGAGATTTTGGACAAGTGATAAGATGTTGAAGCATTTTGGCAGCATTACTGAATTTGTAGACCTTATTACAAAGCTTGCAAGAAACAGACTTGTTTGGTAAAGTACGGTAGTGCTCCCATATGCGTAAATCTTTAGGTCTCCCCATTGAACCTAAAAAAATGAACGATGATTAGTTGGTCTGACGAAAATTCAACAATAGAGTGCCTATTTTTTTACAATGATTATTTCTTGTTATTTACAATAAATTTATTAAAAAAATAATAAAATAAATACAAAAAACCTTTGTAAAATTACATCTCCTCGGAGGATTAAACGCAGACGCTAGTTTATTATCGTATTGTTCTGTATTTTTCTCAGCAACTTCTTTAATTCGATTAGGTACTTACGCATATTATGTTAAAAATAAATATCTAGTACACATCTTAGGCTATCCACCATTATTATCCAATGACGACTCTCAGCTAACTATGCACTATCATCCAAAATAAACGTGTATGGAAAATTTTATCCCAGTCGGTTGAGGATTGAGGATAATTGCATCAACATACGAACATACCTACATACTTTTATTTACATAACGCAAGCTAAATAAAAGCTTGTAATAATACATCTAATTTTAAGTTAAAATTGTTAAGTGATCATGATATAATTGTATCATTCAAAAATCCACTTACCTTTAATTATTTCTTGTTAAGTATAAATATTATTTCAAATCTGCTCCCTTAATATGCACTTTTTTACTGCTTTTCCTACCTAACACGTTACCAGGAAGTCACGTTACCAGAGTCAGAGTAATAGTGAACACGTTTGACAGTGATTGTCGTCGCCTCATATTCAGCGTCGACGAATAGGGGAATCCCCAGTCATAATGTATTGCATGCGTGGCGGTCTTACTTCAAATCCATAAACAAAGAGATAATTACAGAACTCGATACTAGATGGCGCTGTTTTTGTTTGAAGAAAGTTTGCGGGCTAAAATACATAGAATTTCATCAATGACTTCCACAAAGAACAACATTTCTGTTTTTTCTAAGTCCGTATCTCTTCCGTATATTTCATAAGATATAAGCTTGGGCTACATTGTTATGCAACGTGATTTTGTCGCTGTCTTGCTAGCAGGGTTGACAGATATACGATTTAAATCGTACTCATACTATTATTTGTCTATTTTTTAATGTACGATCGTAAAGATTATGATCGTAATTCGCACAAAAACATACGACTTTTTGGTTACCTGGCAACATTTTTATTATGAAATGAACATGCTCACATCATCAGTCACATGCAACAATTTATTGGGGATTTCCCCTTCACATCTGGCAGTCCTGCTTGCTAGAATATAGGTAAGTCAGCCACAGTTACTGACGATCGATATTTAAAGGGTATTGTTTTTGTGCTAAATATTTCATAAAAACGTTATTTAATACTTTGTGGATTATTAATTTAGTTGATAATCACTGGAAGTAAAATGGATGCTAATTTGAGAGATCAAGATCTTCGTATAAAACAGTTAATAAAAGAAAATCTACGTAAGTACTCTTTTTATACCTAGGTAGGTAAGGTATAATAAACACAAAAGGTACTTAGATCGCGTGTGTTCGAAGCATTTATTCTAATAAATTTAATTTAAAATTGTAGAAAGAAAAAAATGTCTGCCAAGCCGTAGCCGAAGCCGATCTCCAAATATATTTGGCGATAGTGAGACCCAGTGTCCAGATGATTTACCCAGCGTCGTCGCAACAAAGAAAAAAACGATGATAAAGTAAAAGAAAATTTACTGAAAGAAGAAACAAACTGTTCTAAATGCTTAATTTATGGAGAAGAGGATAAAAGAAATGAGTATTTCGGACTGTTAGTGGCTCAAGAATTTAAATATATACGGCCATGTGTGCGAACGAGGTGTTATGAAGAAATTTTAAAGTATCTACGGGAAGCAAAAGGCCAACATGTTGATCAACTGCAACATGAAAACACTGAAAATTAATTACTTTCATTTTATTATATATAGATTTTTAAAATTTCCTGAAATATTATTAGTTAACGTTTTATTTAATATTGTAGAATTGATCAATACAATTTATAAAAATAATTTATTGGTATTACTTACATATTTTCAAAAAAATACGTAAAAACCTATTTTTTTGGGTGATTATGGGAGTTTATGGGTGTTTATTGGGTTTTTACCAAAGCACCGGGTTTAAACCCGGTGCTTTGCCCATCTGTAGCTGTGGTGCATTTCCAGTGGGAAAATAATCTGCCATCTGGTTCAGACGATTCATCTGAATCAGCTCTTTTCGTTTTTGCCAACTTGTCCCTTACATCTTTTTTATTTATTTTATATTTCTACCTATGACATCATACGCATGATTGGGATATGTTTACTGATAGTCATTGGTTAAACCATTAGGCGCTAACAAGTAACGAACAAACTAACTTTCATGTTTATAATATTAAGGATTGTATACTTATTTATAATATGTAAACTCCAAATAAGTTCAGATTTTTGTTTTACGTTTGGCTTATATTTATGGTCGGAATTAATTATTTTATTAAAATAAAAAATTCCGAATAAATTGTAATATCCTAATAAACGATTAATATTTTCGGAATGTATTTTTGTGTATTTCTTACGTAATATTCGTCTATTGTAAACCGATTTTAATAAGTATTTTTAATCGGAACTTTTGTCCCCTACTAATTTTGTTCAGATTGAAATACGTGTATTAAACTGCTTTTATATTTTGTTTTAGCGGGTGGGCCACTTCGACCCGGTGACCCGCGTGAAGTTAACCGCCGATCAATTGATTCCAAACTTCACCATGAAGGAAGTTGTAGACGCGTTCCTCCAGGAGAACGAGTGGGCGCTGGACTACTAACTGCGTTTTCTACTCTGTGTTCATTTAGCGTTCGATTGTCCATTGTGAGTAGTGTTCCATTAACAAACATAGAACGCCATATTTATGTAGAGTTGAGGCAAAGGAAACGTGAAAAGGCGATTCGAATAAAAATAAATTTACTATGATTCATAAAATGATTCTTTTCGTATAACCCGGCTGATGATACAGTTGACTTGTGGGTTAATATTACTACTTCAGCGTGTAATTCATTATGACGGGTATACGTAATAATGTGTAAAGTGATGACCCTTAAAAACGGCACATAAAGAAATAAATATGTTTAATATTAAGTATGTAAATGTTGTTTTGCAATTCATCAGCCCGCTATGTGGGATTTTGAATGCAGCACGATGGATACTACAGAGTACGGAACAAAATAGGTGCGTACGTATGTGTACATGTGCGTACATGCCTGTACAGTATGTCTAGAACTGTGACAAATGCCCCGTTGGCTGTATAGGCAGTTTGTCTTCCCCAATGGCGGGAAAACGGAAGAAAAAAAATTACGTCGATTTAAAAAAATGAAATTGTCAACTAAAATAATTAATTTTACATGTTTATTTATAATAATTATGATCTGTTGAATTCTTGATTTAATATATTTCGTAAATGTATTATAAGTTTTTAAACTAACAAAAAATCGAGAAGAAATTCCGTGACAATAAAAACTGAGTAAAAAAATGGATTTTGTTAAATAAACTTAAATAGTACATAGAGTGTTCGATTATAATTATGTAGTAATCGATAGTGTTCACCCAAAAAAATCTAAATATCGATTGTACGGGTATGAAGTTTTATCGCAATCGAATCGATTATAATCCAATAATCGAACAACACTATTGATAGTATTAATTACATTAACTAGTTCAAAACAGTATTAATCAGTTATGTTGTATTATTTATAATTTTTATTATATCAGCCATCAATTGTTCATTGCTGAACATATGCTTTTTCCATAAGGGAAGATTTGCCAATATCTATAATTACATTATTTTTATTATTGATACTTTAATAATCGATACAAAACGATTATATGTATGTTCTATTAAGAGTAGTTATATTGACATCGGGTCTGGACGATCACGCCTTCTATTTTGTTCCGTATTGTGAGCTTGGATGGGAGGGTGAAGAAGATTAGTGTATTAGGTGTCAACGTTATCACAATACAGCAAGTAACTCGAGGGAGTAACTTGAAGATTTTCATACCACGTGGTCTGCGCAATTTTATATACAAAAGTGTATATATTGGCGTATGTCTGTCAAGTGGCTTGTCCAAGTTGCTTGCCGTGAACTGTACCGTGTGCTCTGTGTTTACCAAAATCAAATTATACTGTCTCTTGTGATCAGAAATATGGCGTGACGTCACATCTCATGTATAATTTGTATTAACGATGGTTATTCACACCGATATCTGTATTCACATAGATTAAAAGATAAAATTCGAAAGTTTGTATGCACCTTCCAACTTTGATGGTTATAATACATTTTTTTAATATAAATCTCCACATATGGAATCTCTATCTATATGTATTACAAGCCAATTGAGTTCAAATTAGATTTTTTGACTGTGATATTTAAGTAGACGTCTATAATTTTGACGGAGGTTTAAATCCCATTCTGGTAAGCCATTCTTAAAAAAAAAACCACATTGGAATTTGTCCATCTATAATTATAATTTCTCATCAACCAACTTTTATGACGTGAGTGTCGTTATCGAAAACTACTGACTAGCTATATTAATTCACTAAGCGTTGTCTACCCGCGCCCGCTGCGGTAGATGGGCTATGGTGTCCGTAGTTTAAGAAAATATATAGATATGACTGTATTATAGTAAATTTCACGATATATTTCTCTCGCATGGGGAAGCTATTGTTACCGCTGCGGTTTTTTTCAACTCCCCCCCCCCCCATTTCTCCTATAAGAATAAACCGCAACCTCCGCGGTTGGGAAATGTTCCATGATTTCTAAGCATAACAGGATAGTATTGTAGAAAATATAATAATATTGCTTTTAATTTATATTTTACAGTTTTCTATCAGGAATTGATGATTGCGAACTTGTAAAATGGGGTTTTAGGTCTGGTAACAGTATTTCTCTATTTTTGTCCAAATGATTTCTTTTGTAAATAAATTTAATTAGGTACTTGCATTATTTAGCTATGTATGCGTTGTCATACCCACGTTTATCGATGCAGATCTCACACTGAATTGCCATCGTTATAAGCGGATACACTACTTTGTAATAAGTTTTCAGTTTCAACTCTGTTTTCTTCTAATCAGTATGTGGTTTATTTTTAAAATAATGCACTTTTTTCAAATTTGGACATTTATAATAGGAAACGCCATTTAATAGCGATAAAAAGGTTTGTATTTACAAGCGATAGTAGTCATTAGGGTTTGGCTACATGAATGAATTTCAGATGAAATGTAATAATATTGTTATTTAAAAGGGTCTACATCTGTGTAAACCCTATTGACTGGAAAAATAATAATCAAAGTCAGTTCAGTTCCCCAAGACAAAGTACGAACGAATCTATCGATAGAAACGCTTCGGATAGCGCATGAGAAAGAATGAGACGGCGCATGTCTCCATCTCATGCTACTTCCTGGATTTTCTATGCAATAACAATTCTATGAATAAATTCGTTTGTGTTTTGTGTGAAAGGTTTAAAGGACTGAATTGGCGGAGATATCGTATTATATAGGTGCATAATATATATAAAAAATTTATTCAAATTGAGAATAGTTTTTTATTTGATTTATTTTTTGGCTGTATTTTAAACGACTTTAAAAAGTAGAAGGTTCTCAGAGACCTTACTTTTTGAGGTCGGCTTAAAATTAAAAAGAAAATTCAGTTCCTACTGCTCGTTAGATTGAAGATTTCGCTGCGTTTTCAGACTGAAATTTTAGTTGTTAGTTTTTTTTTTTTAAATAAAGTAGAATAGACTAAAGATCTTTGATTAGCTAGTATCGTGCATTCACTTATTACCTATGGTATATATTTTTGTTTATTATAACACAATTTACAAAACTGTTGCATAATAAATGGAATCGTATTAAGAGTTATTCTTTATAAGCTATTAAATTTACACATATTTCTACAGATTGCGATGTCTGTTAGTGGCGCTTCTTATTGTAAAACTCTAATACGTTTCAAATAATGTCCACAGATTAACTAAATTGGATCAAACTGTTAATAAAATAATTATGCATATATTAACTGTTTTTTTTTGTTCATTTCCGTTGTACCTTTGGTTCTGTGTGAATAATTAAAGATTGTGTCCCATAAAAACCCGTGACTTCAATTGATTTCACCGACTTCAGTTGTAACTTAATAATAATAATATACTTTATTATTCAGACT